ATTCGACCTATCGACGCTACCATCTGGCTACAAGACCATCAGGCACCGTTTCGGATCTCCGATGGCCTGGATTCAAGGCAAAGCGCTCCACCATGCACCTACGGTCCCTACCCGTCCAATGCCTCCTCATTGACCGCAGTCATGTCCTCGTGCCCGATGAGATTCTGGGAGCACCGATTGTGGGTCTCTGCTAGCACAAAATGACCTTGTGCATTCGGTTATCGCTCCTCATATCGCGGTCTGGACGGTTCTTAAACACCGCTCGAGATACTGCTCCACCCGTTTTACGTCGTCCAATGCGGCTACCGTGCCCACATATCCATCTGGTCGAACAACAGCCAAAGCTCCCTGGGCAGCATCTACACCGTAAATCTTGTACACGTCGTCCATCTCGTAGCCACTGTAAAAGCTCATCTCCGAGTGTCGCTTGAGCTCGGCTGGTAAATCACGCCAAGTGAACTCCCGAGACAGACGGGGATGGATCACAACCTGTTCAATCACGGATGCAGGGAACCGGGGCAGCACTGCAGACCCTATTGTCCGCAATGTCTGGGCAGAGACACCCTTCGGATACAACAGATCCTTTGATGTGAGACAAAGAATACGGAATCGGCCAGTTGACAAGAAATCTGCCCCATGTCAGCTACTGTCGGCTTTTGAGGGTTTTGCTGTTCCCCGTGCTTTGCTACACTTGGGCTTACCATCATGCAAGTTCCGCCGGTTTCCGTCGGCATGTCTTCGGTATTTGACATTTAACAGTCTCCGACCTGGACGAAGAATACCAGAGAGATAGTCAGTCCCCTCAATGGGGTTCTTCTTGGCATCCTGCATCTTCTGCACGATCGGACTCTCAGGATATTCAATTCCACAGCCACTGGTGAACCCATTGCCAGTACTAAACACTTCCAAGAATTGTTCGTGCGTCAGGCCGTCCGCGCCATCCTCTGCAGCGCCGATCTTTCCAGAGAACATGGACGAAAAGGCACGGTCGAACTCTATCAGTTCCTGGGCAATTGTGTGGCGCTCAGTGTGGTACGTATCCAAAACGGCGTCACGCTTTCCTGGCGATGTTGAGGCGGGAGTGAGACCATTGACTGCGTATGCCAATTTCCACGCTAGGTTGTAAGAGTCCATCATGGAGACATTCATCCCTTGGCCCGCCTAAATGACAGGTGAGTATGCAGGAGCTTGGCATTTGTCAACTGGGAGATACATACCTTGGGACTATGAGTATGGCAGGCTGGCAACGAAAGAGAGTTAGCATGCTGCACCCCAATTCAGAAGGAATATACTAACCATCCCCTACGATGAAAACCCGATTGGCTCCCTTTGAATCTTTCACTGTGAAATGATCCGACACTCGCTGGCCGATCTGATACGCCGCCCACCAGTCCACGGCGTCGTCCGTCTTCGGTCGGATATAGTACGGTTTGAAGGCTTCGGCCGCATTTTGAAAAATCCCGTCGAGAGTGACCTGGCTCCTGCGAGCTCGAGTATCCTTTGGTGTAGACTCATTCACTGGCCTCTGGTCCTCGTCTGGGGTGGCCTCGTCTGGCACCTGGACATACAATCGGGTCAAGTAGTCACCGGTCGCAATTCGCTCTCGAGGGATTACCATCACTGAAGTAGCTGGGGCATGGATGGCACAGCGCCTTCTAATATCAGGAAAATCGGTATCGACAACAAGATCGACCACGCCCCAGATGTGATCTAGCGACTCACCCACCAAGTTCAGACCCATCGAGCGACGGACCACGGAATGGGCGCCGTCCGCACCAACCAAATACTTCGAGCGCACCGTTCGTCGTTGACCTGCCGTCTCAATCTCCGCCACCACTGGGAATTCAGAATCGCCATCCTCGTCAATTTTCACGTCGAGGAGCTTAGTATCACGCTGCACTCCCCTTTTTGAGTACCGCAGGAGATCCGTTTCTAGGATCCTCTCAATGCGACCCTGGTGGATTGTGACTTCATGCTGAAATCGCGCAGGCACGGCAACATCGGGCACTATCGCCGTTCGTTCAATGATCTCATCCTTATTGGGCGAAGGATTCCAGAATGCAACTTCCTCCATGTGACATCCATCGGTCAGAATTTCATCCGCTAGCCCCAGGGTTTTCAGAACTTCGAGTGTCCTAGGCTGGAGGCCATCAGCCTGGCCAGATTTAAGCGTTCCCGGTTTGGCATCGACGCACAATAGAGATGCATCGTTCAGTCCATATCTGGCCAACAGGAGATTGAGCATTAGCCCGGCAGGACCAGCGCCGACAACGACGACTTCGTATCTCTCTGGGACTCCATCGCGGGGGTCGTTCGGGCTGAGGCGAGGTAGGGGCGGCGCGAAGGAAGGGAGAACACGAAGTTCACGCGAGGATGCTGCAAACTCGGTGAAAACAGGCATTTAGTCGATTATATGGCTTTAAGTGTCCGGGATTGTAATCAACTTAGATCGTATAGTAGGAGGAAAGCACCTGACTTGCGTGTTTTATAGCTGGTGGGCAAGTAATGGCAGGGTCACTTGGTTGAAGGTCAATTGCAGGGCATGTTAGAAATGTACAAGTGTCCAACCGACCATGGTAGGAACTCGCCCATCTATATGACTGTAGGGTAGTCCCCACGAAGCCATCGAGTCAAACTATAGTCGCGTCTAGTTTGTTTGAATCCCCCACGCTGGTTGGCCGCGGTGTCGTGGCCTCAGGCACCCATTGACTTATTGGGAGGCTGACTCAGTAAGGGTGGAGTCACGCTTTTCCAGTTCCCTTTAGTATTTGCTGACTGCTGATTATTAGAATCTCACCAATCGCCCTGATCGGCGTCGACCTTGCCGGTTCGCGTAACAGATGAGGGCCCCGATGCTCCGATAACCGCCGATCCTACACTTCTGACTGGCTGCAACCAACAATATGAATCGTGGACTTACGCACAGTAAGTTGACAGGTTGCGGCTTTTGAAAGTGTGGGGTTGCTACGATGATGAAGTTACTTGACAACTCCAGCCCAAAGCCGATGGTGGCTGAGCGGTACGCAATCATGGGATCTGTCTATTTTCAACCATTTCCTGCCTTGACCTAATTGTCTATACGACAAAGGGTCCGTGCTGAAGATGAAGTGTGAAAACTACATGGTAGAAACTTGGAATGTCTTCCGAGGAAAAGGGAGCTTCTGTCTACCACGGAACCGCCATCCTTATGACCTCACAGACGCCACACCCCAGACGATTTGACCTTTCGAGACTCGAACTATCCGTGAGCCAACACTAAACTGATGAACTTCAGTGGGAGACTGGTATGTGCATTTAGTTAACACTGCGTTGTCGCAGCTTCTGTGAGGGTACTAAGTTGACCGAGAGTTCTGACAGACTCCACCTTCTGGAATTGTCAAGACTCAAATCAGGACTTGCCATGCGCCACCGTTGTAAGACAATAAAACTTGAATACTTATCCATGGTCTATACTTTGCAGGTCAATACGGATTCAGAACATACATAGGCCATGTATGAAACGGAGTTGACTCGAAAGACATGCCGGCCACATTGGAGGCACAGGAGCTCATGGGGAGGCTGTGGACCCACCAAGAGCCTGAAATGAGCGGACAAATGGCCCGGAGAGTGACACGCAGACCAGAGGGTCACTTCCGCCTCCGCTTGTTGCTACCGCGTGAGGGGGATTTCCGGCCATGAGTTTCGGCTGTTCTATTACCGGGGCATTGAAACTGGGGCCTAGTATATCCGGGACCCAGAGCAATTGTGCAGGCTAGTCCGCTCTCCTGAACTCAATATTGGGTAGAACCGCTAGTAGGGTGGCCCACTTTCGCTTGGGAGAATGGCAGTCTTCGGCAGCCAATCCCCCATCTTGCGATACGTACACCCTCCGGTAAAGCCCATTCGTCATAGGAGCCCTTCCTCCCGGTGGCGCTGGGCGGTTTGCTGTCAATCGTTAGATCAGGTGGAGAGGAAGCAGTTGCATTGTTGCTTTTCCCATCTTCTGCCGGATGAGGATCACTGATAGGCTGGATATACGGATTAAAGTCGGTTACCAACGGGACTATTGCCGGCGCTACTCGATTTCAGGCAGGTCCTTGGACTTTTCGGGTATGCGACAGATCACACACAAATGCATGCCATTGGCTAACCGCTGATAGTCGTCACATTGCGAATCCCAAAACTACAGGTGCAGCTTTCACGCGTGCCCAGACAGATCGCAAGGCGACTGTTCGGTCAAGCAGAAGTTCTTCAAACTTGGGCAATGTTGTTGGCTTTTCGTGTGTTCAGCGGGTTCTGACGATCTCCTGAAATTGAGCACTACACGGGTACCTCGTATTCGAACCTTTACTCCGCAACGCACTTCCTGGTACCCATGTCCTAGTGCCTAGGCCTCATACAACAGCTCCAGGCAAAAACGGTATGGACTACTCTAGCTAGTGGACATCGCTATCGTGTCTCTTGGCCAAATGACCACCCGCAGCCCCCACTGGATCCATTGCCTCCCCGTCCGATCACCAGCACCCGTGGATCCCCGTTGACCTCGCCTGGAACTCAGGGTTACCCCAAAGCCCTTCTGATCGCCAGTATAGACTCCACTTGACTGCCATCGCTGGGGGATTTCCGGGCTGGGGTTCCTACCACTCTGGAGGATCCTCACTATTACCACGTCGGTACGATCACTTCCAGCTCAACGACAACACTCCAGAAAGACAAGTCGAGGCGGAAAGTTACACAGCTTCCTCCCCGGGCACTGATCGTCAACCCCACCAAAGAAGACTCCTCCAAAACACTTGACGGTTGAGGGGTGACGGAAGAATGCCGCGGTCGTTCCTCGCGCTTAGCCGGTGTTGGCATGAACGCTGACAGATTCGGAGCACGAGTGAGCTTATGCACAGAGAGGGGATCGGAATCGGTTATAGCTGTTGCTGCACAACACATATAAGGGTGGCCATTTCATGCGTTCTACTGCAGCACTGCTTCACACTTAGCCATCCCTCTAGTCCTGCATCCTGAGAATCATGAATCGCCTGGCACAATTCTTTGGCGCTTCTGCTGCCAGTACCCCTGAGAAGACCCCTGACCCGTGGATCGTGCAAGAACGCTCCGTTGATGAAGCCAGACCACTGAGAGTAGTTGTCATCGGCTCGGGGATTTCTGGTATCGTTGCATCTATTCGCTTCAGGCAACGCATCCCCAACCTCGATCTATGCGTTTACGAGAAGAATGCAGATGTCGGAGGCACGTGGTTGGAAAACAGATATCCCGGCTGTGCATGTGGTAAGTGTTGCAGTACATTCTTCTACTTATGCCTTGGCTAAGTCGGCTGGTCTATAGACATTCCTGCCCATACTTATCAGGCCACATTTGAGCCTAACAAACAATGGTCCACTTTCTATGCCGCGGCTCCAGAGATTTACCAGTATTGGAAGAAAGTAGCGGACAAATACGGCTGTGAGAAGTGCATCAAGTTTAAGCAGCAAGTTGTGGAAGCTGTGTGGAACGAAAAGGATAGCAAATGGCAACTGAAGGTCAGATACATCGGATGACACCCTGGGACACAGCAGCTGATAAATCTTTGGGAGTATAGGTCAAGGACCTAGATAGTGATTCGGTGTACTCAGACCAGTGCGACGTGTTGATCTCGGCCACCGGTTTTCTGAATGAATGGAAATGGCCAAACATCCCAGGTCTCCATGATTTCAAAGGGAAGCTGATGCACAGTGCCCGGTGGGATGAGAGTTATGACTACAGTGTATGTTGAACATTTCGGAAAGAATTGCTGATCAGGGCTAATGTTCAGTAGGGCAAGAGAGTCGCTGTGATTGGAAACGGCTCGAGCGGTATACAAATCGTGCCTGGAATGCTACCGAAAGTCACGCACATGGACCACTATGTCAGGAGCCGAACATGGATCTCACCTAGCTTTGCTAGGGAAGAAGTCGAGAGACGAGGGTCGAAACTAGACAACTGTGAGCGTGGACTGGGTTGGAAAATTGAATGTCTAGCTGATTGAATGTCCAGTCTCGTTTACCCCGGAAGAACTCGAGACCTTCAACAAGGACCATAGTGCGTATCAGAATTTCCGGAAAGGTAGGGGTTGCTTCCCAGTTCGGTTTTTACTGCGCTGACAGGAACAGAAATCGAGGTACAACTACAGTCTGTCCACGGCGCGACCATACTAGGCACGCCAGAACAGCTAGGGGCCAAAGACGTTTTCGCTCAGAACATGAAACAGCGGTTGTCAAGAAAGCCAGAGTTGTTTGAAGATCTCGTACCCTCATTCCCACCTGTTTGCCGCCGGCTTACCCCCGGGCCCGGCTACTTGGAGGCCTTGACAGATGAAAAGGTGGAGATCATCACTAGCGGGATTGTTCGGGTTGATGCAGATGGTATCATCACCGCCGATGGGGTGCATCATCCTACTGATGTCTTGGTGTGTGCCACCGGGTTCGACACCAGCTTCACCCCCCGGTTCCCCATCACGGGGCGTGACGGTCTGTCGCTGGCGGAGCGGTGGAAGGATACGCCCGAGTCCTACCTCTCCATAGCAGTCGATGGGTTCCCGAACTACTTCATCTGCTTCGGGCCCAACTCGGCGCTGGGGGAGGGCAACCTGTTACTCTTGGCCGAGAAGGTGATTGATTATTTCACCTCCTGCGTGCAGAAGATGCAGCGGGACAACATCCGGTCCATGTCAGTCAGGCAGGATGCGGTCAAACGGTTCACGCGACACTGCGATCAATACTTCTCCCGCACGGTGTACAGCGAGAAGTGCCGAAGCTGGTATAAAGGGGGAGATGAGGATGGACGGGTGATAGGCGTGTGGCCCGGTATGGAATCCTTCTCCTGTTGCGAGTCCATGAACATCGCGTATTGACTTAGGCAGGATCGTCACTCCACTCACTCAAGACCCTCTCGCATCCCCGTTGGGAGGACTTCACCTACGAGTATGTTGACGACAACATGAATGGCTGGATCGGCGATGGGTGGACGGAGAATGAGAAGAATAACGCGATCGAGGTGAACTATCTGGACGATGATCAGGTGGACTTTCCTTTGACAGTGGTTGAGCCCCTGAAGAATTAGGCCGCCGGCATGCGGTGTCTCCTTTAATATTACAGGCAATCACCATCATCTGATCAGTATCATAGAGGTAGATCGGCCATGAGAGATCTGATGAAAGCGTCCAGAGGGTTGCTCTTCCCATCCATTGTTGGGTTGTTCTGCGTAGGCGGGAGGGTGCACTACACCCATCTGGGGTTCTGTAAGTTTGACTTCTTGCCACTCAGGATGGGATCTAGGCTGTTCCCGCGCTGTACTCTGAAGCGTAATGTGAGGAAGTAGTTTGTAGAAGTGTTGTGGTGTGTAATCTATCTCCAGTGGACTGCCGTCTCCCTTGCCGGGCCCACCGAGAAACCGCGTCACTGGATGGTAAGATTACCCGGTAACATGCCCGATGGCAGCCCCGTTGCCGGTGAACTCGGGCGTAAGGCGCATACCAGGGAAAGAGGGCGTAACTACGGAACGAGCCGGCCACCTTTCCTTTTACTTTGGGTGGGAAGATGGGCAAAAACCCACGAAAAGGAGACCCCAGAAAACCGGCTGGGGAAGGCAGTCATCCTTGGCCACTTAACTTTACTCCTCTCCTGCTTGTCTTTCTCTCTCCACTTCTTTAATAAAACCCCCCCGACCTGTCAGTCCCTTCTTCCGTTCACAAAAGTAAAAGTCTCCAGTTGCTTTGGGGGGAGTGGCGTCATACCGTCTCCCTTCGATCTTGGTCATCTCCAATTCTCATCTTCTCTCGATCTTCCCGTCCTTTTACCCTCTGTAATTTATCTCTCTATCTAATTAATCGGTCCAGAGATCGTTCGCCGTTTGGATCCCTACCGAGATTTGACCAATTTCTCTCTACCTGTTCTGCAGATCGGGCCGGGTACTCACAGTGGTGCCAGAGCCAGTGCCAGGGACCCCCGACGGCGAGCCGATCGTGTTTGCTAACCTTCCGGCCTCCGATCGCCGTCTCTTCGTCGCCCCCCTCCCACTCCCACAAACCCACCCCCCTTCAATTAGACTAAAGCACCATCTCTACCCCAGACCTGGATCTTCCCCCGTTAATCTCACCACACCTCCACCTTCCTTCCTCCCCGATGCATGTCTTTCCCCCCTAACCATGAAGCCCGCGAGCAAGCATTTCTGCTGCACCATCTGTCAGCGGGGTTTCACCCGCATTGACCATCTCAAGCGACATCATCTCCGCCGTACGCTCCCTCCCATCCTGCATCTCGGCCCGCTTCTGGCTCGTGTCTGGCTCATCCTTCAATGCTTGTCATGCGCTAACTTAAACGCTGTCCGTCAGATTCCGGTATTAGGCCTTATTCCTGCGTTTTCTGCAACGAATCCTTTGCGCGTTGGTTCGTGTCTTGCTCTCCCTCCCGCCCCTGGCTCTCGTCGGTTTCCCGACCGACGCTTGTATGTTTGCCATGATCATTCCCCACAACTACGATACTGATGCGTTCACTCAATCTTCAGTGACAACCTCCGCGATCACTACACGGACTGTGCCAAGCGCGGAGATCAAAAGATCCCTGAGACAGGCCAAAGAGGCCGGAGGCGACATGCCTGTCAGTCGGCAAGTTCCCCCCTGACCTCCCGCCGATCGCATACCCAGCCTATTGTGCGCGCATGGTCGCTAATTGTCGGAACTTAGTGCACATCGATGAAACTGCGTTGCGATGGACTGAGCCCATGCAGCTCGTGTCAGAAGCGGAACCTACGGTGTAACAATGAGCGCAAGCAAACAGCCGACAACCTGGAGCTGGTCTCGGGCTCGGCCTCGGGGAAGCGTGAGGAGTACGGATCTTCCTCGGATCGCGGGTCGATCAAATTCCTCCTCAACGGTGGTACGGACAGTTTCACGGAGGAGTTCCTCCTTCCGCCCCGCAGTGATCGCGCTCGCGGTCTTGAATACCATAATCAGAAGGGCCGACAAGATGCGGAGCAGACAATGCTCGACTTCCGGACAGGTGATCCGTCAGACTATGCCCCCGCGTTCATCGAGTCAGACCCGGCTTCCCTCTCGTTCTTCCAGGATACCTTTCTTGATTTCTTTAACGGTCCTTTCGGGAATGTGAACAAAATAGTCGGTGATACCTATGCAGGTGGGGGCAGCTTCCCCGCCATGATCCCCTCGATACCGGATCCCGGCCTCGCATTCACCACGCAACCTACCTATGAGCCGGAAGAACCGTACGCAGCCGGACTGTATCAGGCGATTCTAGCACGGGCGTGGTCGGTCCCTCTCGATACCCAAGCGCAGGAGCGTTTGTCCACGTATCTAAGCTTTTTGTTAACGCCTGCTCGCATCGACAAGTTCGTACGGATGTATCTGGAGTACTGGCAGCCAAGTTGTGCCATGGTTCACTTTGCGTCACTGAATGTGAACACCGTAGCGTTACCACTACTTGCAGCACTCGTGTTCATGGGCGCGACGTACACAACTGATGAGCAGGAGAGGCATGCTGCAAAGCAGGTGGTCGATTTTGTAGAGCTCTACATCTTCTCCAGCGAGACCTTCTCACCGGAGAATGAGGTGGCTTTGGCATTCTGTGGGCGTCGAATGTTCGACGGCGGGAATAATGATTGGATCCAGTTTCAGAATCTTCAGGCCGGCTTCATCATTGTTATTGCGCAGTACTGGTCGGGAAGCCCAGCGGCGCGCAATCGAGCGATGGAAAACCGGTTCAGCGAAGTCATCAAGGTATGTAGTCGGATATGCAGACGGGTGACGTTACTGACATGTGTAGATCGCTCGTCGAATGGGCCTTCCCAAATGCCGTCATAACCAACATCAGGCTGTCTCGGAATTCCAATGGATCCAGACAGAGTCTCGCATTCGGTATGTCTCCGTTCCCCTTTCTGGTTTACCCCGCTGACCGTAGCAGTACAATGAGCATCATTCTGCTGCTCGACTGTGCATTCTCCTTCTTCCAAAACTACCCTTGCCGTCTGTCCCATATTGAAGTCGAGTGTGACTTCCCTTGCGCCGAGTCCCTCTTCGCGCTCGAGCACCCATACTCGGATCGGAACTTCCAGGCCTCGAGGGGGATCACAATTCTGGAAGCGTTCCACAATTTATTCGAGGATGACCCCAAGGACACGATGCCTTCAACACCGGACTCGTCAGCGTCCGGCAGTATGGCGAACCTGACAGTACTCGACATGTTCATACTGATCCACGGTACGTCAAGCCATCGATAGCACATGACCGTTAAGCTGACTGATCTAGTCTTGTACACTTTTATCAATTCGCACATGGCCTTACTGGGTCCTATTCTCCGAAGGACCCAGATGTCTCACCCGAAGCATCTCTTCAGCTTCGATGCCGCAGACAAGAGCCAGCCCGGAGCGATCCCTGACGACCTCATGCTATCCAATATCCGAGTAGCACTGGCCCGATGGCGCGAACACTGGGTGACGCTGAGCAACACACTGTCCAGCCGCGAATGGGCCTCGATGGGCTTCTTCAAGAACGGGTACAATTTCTGGTTGGTCTCCCAACTGCTCATCACAAAGAAGAAGAGCGTGGACGTGGTGATGCAGATGGAGGTCAACTGTGAGGACAAGTTGCAGAAGCTAAAGGTTCTGCTTGATGAGAATGACTGAGATGATAATTTCTGATTTTGCTTCTTCCTCTATCGATATGTCGATGTCGCCTTGAAAATAAGGAACTACATATGTACTTTGGGCGCGGGCGTCTGGAGCCAATGGGTCTGAGATTAGGACATAACCCCACGGCGATTGTATTCCTGTCTGTGTATTACTACATATGACATGTATTATATTAATGTATGAAAAGATTCGAGTTACATGTGAGACAAATCCAAGATGAAGCATTGTGTATTTGTACTTGATGCACAAGACCGCATAGCTGACTCACCATCCCGCATAATAAATTCTTTAACCCAAAATAGTAATTCCTAAAAACAGAAGGCGGTCACTACATGCCCATCTCTGCAACCACCCGACGTCAACAACCATCCTCACCAGCTTCACAAGCTTCTTTTCTCCATCCCCCAATCTCACGGACACCCGTCCACCCCACTCACCATGCCCGACTCGCCCCCGCGGCGACGCCGCTCGCGCTCGCGCTCACCCCGGCGCCAACCTCCCAAAGGCCCGGGCGGATTTCGCTGGAAAGAAAAGCGCGCACCCCGCGACGACAACCCCAACCCGGACACCGACCGCGCCCTAGACCGCGGTTACCGCGCGCGTTCACCTCCTCGCCGGGATACCCACCGAGACAGAGACTACGATCGCGGAGATAGATACCGACGCGACTACAGCCCGGATAGAGCCAGGGACCGCGATCGTGATCGTGATCGTGACCGGGACAGAGACAGAGACTCCACCAAGCCGAAGAAAACCGACAGCGAAAAGAAAGAGAAAAAGGAGAAGAAGAAGAAGCTCAAGCCCGCCAGCACGGAGGAAATGATCCTCGTGACGGTCAACGATCGACTGGGAAGTAAGGCGACGGTGCCGTGTTTGCCGTCGGATACGGTGGGAGATTTGAAGGTGTTGGTGGCGGCGCAGATTGGTCGCGCTCCTAGGGAGATTATGTTGAAGAGGCAGGGGGAACGGCCGTTTAAGGATTTTATTACCCTGGGGGATTATAGTATTACGAATGGGGTGCAGTTGGATTTGGAGATTGGGACGGGGGATTAGATTTATGTCTTTGGGTAGAGAAGAGGGGATTGGTGGTGGTGGTGGTGCAAGTTTGTGGGTTGTGTGGTATTAGGTTCCTCTATTGGTCATGGATGGTGGGGATGGGATGATTTATTCTCTGGTGATTGTGGGGATTGGAGTTGAGGTGGAGTTGGGGGTTCTTCATACATACTGTGTAAACCTGTGGAAATGAAAATGTTCATCCATCATATCATGTTTTCTTTTTATGGAGTAAGTAGTAGGTCGGTGTTCCATGTATCGGGCTCTTTGATTGGTTCGTCGCTCTGGGTGTTTGGATGTCTAATTAAGGTATATGTAATGTATGTAATGTATGTAATGTTTGTAATGTACCGCCTGGTCACTGAGACTTTGCCGGAGGTAACCATTGTTACCGGGGTTCAGTCACACGGCGTCGACCACGTTTTCCAAGCCTTTTTGTGATGCTAGTTGCGCCACAGCTTGAATTTTATGTTGACGGCTTTCGACTGAGGTAACAATTAACTTATTGCTAGTTTATGTTGGTATCCCAGCGTGTCGTCCCAATTACCGCGATCGACCCATAACGCTACCTTGGTACGGAATTAGTCGACAAGGTTATACCCGCTGTGGAGCTACTAAATTAGTTACTCCGTACTGCCATTAGCCCTAAATCAACATCATGCATCCAGGGTAGGAAATAACCCAGCAACGCTTATACACTCCATATCTGATTAAAACATTTGCTTTTCGAATAGATAAACCGCATTCAAATAACCTTGGAAGAAAACGCTTCTCACAGCTCACCACCAGCAACAACAATCAAACAAAACCCTAACTAATACATCAGGGAAACCACCACCAACCCAACAACTCCCCACCCCATAGATCCCCAAATCCATGAAACCCTCGCAGCACCCGAAGTCGCCTTTCCATCCCCAGCAGCAGACCCAGACCCACTCGAGGAACTCCCCGACGGAGACGTACTCCCCTCCCCACTACCCGCCCCCTCGTCCGAGGACGAAGAGGAAGAATCATCCCCCGAATTAACAACCTCAAAAACAGCCGAATACTTCACCCTCCCCGCATCCTTCACATCTACAATCGCAAAGCGATAATCATCCCCACTCTTCACACTCCCCGGCAACACACACGCCACATCCCCGGAGTTCGCAATATCCGTCGTGATCGTTGTCACATTCTTCAACCCAGTTCCATTCCCAGTTCCATTCCCATTCAACGTCCCCTCCATGAGATAAATACTCACCTCCGAGACATTCCTCTCCACCTCCCAGGTAATGATCGTCGTCTGACCTGTCTTGACAACCTCCCCTTGCGTCGGATAGTATGTTGTGGAGGCGTTGGTGGAGGATGAGATGGTGAATGCGTCTGATTTGTATGATTCGGAGGAATCGGAGGGCTCAAGGACGACTATGTAGTCTGAGCCGGTCCCTACTCGTGATGGGGGCGACCAGGAAATAGACCCCGAGTTGGAGATGTTGGAGGCGATGGTGTAGAGGTTTGTATCGTTGGTGGTTTTGGACAGGTGGATGGAGAGTTTGGAGGTGCTGGGGGCGGAAGTGTTCCAGGATATTACGGTTGCCGTGTTAAGGGAGATGATGGCGCCCGAGGTGGGTTCGGTTATGGAGTAGGTTGGGGTAGTACTGCTGCTGCTGCCGCTGATTGTGGTGGCGGTGGTGAGGGTGAGGGTGGATGATAGGGTGAGGGCTGCTAGGAGGAGGGATTTGAGAGGGTGCATTTTGTTGGTATTCTAGCTGTAGTTGTAGTTTGGGCGTAGGATGATTGGGATAAAGTCCAATGATGAGGAACAGAAGAGTGGCAGTCAGGGTCAGGCCGTAGAACATAAACTCTGGGGCAGCAAACAAGCGAAACAAGAAGAAATAAGTGAGATTGGGGTTGCGAAGGGATAATGTTTGGTTTATCAGCTCATTCCATTCCTTGCGTTGGGGTGCATCCCCGGCAATAGTATTATCCAGGGCGGGTGTCTGGCATGCACAAACCGGGCCTATTCATATCCCAGGCAACCGTCATCAATTATGGGTCTCGTTAAGATACCCGATTGGTTGTATGCAGGATCAAGGGAAAATATCTATCCCCAGCGGGATAACGGTCCTGTGCAGGTTGCTGTATGCAGGTGCTGTGTGGTTCCTGTTATGTAATTATCCACTCAACAGGCTGGATTTTCTTGAGGTAAGCGAATTGTGGGGATGTGGACAATCCAGGGGAATTTTTTCAGGGCTGTCAGGTAGCTTGTTTAGTCTAGTTTATTGGCTCAGTCTTTTCCTAGCGATAAGCAGAAGTACTGTATTATTATTACATGAACATAAACTGTCATAAAAAAAATAGGTGATTGAAAAGTTTTTGATCTTTGGGCTTCACAGGCTATCTAAAGTTCAGGTGGCCGAGTGGTGTAGTGGTAATCATCCCAAGTGACACTTCTATGAACCCCTCAATAATGAAATTTCTCTGATAATATATATACTGAAGTGCATAGTTCTTATTCATATACCCTGCTTTGCTGTCTCTATTCATAGTGAAGTAAGAATATGTAGATTTTTGTTTCTGTAAGACCTATTCCACAGACTTTTTATTTACACACAAATCACCAATAAGACCATAATATAATGTAAAAAGAAAATTCGGGATTCCATACTAGAATCTACATGAAGACGGCCCTCCTGTATCTAGTTAGGCAAGACAATGTTAGCATGCGCCAAGGAAGATTTCTGTCTTCTACTGGCTGTTAGCGACTCGGCAGAGTACCCTGGCTGTGCTTGATCTGAGAACAATTACTACTTCTACTAGTACTACTAGTCAGTTCAAGCTAGTAGTAAGTCTTTGGGATTTTCTCTCGCTATGTTCGACTGATCGGCCTTGGTCTCCAGCAGTGTATCTCATTTCGGGAGAAAATGTTCATTGTTATATACTGTCGAAACAGCGTTTTTGCCCAGTTAGCCTGAAACGCCACATCGCTGGCTACTGAGCAGCAGGGGTGACTCGAAGGTCTCAACCTATACTACTGCATATAATCCATCACTGCCGCTTTGTTTCACTCGCCTTCTCAACTGATTCGCATACCTTCCCTCGTGATCTAACCCACATCCCAGGATCTTCAGCAATATCACCCACCTAAATACTAGCCCTCCCGGCTTGACTTCGGCCGAGTGGACGCTAAGTCGTTATTTCCACGCCTTGGATCTTACACACCTCACAAACCAATTGCAGGACTTTCTTCAATGGTGGTGATTATGGAGATGCCGTTCGAAATGCCTTCGCCTGGATCCTGTCGAGCCCGACAACAGGGCACTATTCGTCCCACTCGGCATCGAACTGCTGGTAGCACTTTGCCGGCTGGCGTGGTGTTTCAGCACCAAATAACCTTCGTCGTAATTGTCTTCTGCTGTCTCCAAGATATTTTTGATTGTTGACTCGTATCCATTCCCGTCCATATCAGCCAAGGGAAATTCAATCGAGCGCTCGCGCCAATTTCGAGGAATGTGAACCTCTATTTGAAACAATAACATGACACAATCTGTTAGCAGAGAAGATAAATTTTATGGGATCTTGCTTCCAGGATTAATGAATGAGCCTTTGATCTTACGCACCTTTGATTTGCCAATACCGTGGATGCAGATGATCAGGCCCATCATAGCTGTCGTCATCATCGCGCTTCCACCACCGGCCCGATTGGTTGGGGTCCTCGTAGATGACCTGACATGTGGTCAGATGATAATATGAGATGCCTCTCTGGAGGTCATTGATTGGTGGTCCCCCATCGATGCGGCAGACCGCATTGCTACTGGAAAGAGACCATATCGGGCTCGAAAAGAGATTGACGCCCGCTGCAATATCGGTCAGGGGCAGATTCTCGCCACTATCATAGTACCCTCCGTATGGCCCAAGAGAATTAACAACGTGCTGATTGCTGTAGGTGTTGAAGAGGTTGACAGTAAAGTGCTGCGGGTATCCAGTGAAAGCAGTAGCAGACCACACCATATTGACAGACTGGCAGACAGAGGTTGGTCAATAGGGGCTTTCATCACCATGCAATTCGCGTGGGGGTGGGGTTTAACTAAAAGCATGAAGACATACATTGTCTTTGATGTGAGAGATCATATTGTTCGCCAGACTTTGATATGACTGTTGCTCGACAGGTGCACATGCGGTAGCCTATTTTTCGCCAATGTCAGGTGCGCTTCCGGTGACACAAACATCTCAAGTTTAAGGATGAATGGAGAAGGGTGTGGGTGTGGCACTGGATGCTTTTTCCTGGTTTGGGGGCGTTAGGGTTGGGGTTATAGAGATTGTCTTACCGCACCGGCTCCGCCCTCCGCGACCCTGATCAACCAAGTCAGTCTTCCATCTAATCCTAACGTATAATGACCCTGCCTGGAATAACTTACATGTTGACTGGGCCGATGGCAATGTGTTAGCCAGAATTTGTGTTAACGTTTGTAAATGGAAAGGGTCACCTACAGGGAAATTCGTCACATGATATGGGATCACTCCAGCCCTGCATGAATTGATAGTTGGGGTCGTTTGCAGCCCAAGCTTTCTGCACTGCCGCAGGCCACAATGAGCTTTTAATCTGGACGCAATTCCATGCTGGGGTATTCCTGGTGGTTGAACTTCCGCAGGCCGCCGCTCGATTCGGGCTTTTCGGTCCTGACTTTTTATATGTTAAACGCATGAAGTTAGGTCCCATGTAGCCAGGACTCCACGAGGCTTGGTGTTGGTAGAGGTAATTGGCTACGTTTCTACATATTCCTGCAAGCAATTTTAGCACTAACATGTCGGAAAAGCTCACGTAAGCTGGTAGACGTACCTGGAGCAGTCCAATACTGGTTGTTGGGCAGAGAGTTGGTGTTGGAATCCAAATTTGGAAGGTCCTTATCGGGAAACCATGCGCAGTTATACCACAATGCGGGCCAATGATAACACATACCGTTCGTAGCGGCACTGGCAGGCCCTTGGCGTTTCTTAGAGGATGTGGACTCAGGATCAGGGGCAGTATCCAGAACAGTGCAGGAGCCGCTATCGGACCCATCACAAACGATCGGACATGACAGGTTGCTAGCAGTTGTAGTGTTGTCCTCGATAGTTTGGCAGGAGATTATTCCACCAAAACAGGCGCTTCCTGTTGTGTTAGCAACCAAACTCTCGGTATCAGTTCTCTTGGTCAGGGAATCGCCACTAGAGTAGCTCGTGCATGTCATTGACACCAGCTCCAGTGGATCACTTGGCGAGGTCACATCGTAGTTGCCTCCCCAGTAAGCAACATCTCCGAGAAACCTACCACGAGATGTCAGCCAGTGAAGGAGAATAAGCTGTTGTGCAATACTCACGACATGTCCGCCCTCAGGAAGATCGAATAGACGTAATCTGCCCAGTAGCAAAAGCCAGCAGAAGCCCCATCTCCCGAGTAGGATGCTTCAGCACTAATTCCCAAGTTAATGGTATTGCTGATACCTGCGGTTACGTAGCCAGACATGAGGTCTCCCCCTAGCACGGAGACTCCAAAGCGGACTTCGGGTGTTAAGGAGACTGTGCATATTCGTCAGCAGGCATTTTGGACCCTTGTTTGAAATGCTTTCAGTTATGTTGAGACCTACGGGCCAGGTTTCCTTCGGCAGTAAGTTGTGCGTCAAATGTTGGGTCGAAACTATAGGTGGCATCATCATTGTCGTCTAAGTCGGCCGGTGCCACACTCGCCGCTGCCCCTGCCGCATCCTGAGGGAAGTAGACCTCGGTCCGTTTGAACAGTAGAGCAACACCAGCATTAAGCTCTCCTGAGACTTGCAGGGACGCATCGAGCTGACCGTACAGCGCCAATTCAGGCCCAATATTTATTAAACCCTTGATAGACATCCCGGGAAATCCTAGGGAGAATAACTCGGCTGATCCCGTCGAGGATTTGCATAATTGCATTCGCACGAATGGTGAGAAGAATCTAATGTACACTTAGTCAGCCAAGTTATATTCCAAGTTGGGGGGGAACAATCCTACTGCTGCTGTTGGCTCAATCGAAAAGTAGCCGTAAGCTGAGATGAGGTTTGGAGTGGGCAATATGGAGCCTTCAAAATAGTAGCCGTATTGTCCGTTAAGCTCCAAATGAATGAAGGCATCGATGTCGAAAGTTGCGTCCGTGTTCCAAGCCGGGCAATACTCATGTCCATGGAAAAGCTTGATAGTCTCCTCATAGTCCAACGGCAAGGAACCCTTCTCGTCCTTAACAATAGTGGTCATTTTCCGGAGCCAGTTGTCAAAGCTACCAAACCATCGCTTTCGAGAAGCCGGTGTGTCGGTTATGTCTTTCCTGTAATGTTCGTCAGCAACTCAGGATCGCCGACGCCGCAGACTATGCCACCCACCAATATTCCTGAAGATTGGTATAGTCGATCCGGAAGTTGACATCCCCTTTCTGCTCTTCGGCCGCAGCAGCAAAATCGTAATCTACCGTAAGTTCATAGACTTCACCGGTAGAACGGGGCTTCATGTCTGATCTATCTGATCCGACAGGAGCAAGTTTGATTACCCGTGCATATGGGCCAGCTCCTATATCAGCGGGCATTTTGACGATAGTGTTCGAAGCACCTCCGTTGAAGATTGAGGTACACGCCGACCCGTTGACAAACAAGCTGACACACTGAATATGGTACGTCTCTATAACATTGTCGAAGGTGTCATTGCGATGCTCAAATAGATTGTGCCTCTTGTGCATCTTCAGCCCTCGCTTGCTAAGCTCGTTTTCATCATCCAAAAAGGTCCATTGGTCTACCAGAGACTCATCGTAGGCGCTGGCGTCGCCATCAATCATCACGAGCGCAAAGGGATCCTCGCTGGCATTGTCGGTATCTAGAAACACTTAGAAGAATGTTGACCAAAATAGTGAAGTGGTGTTAGATTCTTACCTTCATCGTTTGATGATTTTTGCACACTGTAATAGTAACTTACGTTCTCCTCGTCTGGGTACTTGAACAAGTCTTCAGGATCCACCGGCCAGCTGTTGGAGCCATCAGGAGGATCACAGCATAGCTTATTCGCTCCACTTGTACATGTCACGGCATTTCCGTCCAGCACAATCTCACTCCTCTGCGTGATCAGTACTTTAGTGTCCGGGCATTTGTCGTCACATCCGTACCAATCGCATCCTGTGTATGTGTCTTTGTGGTAAGTTAGCACAGATGGCTAACTTGTTGAAGTGTGCAGGACCATAGTGAACACACCTTCAGAAGGGCAACAAAATGAACTAGATTCCCCAACGGGACACTTGACCAATGATTCCACCAAATCTGCATATTCATTTCCCATTAGTACTGTAATGTGTATACCCACTTGGGTAAGGAAGTAATTATAGTCAACATACTTGTCCCAGTGTAGGGAGAGGTCGCAGAAAATGTGTCATCAGAGGAATTACACGCTTGTCCACACGTGCTCCATGAGCATTTTTCGAGTGCTGAATCGGTGTTACAGCAAAGAGACCGCGAATTACTCCCCCCACATTTCTCTGAGCCTGTTCGGTCAACGTAAGGGTCTGCTACCAGTTCATACTGGCCACTGCTGCATCCGACTGCTCCACATTGGTCGGATACCGTGGACCCTGCCCATGCGCAACCCTCGGGCATGGCATCAGTGGGACAGCAAATCATACGATACTGAGCATCGGTATCTCCTTCTTCCCCCGTTGCACATGTCATCGTGTCCGGATCAGCGACTATGCCGTATAACCCCTGATGTACGTAGTCCAAAGTGCTGTAGCCAGTCTCACACCAACCGGAGTTCCAATAAAAGCATTCCGAGACATAACAGTCAGTGCCGGTAAATGCTGAGTAGATGTGTGACAAGTCTTTCTTATCCGAATCACCCAGTGTCCCTCCACTTAAGAGGTTATTACTGGTGACTGACTTTCCCAGAAGTCCGCTTAGTGCCTGCCAATCGTATGTATCCTGATCGACGGACCAAATCATGAGCCCACCGAGACACTTTGTATTGGCATAGTCAACCTTCTGCTGAAAGGTCACATTCGTATCGAAGGAGACCCATTGGTCACCCCAGACCATGTAGTTCACGGCATCTGTGTCGTCCCAAATCACCTCTGTATCCTCGTCTTGCATGAGTTCGATGATCTCTGCCCACAGTCAAGAATAGTTAGTCACAATCCTCGCCCGGCATCTGGTATGGCATGATCCAAGTTCTTCTGCGAGGCTATGCTTACCACTGTAAGACAAAACACCAGGAGTAACTGTACATGAACCAGCATTCCCTGCGCCTATGAAGGGACAGCCAGGTTGATAGCAAGCCGTGTCCGACATTGTGTACGATCTCCCGTAGAATCCGATTCCCAGGACAATATCGGAGGCATCAACACCCGCTCTCCACATCAAGTCAAGCGCCGACTTGATCTCGGTCAGGTTGGTATGGGCCAGCATTACGCTACCGATCCACCTGTGAATTACGTTAATTGAATCTTCTTTTCCAAACGCATTGACTCTTCAATCCTCCAATCACTTACACATCTGAGGCATCCCAAGTCCCATGCAGGTCATAGGTCATGATATTGGTCCAGTCCGCTCCTGCTTCCAGCATACCTGGCACATCGAAGTTTTGGAGATACCAATAGCTTGATGGGGTCGTAAAAGAGATTCCATACGCCTTCCCTGAACCGTCCAGAACATTACGCAAGGTCGAGATCAAGGACACGTAGTTCTTCTTGTCGGCTGCCTTACCACCGCGGTCACTGGCAACTGGGTACTCCCAGTCGAGGTCTACGCCATCAAATCCGTACGTCTCCAGCATGTTCAACACACTCAAAGCCCAGGAGTTCCTTCCGTGTTGTGTTGAAGCCATGTCAGACCAGTATGAAGCAGTATCCCCATCGTTGAAAGACCAGCCCCCGACAGACAGAAAAACAGACAACCCCGGATTATTCTGCTTGAGCTCAATCAATTCCAAAACAAGCTCTGCCTCATCGTTGACACCCGTCATGAAATCAAGGGACCATTTTTCCTTTGAATCGTCGAGAGGGCTGAAGGTTGCAAAGGCGTAGTACAGGTGGGTCAATGCCGAGGCAGCGATGTTACTGGGACTCCAGGAATCACATACTCTATCGCTGGACCACCCCTCGTAGTAACCAATGACCCGCTTGAGGACATCATTGCTGGTGCATCCCGGCTCAATGGGAGCGGCACAGTTGCTCTGACAGTCAGCATCGCAAAAGTCACTTTCCGTTCCGCAAAATCCGTATTTCGAGCAGCAAACCTAGTAGCGGTGGATTAGATAAAAGGTATATCCACTCCACTTCAATGGCATGACTTACATTCAACGGGCAGGTTGTTCCGGGAACGGCCGCATATTGTCCACAAGCAGCAGTGGCATTGCAGTTACTGACACAAGTATCGCCGCAGAAGTCGCTTCCATAACCACAAATCTAGCACAGGATCATTAATACTGATTGCTTACCCGCTACACCAGCGATTGTGCCATGGGGAAGCGAATGGGTGGTTAACAGTTTCAGACGATCTATACTTACCCCCTGGCCGTCAGTCACACCGCAGCAAGCTCCATTGTAGCAAGGTGTGGTAGCATTGCAATGGTACGTGGTCTGTGCTTGTACCTGTGAAGATAGGAAAAGTAAAACCAAAGCAACAAGTAGGAAGTCCCATGGAGGACCCCGGCGGGCCGCAGATATTCTGGGCATGGAAGAAAAAGAGCTCCGTATTGCAGTAAGGTCAGGCTCCGCTACGGTTCTGTGATGAGGAAGAATAAGAATTGTAAGGCAAACAGAAAAGAACGAAAGAGAAGAGGAACAATACGAGAGAACGTGCGTTATGATATGATCAAAGTAAAAAGGAAGGGAATAAAAAGTGAGCGGCTGATACTAAAGACCATCCCATCGGCTGAGACTAAAGAGAGAAAGAGCGACTGGGATCCGATGAGGGAAAAAAAAAAAAAAAAAAAAAAGAAAACTTCTCAAAGTAGCAGCGAAATATCACCTCCATCAATTTATATGACCTTTGAGAGATTTCACCAAACCTACTAAGTCCATCGAAGCGAAGAAATCGTTACTTTTCCTTTCGCGCCTTCCGTACGCATGAATGCTCAGTATACACTGGGACACTTGAATCTAGCAGGGTATCCACAATTCGCTCGGAAATTACATCCCCACCTCGCAGAGCCACCAACCAAGAAATTCGCTCCTTATCCCCACCAGCTATTGGAATACCAGATCTTGCCTGAAACCCTGCCTATCATCTGAGCAGGACTGGATCACTAGTGAAATAGGCTAAGACCCCATCCACTTCGCGTTCCTCTTGTCTTCGGATGAGTGCCGTTGTATTGAAACATTACAAGATATGGAATCGTCTCTGTATAAGTTGTTGAGGACCCTCTCTCTCATTTTGTTGGAAGAGGTCCGTATTTTGTTCTCAAGCCAACATTTGTTTAGTTGGTCGTTGCTGTACGACCTTGGCTTACTGAATGGCATTGTTTCGTCAATCATACACTGCCATGATTGCCTTGAGCTGGCTCATTTTTACACTTACTGCCCACGCCTTTTCCGGTACTGTCGCCACTGCGTCTGTCACCTCCGGAACCGTCAGTCAGCCTTCAGCAGTTACTTCTCGCTGCAATATCAGTGACCCCAATGTCAACTTATATACCACGCAAGGGAACGAAACGTGTGTAGATATCTCTTTGGCATTCAATGTGTCTACTCCACTACTGGCAGACATCAACGCGCTGGGGGTCAGTTGTCAGTATTTGACCACTAACAAAACACTTTGCCTTCCGGGCACTTGTTCTATCTATCTGGTGCAGCCTAATGACACCTGTACATCCATTCTCTCCAACCTTGCTCGGATAGTTCCTCTTCCTGTTTTCCGATCATGGAATTCCAGGGTCAACTCGCAATGTTCCAACCTTGATACCTTGGTTGGCCAGTACATTTGTCTAAGGTAACGATCTTCCCTAGGCTGTTCTTAATACCGACATGACAGAAATATTGATTCCCGTCGCAACTCAGTCCCCCGGGCAGTTTATCCGTTCCAACGGCCTTCCCTCTACGGCCTGCTAGTTCCGCAGTGTGAGAGGCCCCTTGATTCTGGGAGCAAGATAATACACGCTGCTAATACCCCAAAGTCCAATTCCAAGCAATGCAGTAACTACCTCGAACGCTGACTGTGGTTATTGGCACACTATTCAAATCAACGAGACATGTGACACTGTTACAGAAATGTTCGGTATATCAGAAACGGACTTTTACTTTCTGAATCCTCAACTAGGTAACAGCTGCTCTAGCCTATGGCAAGGCAACAGCTATGTATGTGCTTCATTCCCCAAAAGCCACTATGGAAAGGAACTTATCTGACTCTTCAATTCCACTAGTGCGTTCAAGCGGTGGGCAACATCAACACCTATTCTGGATATCCAACGAGTAGCCGGACGGCGTATACCACTTTGGCTTCAACTATCAATTTGAACGCGACTGTCACCACCAACCGTACTACAACGTAAGAAACCTTCTCTGAAGTCTCGTGTCCGCGATACTTAGTCGATCTCCAGATGGCTGCTTCCAACGAGCCCGACCTTCACCACCGTGACGGCTACATACAATAGCACTGCCTGGGAAATGACTCAAAATTATACTCTCTGTCGACAAGCTCTGGCATATTACAATATCTCTGCGGATGATTCCTTGACATCCGAAATGCTTACTAATGACGCTTTCATGGAGGAATACGATCGCGTCTGTTTGCTTGACCTCTCGAAGCCGTTGCCGACTCAGGCCTTCAATACCAGTATCTCACTGATGACCTCGATGACCGAGATTGGAACACACTCCAGTCAAACGATAGCCACTGCAACAGCGCGACTAACGGCTTCCGTGAGTTCAGCGTCTGTTACTAATAGCGCCAGTACGACGACTACTAGCAGCGTTACTAAATCCTCCGAAGCGACTTCTACAGCATCTCCATCCGTGGACGCCTCTCCAGATGGTACTTGCGGCGAGTCTACCGGCTATTCATGCACCAACTCTCAATTTGGAAATTGCTGCAGCAAATATGGCTACTGGTGAGTTGAGTTGAACCGCGGCCTTCGCTTAGAGTGATGACTAATCCGGATTGCCCCCAATCACAACCAGTGGATCGACCAGCGACTACTGCGAAACCAACTGTGACCCCGAATACGGCGAGTGCAAGCCTGTCTCCAATGCCAGCAGTCTGACTCCGACCTCAGCATCTGCGGCGACCCCGACATCCACAGCCAACATCTCGCCTAATGGTCTGTGTGGGCCAAATAATGGGGGTTATACCTGCCTGAACTCGCAGTTTGGCGATTGCTGCAGCCTTTATGGATACTGGTACGTGACTTGCTTGTTCGATGCGTTGGGACGAACAATGCACTAACAAGATCGTTCCAGTGGATCGACCAGCGACTATTGCGCCTCACAATCCTGCGATAGCTCCTATGGAGCATGCTCTGCTTAAGTCCGAGACTTCCGAACGCTTGTCGACCTTCGATCCACCAATCACAGGCGAAGACCCCGGAAGCTCGGAAGTCTACTTTGTACTAAGACCCTGGTCCCGCACTACGATATTAGCAAAGATAGGAAATAAATCCAGGGCCTCCACCTGCCGCTCTCTGAATGGAGGATTGTGTATACCACAAGAAACTGAGAGGAAAACGGCAAATTGACCAGCTACCTAGCCGGAGTTTGCCGGCCATCGCATGATTAGTGTGTAGAAATTTATCACTCCACGATGAAGTGTAGCTGTTTAGTAGCATACTTACTCCATACCCTGCGTATCGAGCATCATAAACCACTCAGATTCTTGATTGTGCAAGACAGTACCATGGTTCTGCTATGGGAGTAAAAATGCGCTTCTGCGCCATTCCATAGGTAGCAGCCGGCTATTTTACGGTTATGTGTGGGTTGCAGCAGATTGACTGACAATTTGCGGTGTTGGCACAATGACAGTCGCGGGAGGGTTTTCTTATTTTACTTCGCTTTGTTCTATTATATTTTCGTTTCTCTTCTCCTTATCGTCTATAGAGCTTTCGCTGGACTACTAATAAAACAAAAGAAAGCGACCAAGACTGTTGCCTACATGCGTTGCTAAGCTTCGGAACGGGCCCCACCTAGGGTTTTACCATTATCCGGTCCGTCCTGCTATTTCCCCTAACAATCGAAGTTCTTGGACCAATCGTCTCTAGCTAAACTTCTCTCCATCTTCACTTCGCAGAATGCTTCAACTTGAGCCACTCATCCCATACACAGACCTTTGGCCGGGCGGCATCCCAGCATGCCTTTGTGTAGAGCCTAGCCCCATAGATTGGTTTGACACGGCCGAAATATGCAAGGGCTGGCTTCAGTTTGTGCAGGTTTGGACCAGCCATATCACCTTATTTCTCTCGGGAGTAATTCATCTAACAATAATTATAGGAAGAATGGATCGACTCAGAGAGTCTGGATGAACAGCTCCAGCAACGCCGCCGCTTGATGGAACGATGGGCGTCTGCTAGTCAAGAATTCCGTGACGTAAAATAAGTCCTATCACTTTCAGTGATTCAAACCCAGCATTGATTTTGAATGTTTTTAGTCTTATCAAGCTCGCGCGTCACTGCCTGAAACAGCCCTCGAATATCCTCTGCCATTGCTTACTCGAATACGGCATTCTCCGAAACATTTCTTCTGTCTCGCCCCGGTAGATCGCGAGAATAACGCATCCAATTATGCCCGGCTCGTCAAGCTCCTAATCCTCCTTTACGTTCATCAAAATGACGGGGCCCATCCAATGGAGCATGAGCCTGAACCGTACCCGCAGATCCCAGCTCTTTTCCCAGATCTTACCAGATCTGCACCTACACCTGAGGCCTTGATAACGCAGTACTGCCTTGAGTCCGCGGACTTCCGCTATCTATCAATGACACACGCTGGAAAAATACTATTCCCGGATTTTTATAACAATATTTTTATAGTAATCGACCAGGAAGCTTTGAACACTGGCCAGCTCATCATGTTCGAACTTCACTCGAACGGACAGATCAACTCTTGTACGCGTCTGCGACCTTGGCATACGGGCCCCATTATGATGTGTCATAACGTCTCAGGATGGTTCTTGGAGGAGATGATAGATCCGCGGATACACCCCCATTATCTCTTCAAAAACATCCCGTAAGCAAATCTCCTGCAAATAGTGAAATTCATGAGAAATGCACGAAAGAGAGTCAAATGGATTTGCTAACGAGGTCATGACTTTTCTCTGCTTTCCTCTCGCTTACAGCCTGAACTTGGATATGCCACTAGTCGACATTCTGGACACAGCTCAGCAGAATGGCGAACTCAGGTTCACTAGATATACTCGGGATGACTGGGCAGCGCAGCTCGAGATTTTCGCGCCCGGGTACCTCGCCCTGGAAAGGCAGGGATTGGAGATGAACTATGATCTTGCGAATTTGTGGAGTGACCTTCAGGGCTACCAGCATTGGGTTCCTCCAGGAAAATACCCGCCTGGGGCCAGGCGCCGTGAACATGGGCAATGAATGGGGGGTACTCACTATGCCCCTTTATTTTTCGCATACTCTGAATATATTGTGACACAACTCTGTCTGAGTCTCGCTTCGCTTCAATATGGTGCCGCTAGGAACAGTTTGTTAGAGTTTTTCCGGGCTATGCGCCCCTCCTCGTGGTCCATGTGCTCATCAGTTTTCGGGAATCTACGTAGCTCACACATTAGGAAACCTACAACTACATACATCACGGCGATTCTTGTCTTTTGTTAATGAGTACAAAGTCCACGACGCATCGAGTCATTTGCAGAGAACAGAACGAGGAAGCCAGGCAGTATTCGGTCCATTAGTTGCAAGTGGAGATCTGTAGGTTAATGTCTCCCCAACCGTTGACGTGAGCATTTAACCAGACAGCTTGTTCATCCCTCATATTACATAAGGGGAACAAAAAATTGAGCTTAATATCTTTATCACAAAAGGAACAGACCTTTCAATGAATTTTCAAGCGACAGTAGGTGGAAGCGATAACAAAACGATGGCGTATCTCATCTTTGAGCTCTGGGGGTACTTCTCCACAGGTCTCAGCCGGAACGGCATCTTGAATGTTGGCAGTTGCATAGTAAAGACTCCCATAACTGTTGACGTTCATAGTTAGCATATCAATATATCAGAATCGGCGGATGACTACACCAGTTCAGTGGTACTTGGAGCAATTTTGTCTGTAGTTCAGCGAGCTCTTGTGCGAGCTGCATTCTGTCATCGATGGGAAGATCTTCCCACACTTCTTGCACCATGGTACCTGATGCTTCATCCATAATGATATACTCAGAAACTACGGAGTTATCCATGTCTGCATCCCAATCATACAAACGGGGTGTCGGTATTCCGAGAATCGTTCGAGCCTAGGTGGATATTAGAAAGATCACATTATGTTATTGAAACGCGTTCAGAATCTCACAAAGTCCATGGTTGCGACCTCAGATGCCGTAGTATAGTACCTGGGCCCTGCATTAGGGTGGGGGATTCGTGCAATTACGGTTGATGCATTATCCATCTCAAGTCTGAAGCATTTATTGTAGTTCCCTTCTGCCAATTTCATAATTGCAGTGCATGTATCTGCACCGATGCTATGCGCTGCGATCCTCTTTAACTCAGACACATTGGATGGTGTGTATCGGTTTCGGGGTTGCTTCTCTTCATTCCATAACCAACGGCCAGCGGTGTATTGGAAGAGGTCCGTATCGGAATCAGCCATCCTCGCAGGCTATGATACAGAGAATGACAAAATTGTTGGCAGGGGATAGACGGAAGAGCAGTGAGTATGACACCAAAATTGTATGGCATTGAGGTGGTATATCAAATTTCGTGGCTTCATTTGAGTTTTATATTTCGAGACGTATCCTGTAGTGACAGGAAGTTTGGATTGTGCTAGAAGGTCGTTGCGACTTAATATGCCTACTGATGCATTTTGCCTGTAACTTTTACACGGAGCCTTCCAGGGCATCGTTATTTGCTCTCTGGATGGATAGCGCAATCCTACCCGATTTGAGGCTTATTAGCAAATGCTGGGATGTCCGATACGGCCACGGGAAGCTACCACATCCACATCACCAATAGGGGAGGCTAGACTACATCAAAGGCATCTGTGAATCAGAAGAAGATAGCAATATCTGCTACCTCCTTTTCTCGATATTGTGTTACCACTGACGACAACTACTATGAGATATATTGACATGCCCAAACAGGCAAGTTCATGTCTGTGGCAGAAATAACCTCCCTAAGCAGAAGGCGGTCTGTCAGCCAGGTGGTGGCTTCCGCGATTCCGAACAACTTCCGTTGGTAGATCCCGCATGACAGGTGAGAAGCGATATAATCCTACTTAACAGGATAAATCTGGATACAGAAGCCAAATGGTGGGTCCAGACGCAGTTGCACATGAGTCACGGGGTAGCAAGCGCTCTGGGGATGGTATTCACCTCCACGGTGCTGATCAGCCCAATCCATCACCCGACTCGAAACGGCAGAGACGAGGGAGATATGTCTCTCAGGCCTGGTATGATATCATGCCTCGGGCGACCTCGGCTTCTTCCGGTGAGCTGACCTTGAAATTTAAAGTATGCAATGTCGCCGGCGAAAGGTCAAGGTGAGAATGCACAAAACCTGTCCAAAAACGATTTAACTGTTAAATGTGAGCCCAGTGTGATGGCAACTTGCCTTGTCAACCCTGCCTCCTTAGCGAGAGACGATGTTCCCAGAATGCCGTCGATTTGCGACGCCGAATATCTGTTAGAAATGGAGTGCCTGCAAGTGGTGTGAGGGAATCAAATGCTCGAGAAGACATTGACGGTTCGGAAGATCCTGCGTCTGTCACCTACTATCACTGATGCACTTCACGGACTGCTTCTAACCAAAACTTCAGAATAGGGGGGAACAGTTTATTGACAAGACTGGATCGAGTGGAGCGACAGTTGCAGTTCCTCACCAATGCTTTACGCTCTGGCTCAAACAGATATGGCCCCATCGATGCAGAAACAGGCCCAGTGAATAGATTACGAGTGACCGGAATCGAAAATGAATTCTTTGTCGCTTCGAAAAGCAAAGAGTTTACGCATGATGAGGTAAACTCCTTTTCTGGTGAAACTTCTATCAGACATGCGTTGGAGGAAGTCGAAGGACGCTTGGAGACAACCCAAGGCCACGGTGGTACTGCCACCAACGTTCCACACTCTCAGATTTCAACTCCGATCTTAACTCCGTCGCCTCATCACGAGAGGAGAGAAAAGAGTCCAGAGTATGATGATCACCAAGACATACTTCAAATGTACGATATTCAGCCAAAGCGACCGCAGTGGGATAAGTCCTTGAACATCTTTTGTACCGAAATCCATATATTGTATCCGTTCCTACACCTACCAGCACTCCGACACAATTACGACGCCATGTGGAATAGTTTCGCTTTGCCTTCCGAACCCGACATTCACAACTCTAAGATATCCGAGATAGCGCTGGCTCAGCTTCTTACATGCATTGCTATTGGCCAATGTACCGAGTCTCCAAGGTTGGAGAATCGAGAAGGGCGACATTCGGCAGGCTGGAGATTATATGGAGCGGCATATGGAATGATTGGAGACCTCCTTGACAGTTTCGGAAACTGCCCAGACTCACTACAACTTCTGCAAACACTAGCTCTAATGGTTCGTTGCAGCCCTCATCTAACAATATGTATAAATCCCGCTTACATTGCGTTCCCGTAGGTGATTTATCTCTTCCGACTCGATATCTTCGGGAAGGCCGAAAAGCTCCTGGCTCTTGCCATCAGCCATGCACATCATCTTGGGCTGCACCGATCTAGAGTATTACATAACATGTCTCCATTTCACAGTGAGATGTTTCGACGAATGTGGTGGAGTCTCTACATCTTGGATCGTCGCGTGGCTATTGAGACCGGCCACCCATTCTTGATCCAAGACATCAATGTCGATACGCCTTTACCACGACCAGTAGACGATGACCAGCTCTCCAGATTCTGGAATCGCTCGAATGTTGACCTACACACACTTCAACCATCGGAAGCAAGCAGCCCTTATACCACTTCGTTTCGCTACTTCAAAGCTATGATAACTTATTCGCAAGTTCTAGGTAAAGTATGGGAGGGGCTCTATGGCGCTTCAAGCTTGGATCAGGCTCCCAAATATTCCCTCCGTGAGCACCTTGAACGCCTGCTGTTCCGGGCTCAGAAAGATATCCACCAGGACTTTGCCCATCCCCGCTACGGACCACGCGCAACACAATTTGTCGAAACGCCATGGTGGCTGATAAAGCAGCAAGCGCTAATGCGAACTGTATGTTACTTAGTCCGCTGGTTTCCATTGTTTCTGTCTTGCTAACATCCCCAGCGGTGGTTATCCGCTCGCCTTCTGATACGCAGGCCTCTGCTTTTCGCATCTGATACATCTGACGGGACTCCTCTTGACTCGTTCGAAAACGAAGTGTCATGCATGCAAATTGCCAATAGCATTATCGAAGAAGTCTCTCAATTCCCTGAGGAAAAGGCCATCTTCACGTTTCCCTTCATACACTACCTAATCGGGGCGACAATAACCTCTCTCGGGCTGATAATAAAGGAGAATACGTTCAAGGCTGCCTATGGCGGAGCCACAGTTCATGCCGTCCGATTGCTGGAGTCTTATTGCACCAAAACATGGGTATCTGGGAAGTTGATACGAGTTGTTTCAAGGCTGAGTCATATGGCGTCTCGGTTATTGAAAGATGACGTTGTCGTGGGCTCGGAAATCTCACTATACAAACATTCATCTCAGGCTCCCGGGGTTCTGGACGCTCAAGTTCGACAAACAGAGATTGGCAGTGGCGAAGGTTCTTCTGTGGCTCGCCCAAGCCAAGTAGTAAGCGAACCGTTAGTAGGGGAACGCGAAATTGTGGGGCCTGACATGAATGTTCGTTCGGGTGAAGCAGGCGAACCCACTTGTCAGATGCTACCTTTGTACGGGCGAGATATTACTGAGCCTTGCTTGCCTACGCAAGTTCTGTCATTCGATGGCCTGGCCAGCCTAGTTATGTCTGACTTTGATTTCGAGGAAGGTGTTCCGGTTGGTACCAGATTTGGAATACATCCTACTCAAGGTGCTGCACGCATATACCCCTTACCAAGCGACCAGCCAGAAGGGAGTGCAGGCACCAGTCATACCAGCTCAAGGCCCTTGGCTATGCATAACGAACTAACGGCTGGTGAACCAGTGGCACCTTTCGATGCTGGAAATTTTGGAGGTAGTGGATTGGGGGAGATGGAATGGCTAGAAGCGTTGTTTGGCAATTATGTCAACTCTGATTATATGCACGGTCAATACACGTGATGCCTTTTCAGAGACTAATAGACGATCTAAATTTATCCATCTTCATCGTTCACACGTCCTCGATTGCTACGTAAAAAACCTGGACTTTCCACGACTTCACTCCCAGTATACTTCAGGAGAGGACTGGATATTATAAAGCAAGAAACAGGCTAATCCGCTCGAGCCAGCGAAGTGTGCGACGGCAAGACACCAGCATTCTCGAACGACCTGTACGTTTCGATCCAGGTGTCGAACGTGTTATCGTGTCGCTGCCAGCCATACTTCCTCGCTTTGTTGATGGACGAAATCGTCAACCACGACTTGCCCGTCGCCCAGTTAAAGAAACCCCAAGTGCCCCAATCAAATGCCTCGACCTTGCCTCCGTGCTTCTGAACGACAGTCCCCCACACTGCACGCTTGTCCTTTGCCCATTCGACCATATCAATCTCGTTGCTCAAAGTCTTTGCCTGGCCAGCGGCCTTTTCGAACTTGGGCTCTGGTACCTACAGGACGACACAGTTAGCCTGGGTGTGGCAGCATTACTATCACAATGAACCCCATACCTCAACCCCGAAATATTTAGCCACATCCTGCCAGATATGCTTCCACACAAACACATCACCATTAACGTGATTGAAGACCTCATCCCTGCAGTGTTCCTGGGAGGAAGCCCAGACCGTGAGATCCGCCAAGCTCGGTGCGTAGGAGTTATCGTCAATGGAGTTCCAGAAGTACTCGTTTCCGGGGAACGTTGCTGGCTGGTTGAGCTCTCTGCAGATGATCATGTAGATGGCGATGGTCAAGGCCTCCGACATTCCGTTTGCTGGATGATTTCAGGACAGCTTAGCCGACAGATCGCACCACAGAGGAAGGAATGGATGAACTGATAAATGAACCCACCATGCGGAGCGTATCCGTTGATCGCATTCGGTCGGATAATATTATACGACCAGGTATTCCTTCTCTTCTGGACCTCCCTAAGATAATCTTCCTGATTGTAATAGAAATTGAACCCTTGGTCGTCGTACCGCGAGAACGACTCCTCCAAAGGCACCTTCACTGGACCGAGATGCACCCCGTAGTACTACATTTATCAGCATCAACCTCATAACTCCTTCCACACACCACCAAAAGAACCAATACATAGAGAAGAAAACATACCTTCCCCCCAGTCTGCAAACTCACCCGCCGCAACGCAGGACAGACCGCATCCACAGCATCCAAGAAGTTCCTGAACAGAGGAACATTCTTCTCCCTCAGAACCCTGAAGTCATCGTCGTGCACGTAGGAAGTGAAATAAGCGTGCGTTACTGGTGCACAGATATCCTTGATCTTAGTGATGATGGTTTCCACGGGCTCAAGGAAATCCACAGCGACGAATTCCACTCGTGGGTCGATCCACGGTGTGGGCAGGGGACGTCGAGAGGTGACGATGATTTTGGACCTTGGGTGATTGATGATGTTAGGAGAGATGGTGGTGTGGTGAGGAGTGATGAGGGGTAATGGGATTACCATTCTTGCTTGGGTTGGCGGATGAGATGTTCCACAATTGCGTGGCCGCTGATGCCGTTGGCACCGGTCACGAAGGCGACTTTTTCGGGGAGGGGGGACATTTTGCTTCTTGGTGGTACTTGAGAGGGAGAGATTGTTTGTGGCTTAGGGTGGTAGTGGTGGTGATTGAGATGGGGAGTCTGTCTCTTTATATAGTTGACATGGTGGGATTGCTATATCTACTTGGTTATGGATCAAGTCGATCCTTGCCTTTTTGCCATGGCACGGATATCACGGCATCTGAAACAGAGCCGAGTGATCATCATCTGTCCATGGAGCTATTCTTCTGGGTTGGACTGATTGCTGATTCGGTGCGACGTCTGTACCAGTTCCATCTTTCTCAACGAAACCACATCAACTTCTTCATCTACCCAATCCATTTTCAGTTATCCATGGAAACTGCATCATATTGTGGACACCAACACTCGCCTTCGAGAATATCAATTTGCCTCCGTAGGATAATCGGATACATCGGCCTCAAATGCACCGCTCGGCGATGCCGATCATCTGCAGCTGTGGATGCAGTTAAGCATAGATTTAACCTTTCCTGGCTCGATGGGCGGGTTAGGGCTGGTGGGTGGGTGGAGCCAGATTTCTGTTGTCGATGGAGTTCCGTGCAAGTTCCGTGATTGTTCCGTTGCTTTTTCCGGGTAGTTCCATAGTTCCGTGGCAGCAATGTTCCTGCGGGTACACGATCAGGCTGGAATGCTATACTCATGTTCCCTATATAGACTAATATCAATGATTGTTGGCAGTAAAGGCTGACAGGATCTTCTCTGAATCTCATTTTTGGTGGGCAGCATGGTACAGTATATACTAGTAACAGTAGCTGCTGTATCATCCGCTTAGAATATATATTTGATGTACTGAGAATGTGAGAATAACCATTGAGTCGGTAATACCACCAGAGGTAAACAGCATTCATACTAGTAGTCCGCTAGATCATTTCCATCATGTATGTTGCTCGCTGTAGTTCAAAATATAGCATCATATTCTTGTAAGCACTGAGTTACTTCATGTACCGGGCCGCTACTCAAAAACCAAGTGCAGAGTTGCCAGGGAAGAACGCTAGTTTTCCCTCATATAGCAAAAGATATACTGTATCTTTCATCAAATGGGGCTGTGGTTTAGTGGTATAATATTCCCTTAGCATGGGAGAGGTCCGGGGTTCGATTCCCCGCAGCTCCATTTTTTTCTTTTCCTTTTTAGCCACCCCAACCACTTCCATCCCACAAACTACACAGCCAACAACACTATACCACTCCCGTCCTAGACAGATCATCCCTCCTCTCCCAAGCCATTCCCCAATCCAACACACCACACCCCACCTCCCTTACCCACCCCCAACTCCCTATCTACTCACCCATTACCACCATGCCCCCCCAAATAGCCTTCATATCCGGCCCCATCGACACCGGCCCCAACGAATCCTACTTCCACACACACTACCCCCCGCTCCTCACCGCCGCCATCACTCGCAATGACTCCTTCGTCCTCGGCCCACTCCCCTACGGCGTCGACTCTGATGCCCTCTCCTACCTCCTCCAGTACCCAGTCTCTCCCGCCCGCATCACCATCTTCGTGACCTCGCGCGAGGACAGCCTCTGGGGAATGCAGTTTCGCGCGCTCGGGGTCAATGTGCATGTTGTCGAGGGGGATAGTACCCACGATCGGGACGCCGCTATGACTGCTGCCAGCACGTATGATATCCTGAGGATCAGGACGGAGGAGGAGGCGAAGCAGATGTATGGGAGGTTGTGGAGGGAGGGGTACGTGACGAATACGGAGAGGAACTGGAGGAGGAGGAGGGGAGTGGGGGAGGATGAGAGGGTGGAAGCGGAGGTGGTTAACGGAGTGTTGGGGGTGAATGGGGGGAAGAAGAAGAAGAAGAGGTTTTTGGGGAAGGTTTTGGGGAGGTGATACATATTGTTCTTTATTTGGCTGTATCTAGATGTAGGGGTTGTGTTGTGTATGTGTGCATTGCTGATACAAGGGAGACACATGTTGTGCTACTTGGTAGCCCTAATTCGGGAATTTAAACACAATCTTGACACCATTTCCCCAACAATGTCCCAGTAATCGGTCCCAAGGATGAAAATGTAAGACTAACCATCCGAGCCTGTGTCGTTTCCACCGGCGGAAGCCACCGCACACCCAGGAGGAGAAAACCGGGTTTCATCGTTAGTGTCATTGCGGCTTGCTTCGCACAACTGGGTTAGACTCTAACCCGTAGACCCCGACGAATGTAGGATAGGGCATTTCTCATTCTGCAGCTCAGCAAACGATCCATTGAAGTGATAGTGCTCTGGCTCAAACTCGAGAATGTCGAGGAGAAAGGGCATTATACACTTGATAAGGACCCTCTACGTTTCTGGAGAGCCATCGCAATCGATGACTTGCAGTTTCAATAGAGGACAAGATCCACCTTTGCTATTTCTAGCAAAGCATTGTTCTGCTCCAAGGTGTTTCTTGGTGACATAAACAGGATCTGTACCAGAAATATACTGTCAGAAAGGTTCAATGAAGGACCTATCCTGCAATATTGATGGGTGCCCTCACCTGGGTGCCACACATGATCGCAGCCATGAAAAGGATAGTATGCCGCAGATTCGACGGGCCGATGTAGGCCAAGACCTTCTGACGTGGATGAAAATGGAGAGCCCGACGAAAGGTCTGCTCCGTGCACCGGGCCATCCGATTCACGGCTGCGGCCATGTCTTGCATAGTCACATCGCGAAAGCCATCGGCAACATCACTGGACATTGAGATGCAAGCAAAGACGCGTTCAGGCTCCTGATGCGCAAAGTAATCGATGACGTGTGGAAGCAATCGCTTTCCGCGGTACTTTGCAGCACCTTGTGCCCACGGCGCAGCGGTAGCAAACTGATTCATCATGCGATTACGTGAGGCTCGATAAGTGGTGAATTTTCTAACTTTCTAGGATGGAATGAGAGATGAAGTACTGAGGTAGAGACAATGAGAGGACATACAGACGCTTCTTATGAATTTGTCCTGATGCCGTGAGTTCAAGACAGAGATCAGAAGAGCTTACTCTGGACGAATCTCCACGTAGTCATGATCGAGGGGGAAGAACAGAGGAGGGTATTTGCGAGAGGCCTCCATGTTTGCCTCAATAGGAAATAGTAAGCCTTCCAGGTACTGGACCTCGCCTGTCTGGTCAAGTCCCCTACATTGAAATGCTAGTATGACCATAAGTCAATTTGTCGTGTTATTGGTCCCTTCGTCCCAGACATCAGCTAGCCGTAGGAGGCCCGGTACAATGATGTTGATATCCCAGCCTTGACATGGTAGCCTCACATGACCCTTAACCAGTAAGTAAATGATCTATTGTAGGGGCGAAACAGTGGAGGGTATTGTTGTGTATCGGCGGGTATTTGGCGACCCATCAGCGGTGGAACGCCCCACGACTGAACAGTGGACGGAGTGGATGTACTCCGTAGTGGATGTAGTGGATAGAGCGGGTGCAGTGGGTTGATGGATGCAGTGGATCGCCAGTGGATCTGGTGCGAAGCTTAAGAGTTTGGAATGCGGAAGGGATTAAGTACACGGGCCGCACCGGCGCCAAGAAAAGCTGCACTGATTGGTGGGTCTGCTGGGAACTACTTGGTCATGAGGCTAATAGTACAAGGAGAGATGCATGCATACCTGCATGCATGCATGTTAGACAACCAGGGATCCGACCAGGTGGCAGAGACAGGTCTCACAGAATGCTGCGTTAAAGAAGCTTGGCCCTCCCACAGCCCCCATCTTGAAACTTCCTAGTGAAAACCGGATTAGTCTTTTACGCAAGTATCGTTCATCTCAGCCAATCGACTGGCAAGAGCAGTATTGCACGATGTATGAATCTCAAAGAGACCAGGCAGTTTGGTTACTGTAGCAAAATTACCCAGGCTGCTTGGCGGAGCCTTTCTGGCCTGAAGAACGTTTCGCAGCATGATGCATAAATCGTAATTATACTGCGGAACAAGCGTAACATAGGCGCTTTACCAGCAGACTCGATTCAAGAACGCACTTTTAGCGCAATGACAGAAGGCTTATAGTCTTCTACCAAGGAAATGGTTGGATACTAGCGAAATTGGAAGTTATAATGAAGATCTTACATACAACAGAAGGATCAATGGTGAAGCTTACTAAGCACTCCAAAGATTGTAGTTAACTATCGATACTTAATTAAGTATCCTGAGATTAATTCAGGGCACTGTCAGTATTCTAGTAGATTGTTCTAAGATATTGCTCAAAGTAAAAAGGTGTCAGCCTTTATACTGTAAGGAGCTACCTAGAGAGTAGCTACCAACAAGGCCAAAAAGGCCATCATTACCCGCAGAAACCTGCGGAAACCCAGATATCACAAATGTACTGAATCACACCCTAGGAGAATGTGGGCGGACTTACTTAGTAAGAGATATCTTGCTTACCCTAGCTATGCTTCCTTTTACTTCTATTATCTATACTGTCTTCTTAACACTCCCTGAGGAGGGAAAGAAGTTATCTAGTTATATTATCACGCTAGCTTAGGCTGTCAAGTAAATGAGAAACAGAATTGGCAGTATTTTGGTATAGCCTGTAACAGCATGGCACATGTACATGATACTCATACAAATTCTGTCTCTAACGAAGTCCACTCAGCCATCTTTCACTCTCTCTTCCGGTGCTGCTCCCTTTCTGCCTGACCATTAGTATGTCCTGCGACTGCGCCAGGCTGAGCACAAGTTTCACAGAACAGTAGAGCCAGACCTCATTGACTCAGCGTGCGCTTGAGCGGCAGTCATCATTAGCTAGACACCAACTGTACGTCGCGTCATCTGAGTAGGAATTAGTACCGCGTAGCAACTGATTAAGGCAAGGAAGGATGACAAAGGGCATTCTTTACCAGTGTACGAGCAACAACATCTCTTGTAGCCTCCAAGAGAACACTCGCCACCATCGCCGCAACTACTAGTTCTCATTTGATAGGGGCGGGAACTATCCTGGACCCAACACTCTTCTGGAGAACACATAGGGTCAGTCCCCAGCCAGTAGCAGTTGACAGAGTCATTGTCGCCTTCTATGATACTGATTAGTTATGTCACCGTCGAACCATTAACAGGAGGAATATTAGTAGTAACCGAACGTACCCTCCTGTGCCAGACTAGAGCCCGCGAACAGCATAGCGACGAAGAAATAGTTGAAGTGCATGATGAATAGTAAGGATCAGTCTTAGACACGGTAGAGATTATATAATTGAGGGCTCGGTAGAATATTATCTTTTGAGTCTCAAATTTGTTGGAAAAGTAGAGGGCTTAGTAGCCTCTACTTATATTGCTATTATTGCGAAGAGATTTTGGGTGTGAAAGCGTGTTACAGTTGTTTGATGCAACATAGCTCTGAAGTATGTAACGCAAATTGACCATGGAACCTAATAGTGACGTAGGATAAAACAATCAGATTTGTCTGCTTTCAGCCAACCATCTTTTGTTCTTTGATTCTGTATGCCGCGGACATCGGCCTGGCCTGAGACATGTCACGAAGCGGAGAAGTGACGCTGTCATGTAAACCCCCCCAAAGTGAAAGAATGCGAGTCTTGAATATCCTTTTTTAAGGGCTGTTAGCAGGTCGACTCGAGCTGAGTAAGTAAGAAATGCGAGACTTTTACTGGCAGCGGCTATACTCCATTGATGAAGGTGAAGTTCATACGGAGTATATATTAATCTATTCAGACCATATTGTTTAGAAACCCCGAGATTATCTCAGTTATGGGGAATATGTTGATTTAAATTCAATTTCTACAAGTATTATATAAGTCGTTATACCTTGAATACTTAATCGGTTAATCGCTAAGGCTTTTCATTCTCGAAAGCGTCTATACGAAGCCTCTGGGGCCATTGTCCTCTAAATATGCGAAGGGCCATATACTAGTAGAAGGGCTATTGGTAAGACCATAAGATCTTAGAACTTTTAACACTTCCTATTAGATTAACTATCAGGCTAGAAAATCTTTAGACTTTACCGCATGACTGAGAAACTGGTAGTTAACAATCTTTATTGCCTCGCTGACAGTAGATTAGTGTTGATAATGTATCTAGATCAATTATAGATTAACCTGATTATCTTAGCCCTCATCTTCCCTCACTATAAAAAATTCAGACTTGCAGACTTTTATACCCCGGATCTCTTAACTACAATAAATTTTAGAGTAAACTCTAGATTCAATAGAACGGATGACCTTTTGGAGAGCCGAACACCCGGGAATAACGGCGTGAGGTAGTATCGGGAGTCATGAGGTCATACATAGCGTTTCCTTGTCGTTCCGCATTGAATAATAGTTAGAGACTTTTTCGGCTACTGATCATCTCGCCCTCCTGGACTACTGTAGAGATGGCAGAAACCCAACATCTTGTGGACTTCCGACATCTTGAAGGATCCTCGTTGATCAAGCGTGAGGATTATCCGAGCTGCTTTAGTTGGTTGGATCAGCTGGGCTGAAGGATGACGGTCTTACGCACCGCCGGTAAGCATCGCATGCTTCTTTCTTCGCTCTTTATTTCTTGTATAAGTACAATGGATGTGTATTTTGATCTTACGGCGACATCTGCGTTTCTGTCGCCATTCAGAAGAGTTAATTATAGAGCCCTACCTCGGTCAATCATTCCTCCGCCATGTCTATTCTCATTTAAGGCACCGTTATATTACTATCGTAACAATGACTCCCTTAGTTCACTTGATAGCATGATAAAAAGGAAGGCATAAAAACATACAACAGAAGGGATTCGCTGGTGGTCACCCACCCAACTACTAACCTCCCGGCGTGTGGCTTAAGTACGGCTGAGCGGACGGGAAGCCCTGTTTTCCACACCCTGTGGTCGTATGTACTAGTTAATCATTATGTTTAGGTTATATCGTGCGAGTGGATAACACAAAAGAGGAACCAGAATGACTGCGGGCAGTAATGAAGTTTGTCGTGTTACACAGCCCGAGCGAAGCCGAACCCTGCGTTCATGCATATCCCAGTGGGGCCAGCCAGCCATGCGGTACAAACAGAAAGTAAGAAAATCCCCATGCGTATAGCAAATAAGATCAACAGGTAGCATGCAAGCATTAGCAAGTTTCAATGCGTGCTTCAAAACAGCTCCTCCTTCCAACAAACGAAGAGTGGGGAAGCTTGGGGGCCATCAGGATGCTCAGTGAAGCTGACTCAGCGCAACAAAATCATGCTAACTAACTAGATAGTATTCGTAAGATGTATCTATCTTACTGGGAGGCTGTGGAGATAGCGGATCCTAATATCATGAAGTGTTCATCGTTTAGCAAGCGGCAGGATTACCCGAACTGCTTTGATTGGTGGATGAATGGGGCTGCAAATTGATGGTCTTACTACCATGGGGAGTCTATCAAGTATCGCATGCTGCTTTCCTCACTCTCTAATTTCTCGTATAAATAGAATGATTGTCTCTGTTGATTTCCTGGCGACACTTAAAATCCTGTCCCTCTCTCAAATAAGCATTTTAGAGTCCTATATAGCTCGCTTCGTTCATTTCTTCATACTCATTCGAACCTCCGTCATCACAGCTACAACTGATGTCTTCCTCATTACACGCTCCATTTGAGGCTGACTACGTGATCGTCGGCGGAGGAACATCAGGCCTCGTACTCGCCTCTCGATTGTCCGAGAATGACTCCACTCGGTCAGTGATTGTCCTTGAAGCCGGGAAAAACCTCATCGATGACCCTCGGGTCCAAACACCAGCTCTTTGGACAACCCTGATGGGGTCTGAAGCAGACTGGCAGTTTCTGTCAACTCCTCAGGTATGTCTCAATCGGGATTTCATCGAGTATTCCCCGAACACTGACTGATGGTGTCAGGCTGCACTCAATAACCGAGTCATCAAGGAACCACAAGGCAAGGTTCTCGGAGGCTCATCAGGCATCAATGGACAGGCCTTTATTGCGCCCACGAAAGCGGGAATCGATGCATGGAACAAATTAGGTGCGACTGGTTGGACATGGGAAAATCTTTCTCCTTACTATAAGAAGGCTACTACGCTGCAGCTGCCGGACGAGGCTACCCGCAATCATATTGGGGTCGGCTGGGTTGATCCTGAGGCCAACGGCAACTCAGGTCCGATCAAGGTCTCTTTTCCGGCTGTGAAGGAAAGTCCCATGGCCAAAGCCTGGGTAGAAGCTTTCCAGGGAATGGGGTATGGCTGTACAGCAGATCCGTTCTCGGGTGTCTCCACTGGCGGCTACTCCAACCTGGCATCCGTTGACTACGAGAAGAAGCAGCGGAGTTACGCCGCGACGGGATACGGTCTGCCAGCTATGGGTAGGCAAAATGTCAAGATCCTCACTGAAGCTACTGTCCAGAAGATTCTTTTTTCTACTAGCGATAACGGTGCCATGGCAGTTGGAGCAGAAGCCAAAATCGAGGGACAAACTGTCACTGTCAAGGCTAGGAGAGAAGTCATTCTTACCGCCGGAGCCGTTAATACCCCAAAGCTCCTGGAACTATCGGGCATCGGGGACAAGGAGAGACTCGAACAGCTTTCCATACCTGTCATCGTGGAAAACTCAAACGTGGGAGAGAACCTCCAAGATCATCTCATGACCGGGATCAGTTTCGAAGTGAAGTCAGGGATTGCTACTGGGGACCCGCTGCTACGACAAGAGCCCGAAGCAATCCAAACTGCCTTCCAACTCTACTCTGAGCAAAAGACAGGACCTATGACCATCGGAGGCATCCAATCCTCCGCATATATGCCACTGACGGACTACTCAGGGCAGCCCGAAGCCCGAGAGGCTTATCTCGACAGTTTCCCACCCGTCGCCAACGAGCGCGACCAAGTCATCCGCGACATTTACACGCAAGAACATGAACCAACCTGTCAGATGTTCATGTTCCTCGCCCAGGCAAATCTACACGAATCCGGGAAGAGCTTTGTGGGACAGAATCTCCTACCCGGAAATTTTCTGAGTCTGGGAATCACCCAGAATCTACCTTTCTCGCGCGGAGCTGTCCATATCGCGTCAGCAGATCCAACGGTGCCACCAATCATTGACCCTCGCTACTTTTCCCATCCGCTGGATCTGGATTTAATGGCGCGAAACCTGTTAAGTGTTGAGCGACTTCACAACGTCAAACCTATCGCAGATTACTTAGTGGAGAGCGGACAGCGAAATCATCTGGAAGCGTTTCTGACGGATCTGGAATCGGCAAAGAAGTATCTGCGGGATACTGCTACTACGAGTTACCACTTATCTGGTACAGCGGCTATGCTCCCACAGGAAAAAGGAGGTGTGGTGGATGAGAACCTCCGGGTGTATGGGACTACGAATCTGCGGGTGTGTGATGCGAGTATTTTCCCTCTTATTCCCGCTGCGAATCCTATGTCGACTGTGTATGCGGTGGCGGAGAGAGCGGCGGATATTATCAAGGCTGAGCAGTAGGGTTGGTACTTAGTTTTGGTGATTCTAGTTCCGCGCTACACTTGATACATACTCCAGGAAAACAATCTCGCATGCTATAGAATTAACGGTACTGCAATATCTTCTAATAATCATAAGAAGACGCAATATATCCCTTCTGATCTCTTTAGTAGAGCCTTGAAAACCAACTTTGTATTCGTTACACGCAATCAGGCAACAAAACTGAGGCATTCCAAACAAAGAGACACACCATATAGCACAACCCTACCCCGGCGCCAAATACCTCGCCAGAAACGGCGCAATTGTCGAAAAATGAGGAAAGCTCCCCTTCTCCACTGTCCTCAACCGATTCGAAAACGTAGGCGGCCTCTCCCCGACCCAACCCCTCGCCCTATACTCATCGACAATACGAAACCTCAAATTCTTCGCATTCGCCCCAGCAATATCATACCACCACTCGAACCCTTGCACGATCTGAAATGTGAGAATCACAATACTCCCATCTTTCGCTGCGCGCTTATAAGCATCTACATATTCCGGTCCCAACTCCAGCGCCATCGACACGGGGGGCAGATCACCCCACATGATCATCCACCACTTGAGATCCAGATCACAGGTTACGTAGTCGAAGAGGAGGCCCATTGTGACGCCGCTGTTTTCGGGGTCGTTGGTATTATTATCCTCGGGGGAAGATGAAGGATCGGAGTCTTTCGGGTTCTGTTTGACGTATCTCTCTAGATCCATCACATCTTTCAATGTGCCTGGGATGCGGTATCGATCAAACGTCTTGTATCTGGCGTAGGACCAAACGCGGAGAACGGGAATGTTTGGTGCGGGCGGCTGCTGGGTTAACATGCGGCGCCAGGAGGCCTCGGGATGGAGGTAGGCCTTTCGGCGCAGGGGATATTTCTGGAGAGGGAGTTCAGAATAAAAGACTTGTGCTCGGGTGAGGTCGTCTTTGACGGGGTGGCTCCAGGCGCAGTCATCGCCGACGTATTGCATGGGGAGGAAATGCGGCGGGTAGCAGTCTCTTGGTTTGGCGAGGTCATTGTGGATGGTGTTTGGGAAGAAGGGTGGGAAACGTTCGATGAGGAGGGGGTTGTAGATGATGTCTTCTTCGGGGCATTGGGTTGGGGCGAAAAAGAGGGCCTGTTGGAGGGATGGGGATTCTTGGATTATTGTTGCCCAGGCGGTGCAGACGCGTTGGGAGAGGAGGAGGGTGCGGATGTCTAGGTGGATAAGGATGCGTTCGAGGACTTCGGGGATGAGAAGACCTCGATGGGGTGGTGATTCGGGCGTTTTTGGTGCCATTGTTGTGGCCGTGGTGGTGAAGAGCATGAGAGGTAGTACTTATGCAGGGTTTGGGGGTCTGCGGAGGTTGGAATTGCACAAAGATGCAATGCCCTACCGGGCTGATGGTATCGAGAGAAAGGGGTATTATATATTCCGCCTGAGAGGCGTGAACCAGTAGGAGTACAGTTGAGCAGGATATTAAGTGGGAATGGGAAGACTAAACCAAGCAACTAAGTTGTTAGCTTCATGCAGGAAGACAGGCGCGGACGGAATCCGGTAATGGGGCCACCCGTCACTAATTGTGTCTCAATGCTCGAACCCCTCATTTGGAAGGGGAGCAGGGTGTGGATGGAAGGACTCGATCAATCGAATTGGCTGCTCTATAAATTACTTATATTAATCTCATGCATGTCTCTTCACAAACTCCACCACTTGGTCCGGCACCACCAGCCACGGCGTATGTCCCGTCTTAACCTTGTCTGTCTCAAAGGTGGCTCCCTTGGCTCGTGCCTTTTCGACCATCCCTTCTTGCGCAAATAATGGAATTGCCCGATCATCTTCACATAGCAGATAGGCACTTGGAATTCGCAGGTACGCTGCACTCGTGGCAGGGCTATTCTTGGTCGCCCATGCATGAGGTCGTAGTGTTTCGGCCCATTTCTGTCCATCGGGAACATCGTGGAAGAATAACTTGAAAGGATCATCCGGCGTCACGGTGTCATTCTCCACCTATACCACATTAGAAATTTACTTTTATTAACATACAACTAACGGAGAAGGTATACTCACATCCCGAACATACCAGTCCGGTGCCACCCCTCCGAACGCCCCAATCAGGCTCTCGCCAACATCTGGAATGAAAGCCGAGAGGTAAATGAGCTTCACCACGCCGCCTGGTTTACCCGCTTCTTGGCGCTCCGTCTTGCTGAGTCCATCGAGGGCACTGCTGACGGGGAGACCAGACCAGCTGTGCAAGACAATTGCAACGTCATTTCCGGCATCGCATTCCTCTTCGACGACACTGCGGACTGCGGTAATATCGGGTTGGAGGTCTTTGACCTCAGTGGCTTGCTCGATGGAGGGGAAGGCCACGGTGCGGCAGGTATAGTCGGGGAGCTTTTCGATAAGTGGGCCGAATGCTACTGGTGAGTACCAGGCACCGGCACAGAAGACTAGCGTTGGGTTGGGCATATTGCGATCGTGGAGAGTTAGAATAGATGATGGGTAATTTAAGTTGGTAATGTAGGGATGAGAAGGGAATTGCCTCTTAATAAATGATCGCGATTCAGAAAATGGCCCCCACTGATCCGGTTACCAAGAGAGGCTGAAAAGTTATGGGATAGGTTGGCTCGTTTAAAAATTGCCAGATGGGTCTTGGGCTTCAATGATCCGCTGTCAGCACTAGATGTAATGGAATTGTTTGCGGGTTGTCGATAAGACGGTGAAGATTGGCCGAAGCGGGACGACATGCCAAGCGCTTCATCCGTCGCGGCTTACTGGGGGAAGAGCAGCTCTCGGTCGGCCCCGCGTTACTAGTAGCTTCAGGCTCCTGCTTGGATAGAATCACTCAATTGAGTTTTGTAAACACATGGCAGAAGAATGAGGGATCCTTACTAAGTGCAGTGGCAACCACCAATTGCAGTCTGCCCTAACAGTGGACAGGACAGATAGACGATACTTATCTGATAAGAAATGCGGTCGGACCCACGCAATAGATATGCTGACGTCGTACCGGCTTGCAGTCACGCAAGGGTCGAACGACTACCTCACCCCGCGATAGCCGTCACTTCTTACCTTTGACAATCCCACTTCATTGTGTGGCGGTGGACTCGACAATGACTGTCAAGGAGGAAACGTTTATCCCGCTGTATCGGACCTCGTCCTCTGGACGACCGCGAGGCCGCGCAACAAGACAATGGCAATTGCCAATTTGTGCGGGGATCTGTGCCGCGGCAATTCTGCTGGTCGGAGCGAATCCAAGGGAGTTGCTATTGTCAACCAGTGCAACCACGCATCACGATTTCTATGATGGACTACAACAATGCTATGATGCCGAACGCCAACTGCATGTACCAGATGCTGGGGACAGCTCAAGACAGAATAATCCCCGATGGAACCCAGTCTCTGGACAAGCCACCCCGGTCGTTATCCAAAATGCGACCCTCTTTGACGGCGAGTCGACACTCTCAGACGCCGTAGACATCTTCTTCGAGGCTGGTGTTATCATCTCCGTTGTTCCCACTGGCTCTGGTGATGCTCCGCCCGCGAACGCAAACATTATCGACGTCCACGGCAAGCATGTCACGCCAGGCCTAGTGGATATGCACTCTCATCACCTGTTAATGCCATTTCCTCAAGTGGCAGCAACAAGTGACGTGAACGAGAAGTCACTCGGACCTATTACTCCGTTTGTGCGCGCAATCGACGGCTTCACGCCGTCCGATCCAGCCATTAGGATTATCGCATCGGGCGGTGTCACCTCTTCGCTTGTTCTACCGGGCTCAGCAAACATCGTCGGCGGTGAGGCATACCCTATCAAGAATCTGCCCTTTTCAGGTGAACACGGTGAACTCATAATCGAGGAACTGCTCCTGGAGCACGGTATCCCAGAGCAAGACCGCCAGCGGTATCTTAAAATGGCGTGTGGTGAAAACCCGAAACGCAATTATCAACATACCCGGATGGGTCTTGCCTGGCTGTTGCGGGAGAAGCTCGCAGAGGCACGCGAAATCGAGCAGCGTCAGGCTGCTTGGTGTCGCGGAGCGTTGGAAATCGAGCACACCAGGTTTGATCGAGCTCGGCATATATCACACTTTCTTGAACAACAAGGGCGGCGACCGGATTCATTCGAGTTGGCTACGTTCGTGGCCTTGATAAGAGGAGAATTGAATGTGAATGTTCATTGTTATACACCGGAGGATTTGGAGCGTATGCTGGCGGTACTCCATGAGTTTGGCATTCATCCTCGAGCTTTTCACCATGCCTTGGAAGCGTGGCAGGTGCCTGAGCTGCTGAAAAGTCTAGAGCCGTGAGTATACATCCCATGTCTGTGAGTTAGATACCAACTAATAAATGCAGGAATGTCACCGTTGCTACATTCGCGGACAATGCGCTGTTCAAGGCCGAGGCCTATGAAGCGAATCTGCGAGCAGGGAAGATACTCAACGAACATGGAGTGCGGGTTGCTTTCAAGTCGGTATGAGAACGACCTTCGGAACCGTATGAATGAGACATACTAATATCAATATAGGATCATACCGGGGAGGAGAATTATGCCAAATATCTTCTGTCAGTCGCTTCCTAACACCTCTCCCGATAAGACTGCTGACACTTGGATAGCGACCAAGCCTCCATTGCTCACTCCTTTGGCTTACCAGCCGATAAGGCCCTACAGTCAGTCACCTCAGTTCCAGCCCAATCAATACAGCAGAGCCACCGCATCGGATATCTTCGTCCGGGTTACGACGCCGATATTGTTATTTGGGACAGCCATCCGCTCCAAGTCGGTGCTACGGCTGTCGAGGTGTTCATTGACGGACGTCCGTTGTTGCAGAAGGGAGACATTGCAGATGAATCTTCTTCTTCCGGCGTCGATGGTCTACAACGTGTACCAGAGACGCGACCGACGATTGATCTAGATCAGCGGACTAATGTCTGCTCAAAGTCGCGCCTCGTTTTCACTGGTATTCAGAAAGCCCTGATCGACAGCTCGAGTCTTGATCAAGCGACCGATGATCTGGTCCTTGTGGTCGAAGACAACACACTTGCGTGTCTTGGTGCGAAGCAAACCTGCCTAAGGGGCGAGGACGAGGGAGTCACTGAGGTAGCGCTGAACAATGGTTACCTCACTCCCGGACTGATTGCCTTTGGAAACAACCTTGGAATACAAGCAATTTCGTCTGAGGAGTCGACAGGTGACGGATCAAGTGGCCCAACTGGTGACATTCTGAATGAAGCAAAAAGCGTCCACTTTGCCAAATATGGCGCCCACCTCCATGGGGTTGCATTTGGCAGAGCGAGAATTGGAGGAGTCACGAGAGCTATCACCCCGCCGCATGGCAGTGGACTTGTCCGAGGTGTCAGTGTGGGGTTGAGAACTGGACCCAATGTGACGATACTAGATGGTGGAATCTGGAAGGACGATGTGGCGCTTCATTTCGTGATCGGGCAAGGGGCCAAAGGTGAGTAGTTCGGTTCCATACGAAACAAAAGAATATGTGTCTAACAAATTCTGTCAGACGGAGATACCCCGACCGTTGCTTCGGAAATTCAGACTCTCCGTCAGATCTTGCAGGAGGGCAGCAAGAGCGACGCAGAGCAGCACGGCGTGTATGCACAAGCTGCGGATGGCTCCCTTCCGTTGGTGGTTGAGACATACAATGAGGACGACATCGCGCAGTTGGTTTTGGTTAAACGAGACTTCCCTGCGACTAATCTGATTATATACGGTGGCCATAGCGCTGCTCTCGTACGTCACCCTCCATTTCAATCCCCGCTAGTCCCACTATAACTTACACCTTCCGATCAGGTCGCCAAACCCCTAGCCGAAGCAGGCATCCCAGTCATCTTAACTGGCAACCTCGGGGCGCCCGATAAATGGGAGAAGAAGAATGCGCTCCCGGGGCCGCCACTCAGCGACAGCTCAGCAAAGGTTCTGATTGAAGCGGGTGTACAACTGGGTTTAGCGTTGCAAGGCGATTCCAGACTCCACGGGTTGGCGCGGGAGGCGCGCTGGGCAGCTAAGCAAGCTGGACTGAGCGACAAGGAGGCTCTTGCGCTTGTATCATCCAACATTGAACAAATTCTGGGGCTCAAGAGTGCGGTCAATGTTAGCCAAGCATATGCAGGTGATTTTGTATTGTGGGATGGAAACCCATTGCGCGGAGAAGGCTCGGTGGTGGTCGCTGTGCGTGAGGGCGGGGGAGTTATGGATTGCTGGCCGGATTCTGGGATCTAAATCTTTGCTTCAGTGATGTGCTCATAGAGCATAGGCTTTGACTGGATGCAGAAGTGCTGTACTCGGTATCTGACAGCCACCGTGGAGCTGCCCATAGCCTATTCGAGTACTTGCAGCAAGGGGCGCGGGGAGGGAGAGAGTGTGTGTTAATTCGGGTTACAGACTTGTAGAACCGTTAGTCGCAGCGTCTCAAACTATTATGCGAGTGATATGAATACCTGAATCTAAGTAGATTTATCCGAAAGCTTAGTTGGTGAGTATGTGGCCTTGACTGCACTCTGAAGATGTTCACTGGTTCTTGGATGATCGGGTCGATAACGGGGGCGCTGGGGTGGGAGGATTTGCTGGATAATGTGCGAGTGATTCTCGCCGAGGGGAATCACTTCTCCTTGATGGATGCGTCGAATGTGAGTTGCCTCTTGTCTTGGATGTGATTATTTTTTTTTTGAAAGTAATACAGATGAGAAGACTGGCTTATTGACTGACTTGTTAACAGGTAGGTTCCTGGGGTCCGAAATTGGCAGATGTTCTGGTCGGTTAGGGTTGTTTCAATGGTATTGGTGCCTGGTTTGGTGGTAAAATACCGTGTGTAACGATATCCCGTATTAATGCCAGTTGCCCAAAAGGGAAACCTCAACTGATCGGCCTCTCCTCGAATTGATTGAGCGATCATCGAAAACCGAACATATGCTACTAATCTCTCGCTTGTAGTCCGTAGATATGGATTTGTGTCTGGTGTCACCCGGATACATGCTCTATTTCCCTCTTGGCCCTGCATTTGTTGCCGTGAGAGTTATAACTGATTATATATATGTGATGCATGCCACTCAGGCAGGCGTCTTGAATCGCGAACTGCTAGTACTACTACTAGTACTAGTAGTAGTCCCTATGTAGGGGGACCTCATGCCTAGAATACCCCATCTCTAGCACTATACACTTAGTTTTGAATGGGTATACATTATTAAATATATACAAATGTGACTGACACAACCCCCTCTCCGGTTAGTATCTCCTCCTGGATCCCATGGAGAGCTTAAAGACGAATAAATAATACACGCCAATCACACTCTCTTCACCTCTGCAGAAAATACACGCCAGAAGATACTGCACCAACGACAGCAAACAGACCCACCCACCGAATCAACCCACGACGAACATGCTGTCTTACAGTCCGGGTTATCGCCTCGGAATCATTGATTCGCGGGAATGGTATATCCTTCGGCACCTCCTTCCCCAGCGCCCTGCACAGCGGCTCCCACCCATCCCTAACATCAACAAACACCAACCTCTCCTCCGGAACAACCTCCTTCAACCACTCAATATGTTTATGATAAGCACCTCCGGGGCCCCCATTCCTCCCATAAATCCTTCGCCACTGCAACGCAGTCAACCCCAGATAATCCACGAAATGCCTCATCCCGGGAAGCGGCAGCAACATGACTTGAAGAAACCACGATGATCGCACAAGACCCTCCACCTGTGTCATGCTCTTACCCCACGCTACCGGATCGCGAACGGTGCAGATGACCTTGGCGTCGGGATAGACTTCCATCAGCTCCGGGACGAGTTGGGAACCGGGGGAATCGGTGATGGCGGCGTATCCGTCTAATTGGTGGTCGATGAGGGTGAGGGCTTGTTGTCGGTCAAGGGGGTATTCGTTGAGTACGAGGCGCATGATTTTCATCCATGTCGTGATTTCGTCTGGTGGGCCTATTGTTGTCTGCGTACCGCCGTGGTAGACGGGGCCGTCGAGGAGGATGGCTAAGGCCGCGCTGAAGGATGCTGTGCCGGTGCGGGGGAGGCCTGCGCCGATAACTTGGAGTTTGGTGCCGGGTTGGGGTGTAGAGGGGGTTTGGCCCATTTTAATGCAGTCGTGTGTTGATACGATGTATATATCTCAGGCGTTGCAAATTTGAGCTACTATTGGAGGGTAGGTAGTAGAGTCTCCGAGTATATATGATGTTCTATGTGGTAGTAGATGATTGAAGATAAGCAAGTTTCAGAGCGCGTAGGTCAAACTCTACATATAGCTGTCCTTAGGCGGGAATCCGGATCATGATTTTCAGCCCCAAGTGAAAGGTTCGAGGCAGTGGAGCTTATTATGGACTAGTGCTGACAGCGTTTGGCTGTGTGATCCTGCGTGGTATTTAGTTTGTCGACACAGCAAACTGCAGGTAAGAGCGGTAGTATCTCGGCGAATTTTCCAGCGAATGGGTTAGCGCAGCGGGCCTTGTAACCCTTGCGGGATGAAGTTAATGTTCATGATTGATCCGCTCGTCTAGCCCCAAACCGAACTAATGTGTCCGGTCGAAGGTTTCAGATTGTGGCATCTAAATCTGGGAATCGGGAGACCTACGGAGGAAACCAGTCAGGACTCTTACAGTGAGATAGGCTGCCTGACTTTTTATGACTGCTCAAGTTGTTTGTTTCTGGAGTCTTTCATAGATGACTAAGCATAACTGTTTATGCAAGACCGACTATCCCGTATCGGGATGTAGATACGAAGAGACGCGCTGGTCCTGTCAAGGCCTAGCTAGGCCTACCGGTCACCTGGGCTGCTCCTTCGCGTCTCCATCTTCCAGCGACACGTCGGTTCTCGAAGATCCCCCATACAATCGGGATTCTGAACTCGCACTGCTCACCGCTCGGTTCTCTTCTATAATGGCGTGGCAATGCTCATTGATTAACTGACTGATAACTGTCAGGGACTTTGCATCCCTCATCAACGCGTAATGATTGTCGCAGTCGACAACGCCCAAAGTGATGTTGGGACAGCACTTCCACCAATCGACCACTCCATCCTGAAGCCGATCGGGCAACGCCACATGAAGGCAATTACCCTCATATATTGGTGGACACTCTGATTCCTTCAAGGCTCTCACGTACCCATCGAAGCACTCTCGAAGCGGCAAGATGTCTTGAGGACTGATCTCCGACCTGCCCAGCGACTTCATGATCAAGCTGTCCTTCTCACTTTCACTCTCCGGTACTGTATTATCTATCTCGTAAGTACCAGGGTCGAGCAGGACTACCGAGCTGGAATGGGCTCCGTATAATTGGTCCCATTTTTGGGCCATCTCGAATGCAATGAGACCACCAAATGAATACCCCCCAAATAGCACGGGGTGGTCGGTCTGAATCTGTTCCTTGATATCGGTCAAGTAATGATTGGCCCATTGAGAAAGCGTTCTGGGATAACCGGCTGTGCCCATAAATGGGTCGTCGACTAGGAGCACATCAAACGAGTCGTCTAGTAATGGCAGCAGAGGCTTGAAAACAGTGGACTGCGCAAGGAATGGGTGAACAAGGACAATTGTTGCCACACTCCCTTGGCGCATCTGAAAATGTAGGTAGTTCGCATTGTGTCTGACAGCTGACCCCTTTCCAATTCTGGCTGCTTGCGACCGTACTGTTGAAGTCTGTGAAACGTCTATCAGATCGAGGTGCAGCTCTTGTCGACGAAGGATTGCGAGCAATGCTACGGCGCGAATGGAGTCACCGCCCATTTCATGGAATGCTGCGGTGACGTCAATTGAGTCTTCGTTGACCCCTAGCACCTGTGCTCAGAGTGAAGCTATCTTGTGTTCTAGGCTTCCCGGCGCAGCGTGCACAGGCACATGAGAGTGCCCCAGACGGTCTTTTGAACTCTCATTGTGCTTGTCCTCGGCCATCTTGGCAATAGCGATTCTGTCTAGTTTGCCACTTGTCGTACGAGGTAAGGGTTTTGTCTGCACCCAGATGAAGGCTGGAACCATATAGGCGGGAAGGCTTTGGGCCAGATGCTCCTTAATTGTGGCTTCACATATGACATTTCCGGGCTTGAGTTGATGCTCCACTTCAACACACGCTGTCAGGGTTTCAGTTCCGTTGCCCTGAAGCTTAATCACTGCACACGCAATGATTTGCGGATGCTTCCGCGCTACCGAACAAATCTCTTCAGTGTCAATTCGGAAGCCTCGAACTTTTATCTGCCCATCCATGCGACCAAGGTACTCAAGGTATCCATCTCCGTGGAGTCTTGCTCTATCTCCCGTACGGTACATTCTCCCCCGTCCCGTCGGTGAGAACGGGTCTGGTATGAAATGTTCCGCGGTCAACTCAGGCTGGCCTAGATAGCCCTGTGTCACTTGTAGTCCACTAATGCACACCTCGCCAACTGAACCCAGTGGTACTTGCTCCGTAGTTCCGGGATATAGCACCCGAATGTGTCTGTTCTGGCCCGGCTCTCCAATGGGAACAAACGATCGGCCTCCGCAAACATCAACATCTGGTCCTTGTACCTTGCAGGCTGCTATTTCAATGGTCGTCTCGGTAGGGCCATAACCATTCCAGACCGTTATTGAACTGGGTACACGACCCAGGATACTGACTGGAAAAGTCTCACCCCCAAAGATTAAAGAGCGCATGAAAGATAACCCTTCGTTGTCAAGGTCGTTCAGTATCAGCGTACTCAACGTGGGAGTTAGTGACAGATGTGTGACACTCAGATCTTCTAAGCAATGACTCAACCCGGAGAGCATATCCTGTTGCTTTCCCAACAAGAGTCGACCACCTTTGCAGATCGTGGCGAACAAATCTCCCATTGCCGCATCAAAGGTAGGAGCAAGCAGCGCGAGTCTGTTCGAAGTCCATGAGCAGTCAGTACTTCCTCTTTTGGAGGACAGAAACGATGCCAAGTTCCGATGATCGACCATCACCCCTTTTGGGATACCGGTTGATCCTGAGGTAAAGAGCACATAAGCCAGAGAGTCCAGAGGTAGAACTTTCTGCTTGTACGTCGGGTTGGTATTATGGAGAAGATCATCTACGGTCAGTGCAGTTGCTCCCGTTAACTTGACAAGATTTTGTAGCTTCTCGCCAGCATTCATACCATCCCAAAGAAAGACAGTGGCTGCGGTTGTTCTGCATATTGTCTCTAGCCTCTGCATCGGATGTTGAATGTCCATGGGAACAACAGCCGCTCCGGCCTTCAGGATGCCGAAAATGGCGCTAACCATGTGGAATGACTTCTCGAAAAAGATCGGAATGCATCTCTGCCTGGAGGTCTCACTTGTTTGATAGTTTAGCATTCCTTCAAGGCCTACAGCAATCTGATTACTTAGATCGTCGAGTTGTCTGAACGTGACAAAATCGCTTCTTTGGACCTGCAAAGCAATCTTCTCCGGCATTTCCATTGCGCGCTTGCGAAAGAGTTCGACAGCGGTAGACAACGCACCACCATCGTCAGAAGAAGATTTCCTATTTCCGTGGCCCAACAATTGCCCGATGGCAATCTTCTCTCGCTCAGTGATGACGAGTTTAGCCTCAGGGCGTCGTTCTCCCTGCTGTAGCATGGAACATGTTTGCATGAGGTCAATCGAATCAATGATGTGCTGTAACACCCAATCTGCATCTGCCGGAAGTATTGCCACCGGATCAAACACACATCGCATGTGAAGATGACCTGTGAGCTCTTCACAGAACGCTTCCAGCACTAAGGGAAAGTCGGTACGTTTCAACTTATCGTCAGCCATACGGAAACGGCTCCATGAACTTCCATGATTCTTGGAATTTGCAACTTGTCCTTGGAAAACAAAGAGCACCTGAAAAGGAAGCAAGTCAGGGTTCTCAGTCAACCGTCGAATAGATTCGAGTCCAAATTGCTGATATGGCATCGAGTCCAAGAATGCATCTCGGGCGCGCGTGAGGAGCGTTTCCATTGAAACTGTCCCTCGTGGTCCTTCCTTATAATGTTGCATTGCACCCGCTTGGAGCGAAATTCGTACCGGGTGCGTGGCGATGCAGGGGCCTTTGACGAACTCTGAATGAGCTCGGCCACTCGACACCTCACCGAAGATAACGTCGTCTGATTCACTGTGTACAGCAATGGACAAAGCCAAAGCCGCTCTCACAATACCGGCAGGGGTGGTGCCGTAGATTCTTGACAGTGCTTCTGCATCTCCATTCCATTCAGCACAAGCTTCCTGTGGGATTTGACCTCCATTCATAGGACCTCTGAGACCGCATGAAATTGGCCAGGTACATGTTGGCGTCCCATGTAGGTATTCATTCCAAAAGGAGGAGGCTATCGATCGATCCTTCCTTTGCAACGTGTGGATGAACGCTGTGAACGGCATGTGACTGTCCTGGCCATCGTTTGTTGGGCTAGTATCGTGTGTATGGTGATAATCACGAGACAGCCCATCCAGAACACAAGATAAATAGGCTTCGTCATACAGTGCGTGATGCATCGTCAACTCAATTGTGATTGCACATGTTGCATCATTTTGTCTTAATGCCAATGAAACTGGTATATGACCCATCCCCAGCTCAGGCTGTGGATCGAACTCCTGCTGCCGCAGCGTCGAGACCCTTTCCACTTCGTTGGAATCACACCGGAGGACGGCCTGCAGAAAGGCTCCACTGCAGAATCCGTTTATGGCCAAATTTTGCGGGGATGGTATGAAGGCTGTTCGAAGCATCTCCTCCCGTGCTACTGTTGAACGCCACGCTGACTGCAACATATCCACGTCCAAGTGTCCGTCAAATTTCAGCTTCATGGTAGCCAAATAAGCGGGTTGGTCTCCCAGGACGAGGTCGGCAGCAAGGACACCCTCCTGAAAGGGAGAACATGGCATTATGTGCACCACGTCCTCTGCACAAAACCCGACCGCATCCACAGCCTGGTCCCATCCATCGTGCACGACAGGCCCACAATCAGTAGACTCATCAACTTTTTGAATTCCGTTACCTTCTGCTTCTTCATCGCCTCTGCCATAACAAACATGTGAAATCCTGCTTGCCAAAGCTCGTGGCGTTGGGCAGTCGAAAAGGTCTCGGACCGTGATGGCACACTGTGTTCGCTGAACAATTTTCGATACTGCTCTTGTTGCCATCAATGAGTGGCCACCAAGGTCGAAGAAATTATCTGTAACGCCCACGTCACATCCAAGGACATGACCGAATTCTTCACAGACGACCACTTCGAACTTATTGCTCGGACGCACGCAGGCCATGTCAACGGGTGCCTGTCTAGGTGTCATTGTGGCCGCAATATCAGACAGAGCTCGTCTGTCTATCTTGCCACTGTGATTGGTAGGCATGTCGTCAAGAATCCGTATCGTGGCCGGAACCATGTACCAAGGCAGGCGTGATTCCAGAATTTGCTGGAGGTCCCTTTCAATATGGCGTGCCGACGGACCCTGCATCGGTGAATTGTTGAACTCCCGATTTGAGCGACCTTCATGATCCGTGTGGAATCGAAACATGGTCCTTTGTCGTCCACACGGGGGTTCAATGCGGTGAAAGATGGCGTCCAGTCCTCCGTGTTGGGAAAATTGGCGCGCCCAACTCAACTCCACATGGAACCCTGCCAAGTTACCCAGATCAACAAGATCCACTGCCGAAAGTCCATTAAGCTCATCGGCTCTCTGACGGACCGATGATAACCAATTAGTGTCTGTCATATTTGTCTGTTTGGAAAATTTCCCGACCACTAGTCTCTCAAGAAGAGTCTTGCTGTGCGGAATGTTGGCGATAGCTACAACAGCTGCTTCCGAGCTCTCCGTTAATAGCTCCAAGAGCCCGTCCCCGCTTAGACCTTGGGCGCTGTAGTCGATCCACTGGTCTGCGTCTACGGTGTGAATAATCGGGAGGTAGTCCTGTCGCACAGCATGAATAATGGCCGAATAACGATAGCAACTTAATTCGTTCGTCGCCCGCATCCTTTTTGGAAGTATCTCAACGTGGTGGATGAGATCTGGGAATCTAGCTGCTAGGGACGTGAAAAAGGCAGGGTCAACCAATAGCTCTGTCTCATTTGCCACAGTATCTTCCATACTTTGACGGATGTATTCAGGACTAATTTCGCCTTTTCCATGCAGGGCCTTGGTGACCTGGAACTGAGCATATAGTGCATATGAACGTATGTCTCCGAAGAAGAGGGTCTTGGCCTGATGCTTTCGCAGAAGTTCCAGGATGAGCCTGGACAGGTATTCCGCACTGGGGAAATACTGCGCAACAGAATTCATCACCACAAGATCGGGCGATACAATGTTGGACGATATCTTGTCCAAGTCACTGGCGCTTCCGACGTGTAGCTGTACTTTGCTTGCTAGAGTCGGATCAACTTTGTCTATCATTGTCTTGACAAATTCCACTATCGACTGCACCGGTTCAAGTCCGACATAGATCTGCAGGTCGTTTGCAATGTTGAAGAGAACCATTCCTGAGCCCGTCCCAATCTCGACCACATTTCCTGGCGGTGCACCATTCAGCAACGTTGTGATTGTGTCGTTCAGCCATTCCCCCATTTCTTCTTTGTCGAAGTCGGTGCCATCGTACATTGACTTCCATCCAGAGAAATCCCTACCGGCCTCACGAGGGTCGATCTGGCTGTCATAAGTGACTTCACTGAAGATTTGTTTCCAAGCCTGTTCTGATTCCCTTTCTCTTCTACCCCTTGTTATTTCATCCATGGGACCTTGGTTGTCGCCTTCCTTCAACAGCGTGACAAAAGCTACTAGCCGGGCCTCATAACCATCAGGCTGCTGGAAGAGCACTGCGGCGTTTCCGACTAGTCCTGAACTGCGGAGAACGTGCTCGATCTCCTCGGTCTCAACACGAAATCCTCGAATCTTGACCTGGCCATCCAACCGGCCAATGTATTCAAGTTGTCCGTCTATCGGACGGCAACGTACTCGGTCACCCGTGCGATACGCCCTCAGCATCTGACCGCCGATGTTAATGTTGACGAAACGATTCACATCCCTTCGTGCGTCAATATAGCCACGCGCTAGGCCATCCCCGACAACGACGAGTTCACCGATTACACCAGGTGGCATAAGACATAGTTGCTGATCCACAACATACGCCCCGGAGGCTGTTCCTGCTTGTCCAATTGGTACACCGTTATGATATTCGTCGCCTTGTGAAAGTCGATAAAAGGTGCTGATAACGGTATTCTCCGTTGGGCCATAAGCGTTTATGACATCACATTGAACTAGCTCGCCTGCTTTGATCATGTCCTTGGGATCCGCTCGATCCCCGCCCACGACCAGTGTGTGAAGCTCAGAGATTGAAGCCGATGACTGTGCGAGAAGCTGTTTTAGCAGGGCAGGTGTAATAAGTGCTACACGAATGCCTTCAGTATGAAAGACGTTGGACAGAGCTTCAAAGTCCGTGACTGTAATACTGTCAATGCAAATGACAGTGCCGCCGTTGAGTAGGGGAGTGTATATCTCCCAAACTGCAGCATCAAAAGCAATACTGGAAAGATGCGCAAATGGCTCTGCCGCAATCCCATTCTCGAGCATATTGCAACCCTTCACACGTGACACAATTGCTCCGTGCTCAATCATGACCCCTTTTGGTTGGCCGGTGGAGCCGGAGGTGAACATAACGTATGCTAGGCTATTGGGACTAGGCAATGTACCTTCGTTATATGCTGAGTTAAGAGAAAGACCAGTCGACAGTCGTACCATGGGAACAATGTCCACCCCATCCATGTGCATAATTGGGAATTGACATCCGGAGCCGACCAGAACAAGTCTATTGCCTTCAATAAATGAAAGGATGGACTCTATCCGAGCAGCCGGGAACTTTATATCTAAGGGAAGATAGGCCATGTTTGCCTTGAGTATGCCCAAAAAGGCTGCGATGGTCTCGCACGATCGCTCTGCGAAAACCGTGATCACAGTCTCTTTGGGGAGGTCCAAATCACGCAAGAATCTAGCCATTTTGTCGGACTCCAAGTCAAGCCTTGCATAAGTCCATTGACACAAACTGTCCTTGATGGCTATTCTATCCGGCTGTGCAGCTACCTGCTGGGAGAAGACATCGATTATACTTGAATATCGCGGGTATTGGGAGCAAGGAGCTTCCAACAAGCCCTTGTCGGCAAGTGCAGAAGTGCCACTCGACAGAGGAATTGTCTCAATAGCCGCATGTGGCTTTTCTAATCCTACTCTCAGTATATCTTGAAAGATCGATAGCAACATATCGATCGTTCGATCATGGAAAAGCTCAATGGCGAATATTATATCACCTTCCAGGCCTTCTTCACACTGGTAGACGTGAAATTCGAGGTCGAACCTTGTCACATGTGTCAACCTCATCAGTTCTGAGTCGATGCCTTCAAGACCAATCTTGTCAACACGCTCTGGATGAAATGCGAAGATCGTTTGTATCAGTGGATTGCGTGAACTCTCCCGCGTCGGCTGTAGCTCGGAGACGATCCTCTCAAAGGGGACCTCGTTGTGTGCGAATGCTGCTGCTGCTATCTCCTTTACCCGTTTAACTAGTACCTCAAAGGAATCGGTTTCTGAAACCTCAGTTCTCATACACTGCATGTTCACGAACAGTCCAACTATTCCTTCATGTTCTTCGCGGTTGCGATTTGTTATTGGAGTGCCGATCGTCGCGTCAGGTGCCCGTGTCATTCGGTAATGAGCTGCTCGAAAGGCTGCAAGGAGAACAATGAATGGTGTTATAAGATGTCGCCTGCAGAACCTCGCCAACTCCCTGTATAAAGCATCTGCGATCTTAATTCCCCTCACAGCAGCCTGTCCAGATGGCACAGGAGGTCGAGACTTATCACACGGAAACTCGGCCGGGTGGCTGCCTCGCAGCTGTCGCGTCCAATATGCTAGTTGGCGTTGCTGCTGCCGGAGCTGTTCTTCCTCACGTTGCCATAGCGAGTACCCTCGGTATTGGATAGGCAGGGCCGGTAATTGTAACAAGGGATCTTTCCCACGGAGGCTCTCAAAATAGAATAATGCCAGCTCTCGCAGAACCACCCCCAATGACCAACCATCCGCAATTATATGATGGATAACAAGGGAGAGAATATGTTCTTGAGAGCTAACTCGCACCACAGCTACTCTCCACCCGGGTTCGTCCATGAGATTGAAAGGCTTTGTCTGTTCACGGCAGAGGACCGAGTACAGCCCCTTTTCGCTACCAGGGTTCCCAGCAAGATCCAAAATTCGAATTCTTTTTGCTTGGAAAGGATGGACTACTTGGACATTCATGTCGCCCCTCACGTCGAATGTCGTTCGCAGCGTTTCGTGACGCTTTTCAAGTGCTAGCAAGGCGGCCTCCAAGGCGTTGAGGTGCAATCGTCCTCGCAGTCTGAATGCAAGTGGCATGTGATACCAGCTCAGATCTGGATGAAGCTGTTCCAAGAACCATAAACGCCCCTGTGCGAACGATTGCTCAACAACCATGCTATCTGGCGTTCGATATGTCGCTGGACCTTGCTGTGTATCTTCCGCAGAAGCGCGAATCCGCGCACTGAGAGTTTCTGGTGTCAAGCATTCCAGCACATCCCGGAAGGTAATATCAGTGCGGAGCTGTTTCCTTATTTTACCCGCGACCCGAATCGCTGTGACAGAGTGCCCTCCGAGGTCCAGAAAACTGTTTATAATACCAACCTGGCAAGAAAGAACGTCGCCAAAAGCTTCACAGACATGTCTTTCCACTTCGTCCCGTGGAGGGACGTATTCCACTGCCGCTTGGAACGCTTGGCTTGCTAGCACTTCTGTTGCTCGAGATGACAGTGCATTCTGATCAAGCTTGTTGCTCGCTAGACGAGGTAAGCCATCTTTGAGCTTCACAATGCACCCTGGTATCATATAGTCTGGCAGGCTCTGGGATAAGTTGGCCTTGATCTCGGATATCAGGCTTGCCCAGCTCAGCTCTTCAGGTGTCGCGTCGGTGGATGGCTCTTGGTTCAGCTGTGTCTCAATGAATGCAACGAGGGCCATCCCATGGATTGATTCGCCTATGGTGACTGCGCAAGCCTTCACTCGAGGGTTTCTCCGAATCACCATTTCTATTTCGAGTGTTTCGATGCGCTGCCCTCGAAGTTTCACTTGCCTATCTTTGCGCCCGGCATACTCAAGCCTCCCGTCGGGTAAAAATCGCCCAAGGTCTCCAGTGCGATACAGCTTGCATTTCTCATCTTTGACATAATGGTCAGGGGAAAAGCTTTTGTCAGTAAGCGCCGGCTGTCCCAGGTACCCTCTGGATACTTGCGGCCCACTGATGCATATTTCGCCAATGTCTCCGCTTTTGACCCGCTTCACACTTTCAGGTTCCAGGATATGAATTCTACAGGATCCAAAAGAGCGACCAATTGGCACGTTTGACTTATTTGCATCCTCCTCTGATACAGTGTATGTAGTGGCTACGAATGTCGTTTCGCTTGGGCCATAGTTGTTGTATAATCGACATTCCTTAGGGATTCCTTTTATCAGAGATGGGTGGAAGGGCTCTCCACCGACCATGAGGACGCTCAGATGAGCTGGGACATTGTTCTTTAGCAAGTCTGCAACCAAGGGAGACGTATTCAGGTCCGTCACACTGGTCATCTCCAGCCATTCTGCCAGAGAGGACAGTATCTCTGCATCTGGACCGAGGACTAACCTTCCTCCACAACCCAGAGTGCCAAATATGTCCGCCATGGCTATGTCAAAGGTACGATTTGACAACTGCAGTTTGCTGGTCGTCCAACTTCCCAAGAACTCCGGCTCGTCGGCTTCCATAAAAGCCACCAAGTTGCAGTGTTCTATCATGATACATTTCGGCTCCCCAGTCGTTCCGGATGTCACTTGGATGTACGCGAGCGAGGAAGGCAGTTGTACCTTTCGGGTAAACGGAAGTTGAGGTTGATCCTGCGCCTTGCTCAAATCATTAAGCGCAACGATTGCCTTGCCTTCCCTCCTGGCAACTTCGTTCAGCTTATCTGTATCAGTCTTTCCATCGTAAAGAATGAATGGTGCTCCCGTCATCCGAATGATGCCCGCTATTCTGTCAGCTGGTAGGCTCGCATCGATATGTACGAAAGCCGCCCCTGCCTTCAGCACCGAGAACATAGCTATAACCAACTCGAGCCCTTTGTCAAATGAGATCGGTATAACAATTTCATCATCGGGAGACACCAGGTAAATATGCTGGATCCAGCATGCCAACGCACCAGCAACTAGGTCACAGTGATCATTCAAGTCCCGATATGTCAAATAATCGGTAAATCCATATTGCAGCGCAATTTTCTCTGGAAACCTTCTAACACTCTGCTCGAGCAAGTGATGCGCAAGGCACAGGCCATTCGGTCTCTCGCACTCCTCTATGGTGATTTCTAATGTGTTGCTTGGGACGTCGACCCCTAATGACCCACCAACGGGTCCAATTCCTGTCTGGATTCTTTCCTGATTTGTCAGGTAAGCTGCGACATCGGGACATGAACAAAGGACATGGTCGACCGGAGACACGAAAGTAGTGTTTCGCCACGCACCATGCGTATGTTGTTGCCACTCAAGAGATGCGCAAAGAAATTGTCGGAATGCCACAATGGTGTTGTCTCTGAACCGATTATTGTGGTAGCAAATGCGGAGGAGGTAGGAGTCCCCACTACATGGAAGTAGCTCGATTACCAAAGGGACATCCGACCATGACTCTTTGCCTTCCCAGATCCAGGGTTCCACTCCAGTGGAAGCACATGAATCTGTATGACAAACGAGAGACACAAAAGCCCGGTGCGATAAGTCTGAAATGAAGGAGCACAGCTCGCCAGGTGAGAAGGTGTGGTGGATGTCGCAGCCCGAAGCTAGGCTCTCAGCAATATTGGAGAGTGCTGTGTAGCTATCATGTTGAGCCCACCGAAACTGAGGCACTAGAACTGGACCCAGAACATCTCTATGGGTTGAGGGAAGTAGTCCCCTGTGCGACATTAACTCTAAAAATGTGGCCTCTTGTGTTCTGGCAAATGCACAGAGTGCCATATATAAGGCCTGCCGTGCTATCTGTGGGCCAACAGCCCGAGGGTAAGGCATGGCCACTTTGCCAATCGTGACACCATACCCCTCCTTGTCAAGTGGCTTTGTGCTACCAAAGCTAGCTAGGAGAGGTGGTGCACTCGAAAATCTCTCTTGTACCCGACGTTGCATATCACGGCTGCGTCGGAAAGCCTGGCCCCTGTGGACCGCAAAGAAGTCGGACACAACGGCGGAACCGGGAGCCTGCAGCTCACCCCACAGGTAGCGCAACAGCTGGCAAGCCGAAGACTCATCCAGGATTGCAGTATGGTAGCACAGTGATAGACGAAAGCCTTTTTCGCCAGGCAATGAGCTGATTATTAACTTCCATGGCATCTCTCCCTGCCACTGGCAAGTTCCCACAGTATCTGGCAACCCCAGCACATGAAAATGGAAGTGGGAATTCCCCACCTCCGTATGCTGAGCTGCCTGCTCACTGACAAGCTTGATATCTTCTTGGGGATAATCTGTGTCAAGAACCACCGTTGTCATTCGCCTGGGATGTCCTTTTGTAGTAACATCATCTAGGCAAAAGAGGGAACGTAGTACAGCATGTCGCCGGGCCAGTGCATGAGCCGCATTGTTCAAGTGAACCACATTGATTCCTTCATCACGACAGATGAAATGTTGTGCTTCCACATTGACCTGATGCTTGCTGTCCGCAATCGTTGCAAGAACCTTCTCTTCCTGGAATGTCGATGCCTGGTGGACCGCTTGCACGCTCATTGGCGATATTCCGGCAGCCCACATGGCATTCGCTGTTGCCTGGGAAAAGAAAAGTGTCTTTTTGCTGTCATTGCTCGCCTGGTCCATTGTGCTTGGGTTTCCTGCAGAATGTAAAGAAGGAGAATAAGACAGGAATCATGGATATTGGAATGCAATTCCGAGGAGATTCAAATAAGCCATGTAAGGCGTGCGGTGTCATATAAAGTCTAGCTGTTGGCAGCATTCGCTGCAGTCGCTTAGCAGTGAGACATCAGGAGACTTCAGACGGCATTCTCTTGGAGATGATGTGAGATCCAATGTTCGTATTCGCGGCACATCCCTGTTCATGAGAATGATTTCATCATCCCCGGATTTCTTGCCTATTTTCTGATAGAGGGCGGGCAGGCTTATTTGCCCATTTCCGTCGGCCATATTACCTAGAAAGAGCGGAGCAAGCACCTCTACAGAGGGCATCAAGGCTCATGGCCAGCCGCAGTAGCTGATGTCGTGCAACGCTTAGTTTGGTGCGACTCGACGTTCCAGCAACATGGGATGCAATAAAGCACGTCGAGGAAGTCTTCTTGCTTTAAACTACGGTGTTCATCCTTTCGCTTCTATTCTACAATTGCAACTATCACATTTCTCGCAAGGCTGCTTCCAAGACTCGCACCGATCGTTCATTTATTGCAAAATGCCGAGTCATGCTGGTCTCTTCACTGCCTTCACCGGCTGCGTTCTGGCCATCGATAACGACAATCGTCTGACTCTCCACCCGAAAGACCATCAGCCTGGCCTGAGGGATAAGCTCCGAGCTAATGGAGAGTTCTGGCTCTGTCGCGATGATGGAGTTAGTTGCTCTGTGTTCCGATTCGTTGCCAGTGGAAGCTAATGACTCGTTTTTGCACTCAAAGCTGATTGGGAAGTTCGGAAACCCAGACAAGGTAAATCACTCACCGTTTGCTACATCGAGTACACATCATCTCACTCAGCCGTCTCTAGGTCGTCTTTCTGTATGATAACCAGGAGTATAATATCTGGATTGAGACACGTGGTTTCAGCGATGGCGCACTGGAGGTAAGCTGGCTTGTCGCAGCATTCGTTGCTATTGGGTCCAGCGTAACTGACGCGTGGCCTCCCGGTTATCATAGTACGGGCTTATCCCCATCATTCCTGGCGGAGACTACAGTAATTCCTTCTTGGCTGTTAACGACCAGACCGGGCGGTTAGAAATTGTCAAGCAGTGGAGACAGGAAGCGAAATTTCGTTGTGTTGAGTAAGAAATTGCTAGGTATGATGAGGCCAGCTCGGGTTGATGCAGGACGGCCCCGCGACGTCTGTTGTTTTCGTGATTAATTTGGCAATCAATTGAATTTCATGGAATATTTAGCAATGATCTGATATACTTTTATTGGTCTTGTCCGACACGAAGTCGGAATAAGGTTACACCTGTCTCGGGACAACAGTCTGTGCGCAGGTCTGGTATCTCGTACTTCCTGATCGGGGAATATGTAATTGGCCATGTCCGATCTGGGTTATCGGTCACGAAGCGTCTGTGCGAGGGAATGACAACGTCTGTCCAACGTTTCACAGGCGACCTTGACAACCGGCTCTCCATCGCTGACGGCTTCAGTCTAGGCTGATTTGTTCAGTTATTTCCCTGCCCCATCGGATGGGCGCACATCCACGGAGCTTCGGAAATTACATGCCGTCTCCGCGGTCTGGCAGGATCTCAGCTCTACTTCTTCCCGGGTGGCTCTCGCAAGGACTGCAGCCTTTTCGCAAGCCAAGGTTAATGACCTACGTGGACTCGATGGAAGTGGTACACTAGGGTCTGCTGATATTCACGGAATCTCTACCTTAATATCAGCCACCAATCTATCACAAAGACTTTAGGAGATGGTTTTGCAACATCTGCTCGGTGAACTCCCAGATCTGCGGTGTGCTATGAGATTCCCACGTGGCCGCAGTGTAAAACGTCCGGCGCTCCCCTTGTAGGGCATTGAGCTCACGGTAGAAGCCGTTTTTGATCGCCTCGGCCGGCACCGTGAGCTGGTATGGGCTGTGGTCCCCGATGGCGAGGAACTCTGGGTCTGGGAAGTCGATTTCTGTCCTCCGGCGAATACTTTCCATATCGTGAAGCATGCCCTGCTTCACCTCTTCCTCCGACAACGCCTTCGTGCTGAGATAATTTGCCACCTTCAGCTCCGACGCCTCCGTAGGCTTGAGCACCAGCATGCTAGGCAGTCGCGGAATCAGGAACGAATCATTAGCCCCGCGGTTCATGTAACACATCCGGTCTGGCAGTCCTTTGATTCGCACCAATGCCGTATAGAAGAACAGATTGTTGAACTGTCCAAACAGAGTCTTCTCCTTTACCCCGAGGTCGAACCCTTTCAGACTGTCCAAGCTCGGCTGCATCGCCACCACCAAGCTCTTCGCCTGAACCGTTGTTTCCTCCTCCCCCTTCCTAACCGTCACATACACCCAGTCCGCACTTTCATCCCGGTCCATGCTGACAACCTCACTCCCCAGCAGCAACCCCTCCTGACCCAGCTCCTTCTCCGCCTCCCCATACAACTCACTGTTATTCCGCCCCTTCGGCCTCACAAATCCATTCCTATCTCCCTCCAATACTTCTAGATTCGCATACTTCATCACGTAAAGCGCCGGCAAATCTGGCCAATTACCCAAGGGATCAATCGAGCCTCCCAAATCCCCGACCCCAGCTTCCAAATTATACTTGCCCACGAACTCTCCGAAAGGCATTACCAAGTCCTCCGGCACAGGATCAGGTAAGTCAAACCCCACCCTCAGATACGGGTACTCTCTCAGCTGCGCGATATAACGATCCATCGCAGCATTAGATTCCGCCTCCGCAGTAGCAGGTATGGCCGTCCCCGTGACGAAATCAAACATGTCGATCTTGTAATCAAATGCCGAGTAGGTCAGCGGGATGTTGAAGTGACCAAAAAAATCCCGCACGATGGACATATTCTGGTAGTAAGTCACCCCGTATTCGATCGGGAGTGGAGTGATGGCTGGGTTGGTGTATGTGGTTGTCTGTCCACCCAGGCGCGGTTTATTGTCAATTACGACAACGGATTTGCCAAGTTGCTGCAGACGGATGGCGGCGTAGGTGCCTGCTGCGCCGCCGCCTATGATGCAGACGTCGCGGGTTAGGACTGGGGTGGCGCTGGTGGTGCTGGTGGTGCTGGTGGTGCTGGTGGTGCTGGACATGATGGTTGTGATGATGTTGAGGGTCATAAGGAACTTGGTGATGGCCGGGATGAGATGCATCTTGACGTAGCTTGGTCACTAAGCACGGAGGATATTTATATTCTTGTCCTTGCGGATGACTCCCCTCGTGTGTTAGGGGACGTGGGATGTGAGATATCTCTCGGAGAAGGGTTGACTTGGTAAGAAGATGAGATGATGTAAGATGATACGCAAAGCCCAGTGCTATATATTCTGGGAAGGAAATGAGGACCACGAATACGATGCTACTATACTTCTGGGACATGATGTTCTTTTATATCATTGGCCGACTTTACAACTTCATGCTTAACATTCGTCTACTACGCAGCTAGAATATGCACCGAAACTGGGCAGACATGCATTGATGTCTACACCAGCATTACAAAACCACCCAGGGAAAAAGCAATCCTTACGACCTCGCATAATCATACGATGTCATCTCCAAGACTGAAAGATCCAAAACACAATTCTCTATTTCTCCTCTACATATTTCCGTATCCCAACACTTGGCATCGGGCCATAACCTTTCCCCTCGCAGAGCGGAGAATATCTGTCAGACCTTCGATCACTCCTTCGTACCACCATTTCAAATGTCACCAAGATTCCACTGCAGCTTATCTCAGTTCCGGCCATATCACTCTCAGGAATGTATTCTCGGGTTGAAAGCTTGGCGATGCAGTCCGCTGGCTCACTTGTTGTTGGTTGATTGAGGGAATATGTATGAAGTCTGGAAATGACTGATCTCTCATGCATCGTGCAGCAGAGGTCGCAATCTTCCATGGCAGTGGCGATAACATTACAAAATGGATTTTTGTCACTCCTCTGGAAACGCTGAGGTGAGGATTCGGCTTCGTCCGTCAGCTTTTTCTAGAAGACAAGGTCGCATTGTTGACTGAAAATGAGACCCCATTATCCCGTCTTGACGTAACTGCCAGCACGTCCATAGCATATATTCCCCGTAAGCTATCAGAAGGGCTAGTCTTACATCAGAATTTCTAGAGATTATGAATTCACAACATGATGGACTTCTTATTAAGTGGATTTCTAGGGATGACTATCACTGCTATTTCTCTAAGAAGACGAAGGATTTCATAAATAGTGATCTTGCTCCGAGCCTCCCTCCCATATTGTCTTCCTTCTGGACCCGCCCATTACTAAGAGGGCATAAATTCAAGCCGGCTTATGTCTTCCAAGCTACTGCAACGCGCCAGGCTATCGACTAACCCGGTAGCGTGGGCAATTATACATTTCATGGTCGATATAACCTCTATTGCCTCTCCCAGTTCCCATTCATAGCTCTGGTTCCGTAACAGAAGGACCTATTTTAAGTACATGTCCTATGATAATAATATGGCATACGCAATTATATATGTCGATATTGGAATGGAATAATTTGCCTGGGCTACTACATAGGGACCATAGTCATCATTCATGATTCTAAACTGAGGCTATGCGTAATATTTTATGAGATGAGATAAGCTGCAGTAAGATCCAAGTACTATCATAGCAGAGGGTCTATGAAATCTACTATCAATATTACTACTATCTTAGCAGTATAATGAGATATTTCTTCAATTGCCATTTGTCGTTACCTCCGAGTTGCCTAAAGAAAGTACCGGCAAGATTTACTAGCGCCAGGTTTGTCATTCTCTTAATTGGACAATGAGTCTTTTATGAAGTCCGAGCCTGTGAATCCGTCTCTGCCAAATCGGAGTACCTCTTGATCATTTTGTCAGTTACATTCATTTCCTTCGTATTCCATAATGTAAACTCAACCTCGTTTCCCTTGCCTTGCCCTTTAGACCTGGAAGGATTGTTTCTACCATGAGGCACTCTCACTAATGTATAACAGCATGTGTTAGATGCTCAAACCTCCCAGTATCCCGTCCTCCGAAACGACGAAGTCGACTTCCATCTTGCTCGGACCCCCATACCAGAGCGAGTAGTCGGTTCTACCTAACACTAAGTCTCTCGTTTTATTGAATAATTCCGAAGGCATCATCATATGCGTCGCATATTGAAGGAGGACCGATTGAGCGGATTGGGTGGAGGAAGAAGACACCTTTTCCTGAGTCATACCGTCTTTCGTTTCCGCTATTGCCAGTGTGTCAAATAAGATGGCATCGATACGGGCTCGAGTATGTGCCTCAGCTAGTAGAATCCCTTCTGTCATGATAACTATATCGAGGACTTCGGACAACAAGGATATGCTCTTCTTTCTGGTGTCGGTCGGATTGTCATTGTCGTAGTCGGCTACATAGCCTGCGGTCAGTACATGCTGCATATGAAAAGAATTTTGTCCCCAGGGCTCATGTCCTTCTCGAAGTGCGAGTGGACCAATCATGCCGATGTGATGGAAGAAGGAGTGCAATATATATGCACTATGCCTTTCCCTAGTATCAACGGGGGTGTATATTGTGGAAATCTGCGTATGGGATTTATTTTCTGTGTATGCTGAACACGAAATCCATGTTTTGGATAGTCCCCGCAGAGCAGATACTGTGGATAAGCGGTTTTATCTAGGTAGAAGGGTACAATTAGATAATCTGGTGTGTCAATATTATGTTTTTCCACGGAAGCCTTTGGGCCTGATTATACTATGTGAATGTCTGACACTTGATGATGGGTTTTATGCAGAATATAGGCAGTATTATTAGTATTATCAATGCCATATATTTATATAAAACCAGATAGAAAGGCTATTGATAAAGAGAACAAGGGAAAAAGGAAAGACAGGACATCCCAGGTGGCCCAGGCCAAGCTTTTATAGGTGGTTTCGACTGTTGGGGCAGGGAATGGTTCCTTGTTAATCTGTGAACAATGTTCACTTCCAACATTCCCGTCTGATCATTATGTCCATATTCACAGCATAAAGCGCTTCGAGTATGCAGAATTCCAGGCTATGATATTCAAATTCGTGCCTTCACGTCAAGGTATTCCAGTCAGTATGATATATGTGTGAATATTCGAATGTGTGGGGTTCCGCGCTGTTATGCGGGCTATACAATAAAATGCAAAGATAGTCCACAAAGTGTGCAAAGCAAAGGCTATCATAGTATTGGTGCAGTCTGTACTAGAAATTAGAGTGTTTCCAGAGCAAGGGAATGTTCTGAAGTACACGCCATATGCCCTACCCTAGACACAAAATACACTGATCACAAAACAAAACCATAACACTCTCTAGCCTTCTCCCCGGCGACTGAGTTCAGGGCTTGGTCTTAATTTTATCCTGAACCTGAATCTCCCTCATGATAGGTATCAGCAGTTCAAGCGCCATAATCAACCTTCAAGCCAATCTCGGGCATGATCCTGGAGGTCTCCTCCAACACCTTGTAATTCTCCAGCGAGCTCAACCGCACCAAAGGTTCATGGAGAGAATGGAAGCCAAACTGCGCTCTGATCTCATTCAAGATATCATAAACCAAATCGGCATCTCCATCCAGTAGCCACCTGTCCCCCCTAACAATGGGATGCATTGCAAAAGAGCCGCCGAATGAACGCACAGCCCGGAAAAAGTGTACGTGTCCCAGCCACACCTTGGCAACATATAGACCTTTATCAGGCGGCAACCTTGAGCCAGTCTCAGCACACAATTCGTGCGCTCTTGCGTCCAAAAACACAGCTGTTGGTAATCCAGTGCTTGGTTCTGTATCGCAGCCGACGAGAATGATGATATCATTGTAGTCCTTGTGCACGAATTTGCATGTCTCGTACGCGCTCTTTCCCTCGAAAAATCTTCTTTTGTAGACGATAGTGTAGTCGAGAAGGTGGAAGCCACTTTGGGTTTTCGAACGGGTGATAGGGTTGTGTTTTTCGGTGAGGACCTGTTTCAAGCGCTCAGCCCAGCGAACAACATCACAGTCCGGCAAGTATGGGCCGAAGACTTCGGACATTGTGTTGTTAGGGATCGTGGTGCTGTGACTGGTGGTGATTGTGATTTCGGGGGGAGTATTTGTGACACAAAAAGAACTGTTGTTACAAGTTGGTTGCTATCAAGAGCATTATCGTCTTGGATGTGTGGTCGATGACATGAAAAAGTCCAGTACAAGACACCCCATCGAAGCCATTATAACGGCTTTCTGCGAGTACGTTATTTTTAGTACCTGCTGGTTATCAGATACAGTGACTTGTGAGCAAATTATCTATTGAATGATTATTTGGAATATACCATGCCCTTCACGTATGAGCGCGAAAATTGCCTAGTTATGAGCAGATTATGAGTAATACCAGCCACATATCTGGGTCATGAGGGGACACAAAAATGCATAGACAGATAACAGACAATTCACAAGTCAATTCAAATAACCGTTTTCGAAGGCAGGACCCATCTACTTATAGGCACATGCTCTGTCTCATAGGCCACGTGGGGACGAGGATCCTGACTATTGGATGTTTCCACGACAAATTGACAGATGCGCTCACGTTAATCAAGTGCATGTTAAAGCTTATACGTTTGTCTTCACTCGACTATCAGATAATTAATGTATGAGAGCCTATTACAGGAACCTCCCGTCCATAACTGCTGTATCGAGGCGGTCAGAACAGACAATATGGGTATCCCCAGCGTCACCGGCGATGGGCTACTAGCGCAAGCCATAGATGTTCAACAACCCAATCAGCAACCTGCGACTGATCCCTACACAGTAGAGTGATCCACCCTCGTACAGATCGAAAACCGGATTTTACGGGCGGATGAATTATCCATCGCCGCTCCACGGGACCCCCTTGGCTGACAGGTTTGACCCTGTATTACCAGCACAACTCCTTCTCCAACTATAACTCCGTGCCACTGGCAAGGACTACCGACAATTATTTGTCGACCGCACTATCAACCTCCAATATTTGTCTCCCAACATTGCCATAATGCAGCCCATTACTCCGGCTCCACGGCGCCCAGATACCTCTGACCCTTCCTCTACCCCCAATGCCTCGGTCCCTCGACTTCGCAAGGCATCAACAGCATGCCGGGAGTGCAAGCGAACTAAGGCGAGGGTGGCATCAATTCTTGAAGTCCTTACATGTCTAAGTTTTGACGCTGAAATATAACAGTGTCATATCAGAGAAGGCGCCTCCGAGTGCGACCGATGCACCGAACGTCACCTCTCGTGTGTGTTCGACCTGGAAGAAGACATGCGGCGGAAACTGGCTCACAAGCGGAAGATTGAAAAGCTAGAAGAGGAGCGCAATGACTTGCTACAGCTAGTCAAGACATTGCAGAATAGCTCTGATGCCAATGCTATGCAAGTGCTGAGTCTCATCCGAAGTAAGCCACCACTCAGCAAAATTAAGCTTTACATAGATAAGAACATCTCCGAGCATGAGCAAGAGACCACACCGTCCTTGGCTGAAATCCACAATCAAACGTCGATGCTGGAAAACGGAAACAAACGCACGTACTCGCATAGGGCACTGACTATCCAACGTCTGGTGGATATACCGGTCTATCGTATTCCAGCCGCCCCGTGGACCTCAGTCACTGAAAGTGATGATTTTGTATCTCATCTGATCTCCCTATGGTTGACCTGGAGTTATCCGTTCTATAATTGGATTGATCGAGAGCTCTTCCTTCGTGACGCTCAAGAAGGGAAGTCGAATTCTCAATTCTGTTCACCGTTTCTAGTGAATTGCATTCTGGCCGAAGCATGCGTAAGCTCTCAAGTCATCACAGAGCCTATGTTTGTGGTCCGCTAATTGGCAAATCCAGTTTCATTCCGATTACCTGGAAGCGTACGCCGACCCCAATAATCCAGATTCAAGGGGTATACATTTTTACGAGGAAGCGCGGAAGCTCTACGAGAAGATAGAGGGTCGGCTTGATATGCCAACTATTCAAGGATGCGGAGTGCTGTTTGTGTGGTGAGCGATCCCCCCGATAAGTTTTCTTACATTGTCATTGAAACCGAAGTATACAGTATGGCGATTATGGGAAAGGACCGCATGGGTTGGTGGTATCTCGGCCAAGTTCGCAGCATGGCTGAGGAATACGCCAAGAAGCATCCTAACTCGCCGTCTGATACCCCTACCAGGGAAAGTCGCGCGATTGACAATACCATCTGGGGAATCTACAATCTTACAGCGCAAGTCTAGCTCACACCTGGTGGTACTCCCATTGTTTTCTAACCCTAGGCTATGTCCTAGAACGGCATCGATTTCGCTCATGAAGCATATGGCTATTGATCGTCCAAATCGACATCTCCTGCCATGCGATCATTCCGAGGATGATACCTGGGCCGCGTACCCGCGACAAATGGACACAGTTCAATCTCACATCCCCTGTGTGCTGAACAGCTTCACTGCGCTAAGTGAGATCAACGTGAATGCGAGTCGACTCGTCTTCGCAACTGGCCTCAAAACACCACCAGGCGAACTAGAGAAGACCCTGAAAGGTATCCAAGCACGGCTAGATGGCTGGAGGAATGACCTTCCTACATGTCTAACTCTCGACAATGCCACTATTCCTCAATCGTTGAGTTTGCAGTAAGGACCATGATCCGCCCCGGTACCCGCAACACCATGGCTTAAAATCTCGCTACTGACCAACCCACCTACATCCAGTATGCTCTATCACACCGTGGTAATAGTGCTCTGGGGCCTCCTCAAAAAGGAAGCCACCGACGATGAAAACAATATTAAGATAACCCGCGAAGCAGCAAAGAAAGCATGCGTGGATTCCGCCCTAGCAATCGTCAATCTTCTACACATTCATCGAACCCGGTGGGGACCGGATCATATTTCACCAACTACCATTCACTGGGTGAGTATGGCCCTCTTCACCATGGTAGAGGACCTTGACAACAGCGAGCATCGCAATGCCTTCACTAAACTTTGTGTTACCGCTCGTGCCTTTTCCCAGAAATGGACTCTTATGAAGGGTATTTTGCGGATGTTGCAGGTTTCTGCGCAGAAATATGGGCTCACGCTTCCGCCAGAGGCTCGTGCTTTGTTTGCAGATCTCCAGAAGATGTGGGATGAGGGCCTTCGTGATCAGATTCGCAGCCTTTATCCGAATCCTATTTCGTTGTCCGAGACGGGTGGGGACCGCACCCTCGATGAGGCGGAGCTGGACAGTTTTCTGAAGAAGTGGGATAGACTTGAAGGCTTTGAATAGGAAGTAGAGGATTTCTGATTGGGTAGGTATGCACAATGCTGATGGATCCAATCGTCGGTACAGGTTTCTTAGGGAGCTATGATCATAATTTGGGCTTCCCACTAGATTGTTTTTCTTTGAGAAGCAAGTAACACTGAAGCTGTGTTCTAGTACTACCTCGAAACGCAAGTCGTCGTTTCTGAATGTAGTACATTATAACCCCGAAAAGAGGGGAACGGCGATGATGCGAATGGGAAATGAGGCAAAGATGGATGGCTGGTTCTCTAGTGACCGGACTATAATAGGGTTACATCTGAAGTCGGATCTGAAAATTCTGGATTATGTCTTGAAAAGCTAGACAATCTTGTCAGTGCTTGTTTGGATGATTTTGACCCAGCGTTCTCTCTATTGGGATTCAATAATGAACATTGTTATATCTCAACTGCAGGGAGGGGCCTTTTTCCGATGGCTTCTGCTGATCCGCCAACAATAACGGAATCAGCAGGGATGATCAGCCCCGGATACAACTAAATTAAGGGCTGACATGATATCCGCCCGTCCATTAGTGCCCGGGCGCGCTTATATCTGTCCCAATCTCGAACTTCTTGTTTTCACCTCTACCAACAACCACTTTCAACCATTCACACGAGGCTTAATTACCAACACAATGACCACCGAAAAGCCCTCAGTCGTGCTCATCCAGGGCTCTTTCCAGACCCCCCTCGTCTACGCCAAGTTAACGACAGGACTTCGTGACCTGGGATACCCCGTCATCCATCCATCCCTCCCCAGCTGCACCAATGTAGAGGCGGATGACTTCCCCACCCGCACAATGGAGGATGACGCACGCACCATCACCGAAACCCTACAACAGCTCATCGAAAAAGAGGGCAAATCCGTCGTCGTTGTCATGCATTCTTACGGCGGCATTGTGGGTAGTACCGCTATTCCTCAATTCCTCGCCTACACTTCCCGTCAAGCAGAGGGCAAAAAGGGCGGCGTTTTACATCTGTTCTAATACGCTGCCTTTGTTCTACCCGAGGGTGCATCCGTCATGGGGACGTTTGGCGAGTCGCCGAACAACTATGTGACTGTATATTTTTTCATCAATCCCCTAAAAGACTAAGGACCAACCTAATTCTTTTGCTCTTAGTCTGACGGCCGTTTCCGTATCACCAACGGGGCCGAGATTCTGTACAGCGATCTCCCGGACGCCGAAGCAGCCCTGTGGGAATCGCGCCTCATTCCGCAGTCTCACTTGGTACAAACAACGCCCACGACCCGTGCGGCGTACGAGTACCTGCCATCTACTTATCTCATCTGTGAGGGTGATCAGGCCGCACCTGTCGCATTCCAGGGCGGATTTGCCAAGTTGGCTCGGGCGGAGATTGATCGCTGTAGCGCGGGTCATTCGCCGATGCTGAGCCAGCCGGAGATGCTGGTGGGGAAGATTGCGGCAGTCGTGGAGAAGGCGGTTGCGGCGTCTACTTAGATTACGCTAGAGTGAAGTAGAAATTATCTGATATGTGAGGTAGTCATAGAGATGATGATAGAGATTAGATTAGAATCTTGGGAAGATGACATCTAGAATGCAACAAACACCGATGATCGGCGGTCATTGCCCCTCCCCCTCTTTTCTTGGCTGGCTGTCAGATTTAGTGTCATTGCTAAGCAGTAAACCGCGCGTCTATCTCGGAGACTATAATGTTACCGCGTTCCAAATTGAGAGGGATACCTACTCGGTTGTTCTACTGCGTCTCGTCCCTCATCTTGAATTACATGCCTCTACGCATGTATTGTAGTCTTGCCGAGTAGGGTCATCGACCTGGTTGGGAGAGGCGTAGTGCAAAACAGTCAGTACACGTGGATTCAAAGAGTACTGGTTTTAAATTGTCACTACATATCCCTCGCTTACTTGCAGTCCTACCGTGCATGGTTCCGTGAACCTATATCACATTAGCATACCACACCCCCTTGTCACACCCTCACCTCCCCTTCGCCCAATCGCCGGCGGACTACTGATCAGCTCTATTGGCCATCTTGACGCCCCCAGCGACAGTGGTGGCTTTGAGAATTACAGTTCAATTCATGTATAGAACTCGATTCATTACCTCTAAGAGCCTCCGACCATTCACGCAGAGTGCTCTGTACTGGGTGTGCAGTTGGTGAGAAAGCATACAAGAACATAGTGGCTAAATCAATGCTAGCAATGTCCGGATTTGATTGGCTCTGAGTTTTCAGTGGAGTTGTTTGGTTGATTCGGTCATTTTACATGATAGGAATGGTCTTCGAAAATTGCTCTGTGAACGCAAGTGTGGTACACTCAGGCGCTCTATATATTTTGAACCCATTTCACCGTGATAATCCTACAAGAGCACCTTCAATAATGACGATGACGCTTAAGCTTATGTAGTATTAAAGCTTTAGTCTGTAATGTGTTTCGGCTAAATAGAATTAGCTACGATAACTACCAAAATCAACAGTATAGAATTAGCAAAAATCATATCAGACAGGGTAATTTTCACTCGATGGTGCGCTTCAAAGAAGAAATAAATGATGAGCACCGGCGATAAGATAACAGACACGTGACAGTTTATCAGACAGCGGCCGGAATATCCCCGCCCAACCCTTCTTAGTGCCTTACTAGTCAGGCTGCAATCTCGTTCTTTGTGTAGCTTCACCAAAACCTGAAGTGCGAACTCATAACAATCAAGTACTCTCCCCCAGCTTCAGCTGGGGATCTGTGACCCACTACACACCGACAATCTGGTGACACATAAAATCCATAGTTCAGCTACGAGCATCTGTTATTCTTGGAATGTCAGATGAATCACTAACTCTTATGGAGTTCTTTTTGTTGCTTTGACAGTTTCACCAGACAGGCGCCCCCGTTATAGATGGACTCGGTCGGTTTGGAAGGCTAGACTTGACAGTTCCACAGTCCTTAATCCTGTTTCCCATCGTGCCACATATCGCGGAGTTGGATGTTACTTTGCAATTTGCCGGTCGCTGTCGCCCATTATACGTTAGTTGCTGCCTCAGGCTACAACGGAAGCACAAGAGAAGTCGAGGTGAAGAGCCCAGCATGCGTGATCCTCCTGCATCATTGGGTGCTTGGATCTTCACTCCTGGCCAGCCAATTCAAGGTAGGGTCTAGGTCGTCTTAGATACGCTACTGGCCGACAAAGCCTATCAGATCCCCTCCCGCTGGTGTTGCCATCGGCGGCATGGCGCACGCCATATCCCCTCCCACCAGCAAAGGGCCTCTCAATCTGTGTCTAGCAACTCAGATTATCCACCACGAAGTAAATGCCGTATCTAGCGGCTCACAGCTGCATCCTTGTAGGTTCCCCGCCTTCTTCTCGGCCGGGTTATGTATAACGCCATCATAGCCAAGAACAGCGTGACACTGACGGTTATCGGCGAGCGGCCAAGCATGATGCTCATCCGGCAAATACTTAAGACAGAATGCCTGGCGTCGATGCAACTTTATCGGCAACCCGAGGTTGATGGTAACTTTTGCCGCGTAACGCATTGGTCAACATGGCGGCTGTCGAACTTGTTACGCAAGGGACGGCCTACGGCCTCCTCATCGGTCTTGGTGTGTTCTTCTGTGGGGTGATTCTCATCGCAATCAAGGTGCAGAAGGCGTATCTGTCTGAAGACTCGGGTACGTCGGAGATGTTCATGGTCGCAAATCGATCGGTTGGTACGGGTTTGACTGCATCTGCTGTGTTCTCCTCGTGGATGTGGATCAACGAGACGGTGCTATCGGCTGCGATGTGTTATCGCTATGGATTGGCAGTTCCACTGGTATGTCAGCAGGATGCCTTTTACTTTTATGACAGATGCTGATTTGATCCACTCGTACAGTGGTGGGGATCGGGTCTTTGTTTTCAGATCGCCTTGATGGCTGCTCTTGGTGTCATGGCCAAGATCCGGGTCCCGTATGCCCATACGTCGCTTGAGATCACTCGTATGCGATATGGCTGGATCGGACATGTCATCTACATGGTTTTGAATCTGACAAACAACGTGTTTGGTTGTGCCTCGATGATCTTGACCGGCTCGCAGCTGATAAACGGTGTTTCGGGCATGAACTTCGTTGCGGCGACCATCCTGATTCCTTTGGGAGGTAAGCTTGGGTCATCGCATATCACAGGGTATTATACTGACGAACAATGGCAAAGTTGTTCTTTACACGGCTGTTGGAGGGCTGAAAGCGACGTTTTTGACCGACTTTTTGCATACCACAGTCGCCTTAATCCTGATCATCTATTTCACACTCTCAGTCCTTACTCACCCCGAAGTTGGCGGGTTGGCTGGACTATACGACAAGGTGGTCGCAACAGCGAGCGAGAATTATATCTCCGGTAACTTCGAGGGATCGCTGCTCACGATGAAATCAAAAGGGGCGATTATCTGGGGCTTAATCTTGAAGTTTGGTAACTTAGCTCTGGTGGTCATGGTAGCCTCATTCTTCCTTTCCCCCAGTTATATGGCAGACAATCAGACTCACTCGCATATAGGACACTGCGTTCTGGCAAAAGTCTTTTGCCAGTGAAGTGAATTCTACCGTGCCGGCATACAACCTGGCCGCAATAGCTGTGTTTGGTATCCCTTGGGGCTTAGGCACTGTTATTGGCCTGACCGCTCGAGCGCTCCACCACACTCCCCTCTGGCCCACCTATCCTATTGATATCACGACAACTGAGGTCAGCAAAGGCATGGTCATGCCCTACCTGGTCAAGGCCCTTCTTGGAGAGTCTGGAATGATCGCCTTCTTTGTTCTCTTGTTCATGGCACTGACCAGCACGGTCTCCTCGTCAATGATCGCCGTCAGCAGTATCCTGTCGTTTGATATGTACAAGACGTACATCAACCCCCAAGCCAGTGATCGCCGGCTCTTGGGAGTTAGCCACATAACTGTCGTATTCCATGCGATCTTCATCACTGGCATCTCCATTGCTCTCAACTACGGGGGCGCCAACATGACATGGATCGGTTACTTCCGGCCTATCCTGTCTTGTCCCGGAATCATTCCTCTCGGGTTGACTCTGTTCTGGTCCCGTCAGACCCGCCTGGCGGCTATCCTATCGCCGGTGCTTGGCTTCTTTACTGGTCTTGCGATCTGGCTCGCAACGGCCAAGTCAATGTATGGGGCCGTGAACATGACCACAACTGGAGAAGAGCTGCCCGCACTCTACGGTGCTATCGGGTCCTTCTTCTCACCCGCTCTCTACTCCGTGGTAATTTCTCTGTACCGCCCGTACACATTTGACTGGCGAGAGTTCCTCAGAATCGAACTCGCGGACGAAGCACCGACTAGAGCCACGCCCGCTGCAACTCAAGAGACTAAGGTTGAGGGGGTCTATATCTCGACGGATGCCAGCCCGACGTCAACCCCGAGCCGTCTCAGTCTAGACGACGTTCGTCATCCTTTCACGGAAGATACCCTGCGAAAGCTGCATCGATGGTCATGGATCGCATGGGCGATGTTTGTGGTCTTGGTGCTGATTACCTTTGTGTTGTGGCCGATGCCGCTTTATCGCGACTATATCTTCACCAAATCCTTCTTCTCGGGATGGACCACGGTCGCGATCATCTGGCAATTCTGTGCCTTTTTCGCTGTTGTGGTCTACCCACTGTATGACGGACGGTTCGAAATTGCTAAGGGCGTACAAGGCGTACTGACGTCAAGTCGTGAATTCCTCAACCGACACAAGAATTAGAAGTCTTTCTTATCAAAAGTTTCTAGACATATTATTAGATCTAATCATCGACTGATAGTACTTCATCTCACATATACATCAAGGACTAACTAGTCATCCTTCTTCGCCTCATTGGCAAGCTTCTCCATCTGCTCCTTTCTCTTCTTCAAAACCTCTTGGATCTCATCCATGGTCTCCTTGAGGACATTCTCTGCCTCCTTGCCCTTCTTCTCCTGCAACGTCCGAAGAGACTGCAATTGGCCCAGGACATTAGATCCTCCCGGCACCATATCCGCCCACTTGCTCAGATCAAAAGACCCGCTCTGCTGCGCTTGGTCAACCTTCTCCTTGACATATTTCTCCACCTGCTCCGTCTTCCCCGACGACGCAGCCTCCTTCACCATACCCCACAACTCACTCACATTTCCCTTCTTCAGCGCCTCCGCGTTATTCTCCACGAGCTCCTTCACCTTCGGATTCTTATCCAAATACTGCTTACTCTCCTCCAGCCCCTTCTGCCACATCTCATCCCCAAGCTTCTGCAACTTCTCGGACTTCTCCTGAATCAACTTGCGCACCTCCTCCACCGACGCAAGACTGAATCCCTTCTTCGCCACCCCAGCAAGCTGCTCCCTCGTCTTATCCACCTCCTCCTTCGCCTGCGGCCCATACGCATCCCCCATCTCCTTCAACTGCTTCCACCCGCCACCAACCTTCTCCTGCAACCACGGGTGGTTATCCAAAATATCCCCGGCAGCATCACCAGACAGCTCCATCAACCGCGTCAAACTCTTCTGCAGCACCTGCAATGCCTGAATGGCGGTATCCGCATTGGCACCGCCTTTATTTCCCAGAGCCTTCAGCTCTTTATATGCATCCCGCACGATGCTATCCACCTCAGGCCCATGCCGTTGCTTCACTTTCTCCAGATCGTCGAACGCAGCATCAATGTGTTTGCCTGCTCCCGGGAGCAACACCGCATAGCTCTTAAGGGTATCCCGCAGCCAGTTCAGCGCCTTGTCGGGCTCCGGGGCGTTCTTGATAATGCCTTGCTTTACTTGGTCGGCGTAAACCTGGGTCTGTTTCATAGTTTTGACGGCTTTGCGAGCCCCGGAAAGATGGTACCATGTGTAGCCGGTGACGATGGCGACGAGACCGCCGCTGAGACCTCCGATCAGGGCGGGATTGCTGCTGCCGGTGCCCGTGGAGCCGGAAGAAGAGGAAGAGGAGGAGGACGACTGGAATCGAGCGTTACGGTAGCGACCGGCCGATTGGCGGAGGCGCTGCTGTCGCAGACAGCGGGTAGCGACTCTGGGGGATCTGTTCATCATGATTATGGTGGTGTGGGTTGTGTTAGAGAGGATTGAAGAGTTCAATGGCAAAGAAGAGGTGTAATTGATTGGTAAATTGGGAGAACATGATGGAGGATAGTTAACGTGAGTTACTTTATACTCAGGAGTGAAGTAAATCGAGTGGTTGAATCACCCCCCGTCAAGATGACGCACGCCAAGCACCACATACGCTAGCCCACATTCGGTGATATACTAACCACATCAAGCTAGCACGATCTATGTTATCTCGCAGCCGAGCCCCAGCCTACATCATAGGCTATCCCAAAAGATTTGAAAAACGTCATCACAACAACCAACCCCATCAAGGTTTCCATTGAATTAAGAATTGGCAGCACGTAACTTGGCACACGTCTTATAGCACCCTGTTCCTGGCCAAATACCACCAGGCCCAGATTCCGGCTGCTCCGCATACGGAACCATCTGAAGTGATTTCATCCTTAACCCGTTCTGCCCCTTGGTATTCAGAACATGCAATATTCCTGAATATGTTGTAGGCTTTGTAATCTCAAGCATGCAATAGGCCATTTCATCCGCCAGATAATAGCGACCGTTAGATGAGCATATGAATCCGTGCTCTCCGATGTCAAGGCCTTGCGTTAATAGCACCGAGACGTTGGTGAGTCCGTAGGCGTATGCGAATTCTTGATATTCTGCACCTTGCACGTGAAAAGGGTCATCTCTCCATCCTTCTGGGATAGACTCGGTTTCCTTGGAGGAAGTCTGGGAGGTTGTGTTTAGTTCGATAGGGTGTATGTCGAGGCGAGTGGGGCTTACCTGGGGTTTGGTTGGCATGGTGCTGAATGAGTGAGAGAGAGAAGTAAGGTAGGAGAGAGAGGGAAGGAATGAAATGGAGCTGAATGAAAAGTGAGGTTGGAGTGAAGCTGTGCTAATGGTGACTTCTGGTTCGTCTCGCGCAGTTCGCGTGTGAGTCCTCAACGCGTTGGGGTATTTTTGGGAAACGTGAAGATGACTGGGAAAACACCAAGGAATAAGATGAATTTGCTGAAGTAAAAGAACTACATCCTTGCGGCGCTCGGGTGTTTCATCCGGCCCGATGTGTCACTGAAGAATCATGTTGACCCCCTGAGACGTGCGAGGGAATGATTGCATCCTAAGGGCGTTATTGTTGACTACCTAGCTCGGGAACATAGTAGCCCAAGATCTTAGGCCGGCGAGGAAGGGAAGTTCTGATTGACTCTTGGTCAGCACTGGCAGGAGCATCATTTCCAACTAGCCACAGAGCATTTTTGACTCAGGCAACCCATCGTCTTAAGGCAGTCCGTCCTCCGGCTCATGAACCAACTTAGAGACCCCTGATTTTGAGAGCCCATCCACACCCGTAAGCGAGGGCACCCAGATTATCTGGCCCAGCTGTTGACTTGATGATTTGATGATGTAGTAAAACCCAAGTCTCTGGAGTTATTACAAGGCGTACTAAGACAACTTTGAGACCACGTCAGATTGCAACCAATTTCTGAACCACACTTAGAAGGGTTTCTTTGATTTTCTGAACGATCATCTACGTGTCTACGATTGCTAGGGCTGCTATGGGTGCGATCGACCTATTTCATTCTGGTCTGGCAGACTTGGAAGGAGCGTCTTGGCCATATGGAACATACAAATTTTCACCCTCTGGAACGTCCGGCACCAGCGTATCTTCGTCCTCTGGTATCTCGATAGCATTAAGCTTCTTCATCCCCACCTTTCCCACCCCCTTCTCTGCCATTACGCGTCGAATGTTTGGCCATGTCGTGGGTCTACTTATTTCGAAGATCTCATCCATCATCAGGTGGCCCCAATAATAATGCCCATTAGCCGTGATTATATACTGCATTTCACCACTCTGGTTCGTTCCGACTAATACCACTGTAGCATCCCTTATTCCATATTGGCGGGCCAGGTACCATTCTGGACTACCGGGATAGAAGAAATGCGAAAGAGCTCTGGGATCGTCGGTCCATCCTGGAACCACTTCACGATAGTTCTATGAAGACGCCTTTAATTAGACTGGGTTATTTGAGTATTTCGCGTGTGTAGGTTGCTCTGCCTTACATGCAACCCAGCAGCCTCGGCCGTCTGCTGGTCTGAGATGTGGGAGGGGTCCGGCGTTGAGCTTTGTCTATCCATTTTGGGAGCGTCTTCGTTAATGAGAGAAAAGTTGTCGCCGAAACTCAGGCAAATCTCGAATTCTTCCGGATAAGATCAGCGTTCAAGAGAGATTGAAAGATCGGCTATAGAAAGGACATTGGAAAAGAACAGTAAGTACGGCGTCCGGGTGCACGGTTCGGCCGAGTCAACCATGAGTGAATCTTGACGCAAACGTTGATCATATTAAACATACTACTTGAATACCATTACATCCCATTACACCACCACCAGGCTCTGCCAAATTCCTTTAGGATCAGGCCCGACTGCGCTTCTGTTGGTTGATCAACAGAAGCTCTCGTAGTTCATTCCTCCATCCACAATCTTATACTTGTAGCCCTCGTACTCTTGGTAGTGTGCAAAGTGCAGGATAGTTTCTGGAAAAGCGGAGAGCATTGATGGTGTCAACCAGTGTACGAAGACTCACTATCCCGTAAAAACAACCGAAGTTGTACAGACAGTGGAAATAGCTAATTATAATAATATTATTAAAATCAAGGAAATGATTTGATGATATATAAACAAGTGGTAGATTTATGTCAAAATAAGACATATTCCTGTGTCTAATTCGAGTAATCACAATATAAGTCTGAATCTTCTCAACCTAAGACCTTGTGTTATGTCATACGTCGACAGTATCTCACCCAACTCCTGGCATTTGTTGGCAGTTTCGCTTCTAGAGCTACAAGGCCAAACACTCCTTGGATGGCTCCAACTCCGCACTCGAGTTACACAATCCAGGAGACAGGGAGAATGCGGAGAAATACGTAAGTTTACCCCTCCAAAAATCCATGAATCTCGTCCTCAAACCTATCTATTCTAATTGATCGTTTCTACATAGAGCTAATGTGAAGTGGTTCCAGGATGGACAGACGACCCCAGAGAATTTGAGTACTATTTCCGCCTGGGTAGCAGAGATTGGCAAGTCTGCTACTATAGGATAACAGGTCCTACTCTGACCTTGGTTACAACTGCCAGTAAAGGAGAAATGGGGTATATTATCAAAATAAAAAGTCATTACTATATCGGCTACTGAATGAGTAAGTGCATCTCCGAGATAACAGAGCCCAAGAGGTGGCCGGCGATTTTGCGCATTCTCGAAGAGGAAGGATATGGAGCACTGAAAATGAAGCAGCTCAAACATGTCGAACTGCCTGATGATGAGAACCTACCTACGGAGAGGCCTTTCGAGGGGGGCGGCGTGTTTGTTCCTATAAGCCAGACTACTCTCGTCCAACCTGGAAAAAAGGACGAGTAATGGGTTAGTGCATACGGAGAACTGCAAGGGTTTGTTCGTTCTTTGTATGTGCAGATCTTCGAGATGTAACGGGGTTCCTCATTCCAATTCTCACCCTGTGAGAACTTATCTCAGTACTTGGGGATAATTTTTTGTTATTGTTCCTTGGACTCTGCGATGGCGATGCTGATAAAGGCTGTGAATATGGTTAAGATGGCCTGATATAATACTCCTTGCTCGAAAGTCAGTATGGTCCTGTTTCATAAGGCATTAAACCCTGTTTCCTGGGATGTAGACGTGGCAATTATCATAGTCAATAGACGATACTGGCGTCTCCCTAAGGACGCAAAGCTTTCATCAGACATTGCAACAGAGTTACTTATCTCTCGAATATAAGCTGTAGCCTGGAATAGATATAGCCTTGTCTGATATGCTGGATGTGCATTAGCCCGAATTACACTGCTGTTGAAAAGCAAGCTGTGGAGAGAGGCTCACTAATGAAGACGGGCTTGGAAAGCCCAGCTATGGTGCCCTAGCTCTACGTGTATCTCCTCATTCTATATGGGGTTTAGAAAGATACTCAGGAGGACAATGAGGGTTTGACGCAGGAAAAGTGAAGTGACAGTATAACTTCTTGATCACCTCCGCCTCCGAGTGTTTTGATCTGGAGGATTAATCCAGGAGTCTGTCTCGGCATATCCAATACCATTGTGATTGATTTAACTGTTTTCTTCTCCATGTAGACACCAGGAATAATACTTTCGTACGTACCATGATCTATGATTGATTTCAATGCCTTGGGCAGCATAGATGGGCTTTCTGCCTTAGGCATTAGTTGCAGCCCCTGTAGTCACGTGCCGTCAGCCGACCACGGAACCTTTCACATCGCTTACTATCTAAGCTTATGAGCTGTTCCATAGCTATTGCTAAATCTACGACGCAACTCGACCGCTGAGAGTTGCGTGCGTAAGACAAGTACGCTAGAATTACAGTCGTGCTTCTTAGATCGGAGGCTGTGGAGCTTGTACCCTCTTATCTGTCATGTCGACGACCTCCAAGCGTAAGCGTGCAAGGAAGGCCTGCATTCCATGCCACCAGCGGAAACGGAAATGCGACAACCAATATCCTTGCAGCATGTGTACCACATACGACTATAACTGCAGATACGACGACGATCCGATGGGAACTATGGGAAAGAGCGTTGATGTCCCACCCCAGGCTAAACGCATCAGCCTTGATGGCAGAAGTCGTTTGACCAACCAGCCTCACGTAGAGCAAGGCTCCCACGAAGCCAATAGCTCATCGACAAAAAGTCCCGCCACTGTGACCAGCACATCACCTGGAATCTTTGACGACAATAAGTGCAGATACACCGGGGCATCAGCGGCCATGGCTTTTCCACATGTCCTGGGCGTTAGTCTCGGTGCTGACAGTCCTCCGCGATTGCGGTCATGCGCCTACAACTTTGGCAACCGACCAGACGAGGCTTCAAACACCCACAGATTTCTCGGAGATCTGATCTCCGAGGAGGACGTCGGCTACTATGCGGGGGTGTATTTCGCGGTCATGAACCCGATCGGCGACATCTTGGACCCAAGAATATTTGCCGATCGATGTCACCAATATTACAACGGCGTTTCTAGCACAGACATTGCATTTGCTGCTGTGGCTGCTGGCGTAGCCTGCCTCGGGTCCTTTCTCTCATCCAACAGACATGCACGGGAGACTGACCTGGTGCGATACGCTAAGGCGATTCTCGATGATCCATCGTCAATACGCACGCTAAATATTGACCACATACTCGCATGGGACATGCGAGCATTCTACCTTCGCGCCACAAGCCGCCCCAAGAATGCCTGGATTGCCTCCTGTACCGTCATGCACCTGTGTGAAACAGTTGGGTTGCACGACGAAGCGAGTATCAAGAAGATGGCATCCAAGGCCGGCTCTGCTGTTCTTGGGCTTGATGCCGACCGACTGAGGAGAATCTTTTGGGTCTCTTGGGCTGGACACAATATGTTATCCTATGAGCAAGATTGTTCTGCTGTAAACTTTCGCTATGTGACTTGTCAGTCTTTTGTAGCAACACCAGGGTCCGTTGCCGACCAGTTCGTCCGATTGGTCCAACTTACCCCAGCCCCAAACTCCCCGTTTCGTCTCAAATGGGAGCCTTCAAATCTGAGTGAGGAACTATTTGAACGTCTAAAAGCAGTGACTGAACTCCAGGTCAAACATCCATTTTTGGTGGTGACCGCGGCAGACATCGCCTTTTGCTTTTATCGTCGCCTGTACCAGGCTCAGACGGGGATCTCAGATGATTTTATCAATCTCGTCATTGATTGCGGTAACGCAGGGGTTGAGGCAGCCGAGAAGCTCGCTAACGAGGGTCATTTATTCTGGAACATCCTTGGCAGCGTCTTCCAATTTGCTTGTGTTCTGTTGGCTATTGACAGGCCGATTGCCTCCGCTCACATCGGCACTGTCTTCAAGGGTTTGGAGAACTTAGTCAAGGCGGCCGATACAACACTGACGCGCGAGGCATTATCAATAGCACGACATCTACTCAGCCTCAAGACGGCTAGAAAGCGCAAGGAGCTGGCTGAGCTCGAAGCGATCGAGGCAGGCTATCAATTTGGTCTGACACCACCGGGACCAGAGGCCAGTGTCTCTGTGCCTGACATCAGCTGGGATCTATACTGGGATCAGTTCTTTATTGAGCCGTATCTGTCGATGCCCGGTGGAGGTATCTAGCTAAAGTGACATGTGGATTCTCGCCCTGTAAATGTGTACGCTGGCGAGTAGTCATAGGGCGTAAGGGGATGCTATACTGCCTACTGAGAATTGGGGAAGTTACAAGCACGTGAGCGGCGTTGGAGCGGCTATTGCGGCGATAGTCAAGCTATGGTGGAGTTAACTGGTAATCTCCGCATCGCCGCTCTTTGCTAGTGTGCGGCTGCGGCGGCGGAGATGTGCGGGAATCTCACCTTCTCACCACCTTACGTTCCTTCTCAGCGGACAAAGCCAGTCAAAATACAGTCAGCGATGGGTCTACTTCCTTTAAGTCCGACCGTGTCGGGGATATGCCTTCCGAGATCTGAAATTGAATGCAGCCTGACTTGGGGGCGAATTGATGGAAGTAAAAGGATCGACGCTGAAGCTCCAATGTATAAATAGACGCTCGTCCTCGCTTCATCTCAAGCATCCATTCACAAGCTCAAGCACTTCAACTCACTCAAACACAACTCTCTCATCATTATACTTCTCAAACCAACTCAACGTCCTAGTTGCCAAAAGCAGAAAATGGCCAAGTACGCGAAAGACCAGCCCGCCGGCTTCAAGAACTCCATCGAGCGAGTCGCCATTGTCGGCGTAAGTCAGCCAACCACCAATCCCATACACAGCAACACTAACACACACCTCTAGGCCGGAGGTACTGTCGGATTGAACATTGTCACCGAACTCCTCAAAACCGGCAAACACACCGTCACAGCCCTTACTCGGGCCGACAGCACCAACATAATTCCCGAAGGCGTCCAAATCGCCCACATTAACTACGATGACGAGGCCACCATCGTTTCCGCCTTAAAGGGCCAGCAATTCCTCATCATCACCATGGCTCCCACAGCTCCCCGGGACACTCACAGCAAGATCGTCCAAGCAGCCGCCAAGGCCGGTATCCCCTACGTCATGCCAAACGGGTACGGCGGGGACATCGAAAAGGTCAAGTTGGGCGAGGAGACGTTCCTAGGCCCTGTCAATCGAGCCCACCGGGACGAAATTGCCCGGCTCGGTATGCAGTGGATCACAGTGTGCTGTGGATTCTGGTACGACTATAGCCTGGCAGGCGGCGAGTCACGCTTCGGGTTCGACTTCGACAAGCGGTCTTTGACCATCTATGATGATGGCACCACGAAGAACTCGACGTCCACGTTGGCGCAGATTGGACGGGCCGTGGCGAAGGTGCTCAGTCTGAAGGAGCTTCCCGAGGATGAAAGTGATAAGAGTCTTACTCTGTCGTCGTTCTTGAACAAGGGAATTTATTTTCAAAGCTTCTTTGTGAACCAGAAGGAGATGTTTGAGAGCGTGAAGCGTGTTACTGGTACTACGGACGCCGACTGGACGATTACTCATGAGAGTACTAAGAAGCGGTATGAGGAAGGGTTAGCACTGGTCAAGGGTGGTAACATGGCTGGATTTGCTAAGATGCTGTACGCAAGAGGGTTTTACCCGGAGGATACAAGCGATCACGCGTCTAAGGCGCAGAACGAGCTACTTGGGTTGCCAGAGGAGAGCTTGGACGAGGGCACTAAGGCTGCCATTGACTTGGTCAAGAAGCTGCAGGCTCGCCCTGAGCGTATGGCGTCCTAGAGGAAGAGTCTACAGAACCCATGTTTTCGATGTGGAAGTGCGCAGAGCTTGATGTTTGATATTACAGTATTACAGTAATAATATATTCAGCAATTGGTTGGTTTTCGCTTACTTACTTTCCTTCATAATGTTCACTAGATCTCTTCTCTTAGCCACATTACAACAAGCACTTTCGCATCCAACGAAAAACCCCCTCCAAATTCTTAACCCAATAAGCAATTCATAATACCTCCTCGCTCGACCTGCACGTTTCGGCGCGAGAATTAAGAAATGGCATCGGTTTTTGTTGTCCTCTTGCTGAACAGCACTCGCGTCGACGCATAGGGCATGCGAAAGTCCTCCCAAGTCCACCATCTCGGTGCCTTAGCGTCTGCCAACTGTAGGTTGTAGTTGATCACAATATGCACGACGACCATCTTGATCATAAATGCGGCATGGTGTCTTCCTGGGCTAAGTATAACAAGTTAGTAAGTGCCGTGTCCCAAACAGATTAACAAGAACTGAGCGAACCAAGCGAGAGATCCATAGCCCCAAATCAAGTGATTCTCCGAGATATCGGCAAATTTTCTCGACGAATCCTTGCATCGCCCGGTAAGGAATCGCCCGCCGTCGAATTGCTCGGGGTCCGGGTATATGTGCTCATTGCGTGCCACATCGTACGAGGATACGCATAGGATTGAACCGGCCGCAATGGAGAGGGGCGCAGATGAGAATGAATAATCCGTCAGGGCCTTGCGGCGGATGGCGACTGCAGTCAGAGCCCCAGTGGGGATATGTAAGACACACGTGCCCAGGGCCCAGGGGCCAGAATAGGACCTGAGGAATCCACTTACCTCTGTCCAAGGAGTTCACTCGCGCCGTTTCCCGCATGAAACTATCCAAAAGTGGTAGCTCATTCATGTTGCTTGCGAGATTGTTTTGGTTCTGCAGGGCCTCGTCTCGAAGCAAATCCTGCCACTCTGGCCGCAGGCACAGTTCCACCAGAATTGCATGTAGGTTTACCCATGGCTGGTGCGAGGCTGCTAGCCAAAGGCCCAGAATTGATTGAGAAAGTCTCTCGGGGGTCCAGTAGCTGCGGTCTGCTGCAGATAGGTCAACCATGTGGTAAAGGAGCGTTAGCTGTAGACCACATTAGTTAGCGAGGTAGACCTCATGCTGCGGAGGGTTTCCACAAGCTTGGCACAGACCTTCTTGATTTCTGATTTCTCATCTAAGTCGTCGATTCCAGCAGTTATTGCGTTAATCAGCCTGTCTTGGATCAAGTGCATTGCCGATCCGCGCCAGGTAATTATTGCGTGGACGAGGCTGGTTGAGTAGAGTAAGTTATGAAATTAATACGCAAAGCAACTGCTGGGTTTTAACTTACGGTGCAAGGAATCTTGGAGTTAGTTGAAACGCAGCTGAACATGCCTTGATTTGGCGAGGGTGATTCAGAAGGGCGTTTCGAAGGAGCGAGTCAGACGCTGTAGACAAGTTGTCAACCTTCAAAATGGTCTTTTCGTCATATCGTCATGAGCACGGAATGCACTAACCCATGTTCTCCCCGAAGAACCACACACCCATTAGACGTGAAAGGATGGTTTCGCCAAATAAAGCCAGACGAATAGATGTAATGCCTCGTTGCATGTCAGCTTAATTCGTGATACAATATACCTCGCCAGGTACGCTAGATTCCAATTATCAGAGAGCGAACGTACCAGAAGAAAGATCTGCATCCAAAACGGCCTTCAAGTTGCGAAGAAGATACGGGTATAGTCCCTCGAATTGGGTCGGACCTCGCACCTGCAGAACTCGGCTAAGAAGACGCGACTTCCTCGTGTTGATCTCGTTGTGGTCTACGCCGTTCAACGTATGTTTGAACCCGAAGAGCTGGCGACGTTAGAGCTTTGTCTGCGCGAGCGGATGAATACCATAACTGCAAGATCTCCGTGCTTACATCCGAATAGACAGCTCGCTGAGATAAGACTGAGGTCTCGCTTAGCTCAGTCATGATCCTCTTCGTTGCTGGGATCATAATCGGCTTCGGCGCCCAAGGACGGTAGTACCGATGGTCTCGCTAGACTGGTCAGAACAGATGATCGCTTTCCTTCTTTGCTTATACACGATTACGTACGAAGTCGCGGACTACAACCCGGATGCTGCTGATGGAAATTTTCTGGACGGGTTAGTTTGTAGTGTCAAAGAGGAGAGACACTCCCGACCATACCTGGAACAGCGAGTAGTACAGCGCGTTTGCTATCAGAAGTACGCAGGCTACTGCTAGTAGCCAGGAGCAAAGGGCTTCGGTCATGGCACTGGTGATGGCTGTGCCGAGGTTTCTGATGGAAAGCATAGACATGATGCAGTCTCAAGGAGGGATGGGAGAAAGCTGTATGTGCGCACGGAGTTGCTTTTTCTCTGAGAATAAGGAAATTCTCTTCACTTTTGTTTAACATGCAAACGCAGGTTTCGTAGAGACACTTGTTGCATGCAATCAATACAAGCAGCGACTATTTGTACACGTCACCTTACCTTCCCAAGGGATTATTTAGGCATCTGACCCACACTAAACACACAAGTTTCAGAACGGATGTTCCAGCTGTTCTAGCCGTACGTTTGAAGCCATTCATAGGCAGATAGTTATAGGCTGAGTGTTAAATCTAGCAGAAACCACCACCAGGGGCACTACTAAAGTTACTACTAAAAAGCTCCCTACTAAGGTCTCAACTGTGATTGAATTACTCACTTTGACAGTTGAAATAAGATAGGTGTAACCAGCCTCTTCGAGACTAGCTGTTGATAAAGATGACATGATAAGACCAATACTACATTAGGTGCAGTGTGCAGACTGCACGGTACTTTGCGACGGTCAAATAATATCTACCAATCATCAAAAGGGAAGCAGGGATTGTCTGAGCAATAAGTGCCTTATCTTAGCACTATTCTGTTCTGTGTGAGGGGTAGTGTGTTAGTAGTCCAAGCACTAAGTAGTAACCGCTACTTCTTATCTAACAGATCCAGGACCGGCTGCCAATGGAATGGCTTTCTCATGTACAGGATCATCACCACGCAAATAAGAGGGAACATTTGACCTGTCATTAATATAGCACCCTGTGCGTATTCCTGTCACAAATTCTGTTTGCTCGATTCACTTAATGCATTGCATCTTTGCAACTGCTCTCAGTCTCTTCTAGAATAGAAAAAAAGAAAGTCAAGCTCCGCAATCTTCCCACCTTTTTTCTGATAACACTGGATGTCCGTATTAAAGACCATACTACATAACCAGTAATATCCATTAGTTAACTCAATTATAAGACATTATAGATATTATCAAAACATACAATAACGAGCACCCCTTTCGATCCAATTATCTACGCGATTGTAGACATTAATCTATGTATACTATCTGACCATCATTATCTCTTATTCATTGTGAACCTACATTCACTGCAACCACCAAACAACACCGTATCCGCTGTCTACTACCATATTCTACTAATACTTACTCTCTTGTCACTTCCTGTCTTCACATTCCTTATCATTTCTACCTTCTACCTCACCCATGTCATCCCAAACCTACAAAAAACAACTTACGAAGTACCTCAATATTCAGCCTAACAATTCTATCAATCAACAAGTACACCAACAACCCGCGAAATCCAGACTCACTTGGTTAACACCCAAAACAAACTCTGGCAGTTACAGCCAGAATTCCCCAAACTCATCAGAGCTATCCTCCGTTCAACCGACATCCAGTATATTATACTAGCTCTGAAGTATTACATGAGAGACATATTCTATATTATCTAATTTTACCATGATATTCCTACTGGCCTGCTAGACGTGTTCCACAATTTTAACATTATATTTAATAACCTAATTACTACATTTTATAACATATAAATATTACTAAAAATTGTAGTCATAATAAAAAAAAATACAGTTATCAGTATATTTACAAGGAAACCCCGCCAGAGTCTAAAAGATACTGTTATTAGTTCTCTGATAATAATCTAGAATCTAAACTTAAAAAGATAAGTATTTCTAAAGATAATAAGAAGAAAGATAATATAATATTATTTCTTTCTACTCCGATATTCGCGCAGCTTGACTGGAAGAGTTTTATAGCTAACTATTTTTAAGACTATAAATCTCTCTACAAAGAATACTGAAAGAGACTGAACTCAAATCTAACAGTAAATAAATTAGTTAAACTACTAATCTTCTTCATAATATTACTAAGAATATGAATTCTATCATTTGTCAGGCACTTAAATCAGTATATCTTGAACCACATAGGCCACTTCTTCTAGAAATCTACTAGAGGAGACGGCCAGAAAATAGCAGAGAAAAGTATCTAATCACTTCTGTAATACACTGACCATGCATTTAAGTCCGAGCTCGCCTGCAATACTTTCATATAATATTATATCCTGCTCTAAATCCAGACCACTGCAGGTTAATAAATACAAGTATTCTAAGAAACCTATATTAACTGGAAGTATAAGTCGCTTCGCAAGCTCAGTAAATTCAATAAAGATATATTCACCAACTCCCTCCATAACACATGAATCTGAGTTATAAGTTATATTATTACATCAACACTATATACAACAACCTGCTATTACACGCTTCAGACTATATCTAGCATAACAGTCCAGTCGCGATAATATTACCCTTTAAGATTAAAAAGAATAAAAAGTATATTCAAGAAACTAAATCACAAGCTTAGCTTACCTACGGACAACAGCCTCACACCACCCACCACAGTGCCCCAACCTGTCCAGCCTAAGCCTGCGGACCAAGCTAAGGCGCACCACGGCCTCGCGCTTCAACATCAACCTCCCACCGAGCCTCCCGCAATAACCGAATGTCCTCTTGGCAAACCTCTTGACAACACTGACAGGCCTCTTAACAAGTCAGTCGAGATACCGAAGACCTTCAAAGTGAAAGACCTGGTCAAGTACGATTCGACCTCGTCGGACTCGCTCCCTATCGTCCAGACCTTGGTTATGACCATGACTACCATCCTTGTATTCTCTACCAAATTATCCCAGATACCGCAGGACATATCGCTACTCAAGAATATTATAAACTTCAACACCGACACGATTGATCTATAACAAATACTGCTCAGTAATAACAATAGCAATAGCCTCTTACTTGAAAATAAACAAAACTTCCTTTATCAGTTTATATTTTATAAGAAACCGTACAGTTTAAGCGTGTATCAACAACACCAGGAACAATCTATTAACCACAGCAGCCACCCGCGATAACAGGAGACGACGCCATCCTGGCAGTTTTGGCCAAATTCGAAGGCAGACTAGACGCTCTTGAAAAGAGACGATAATCCAATGCTAAACAACCGCACAGAGACAAGATGACGAAGCGCACCAAGAAGATGGCAGTATCCAGCACGCCCTACAAAAAGAACACCGTCACGCGCAAAGGTATTAGTATCTGAAAGTGCAGCTTTGTTTTTCCTTTCTTTTCCTCTTTCCTTCTCGCTGACCCCGCCACGGATGGAAGTGTCCCAGCACACGACACCGTCAAGCACAAGGCTCCTGGTATCTGGGAGCGCCGTTTTTCCTTCCTTTTCCTTTCTCCAACTCGCTACCCGCCCCTTTCCCTTGCCTTTTCTCTCTCGCTGCCCGCTCCACCATCCGTCGTCTCAGAGAAATCGCGGAGGTCTAGATATGACGGGGCTCGTTTTGCATGGTTTGACGTTAGATGTGATGGGGACGATCTATCGCTTTACTTCGACGGTTTTAATTTCCTTTGTTCTATTTTGCCGCTCATTTCCTTGTCCTTTGTCGTCGAGGAGGATGTTGTTGGGTTCCCCAACATTAATTACATCTTATCGTATTTCCTTCTCCTGTCGTTTAACCACTAATGTTCTGCCATGCAGAACTGCCACCGTCAGGACTGTTCAAGCAAAACAACAAGTGATAGTAAAGAATCAATCAGCATTCATCTATGAGATCAATCTTTCGTTCAGCGTAGCTGTCTGGTGCCACCATGTCTCCTGTATTATTATAATAATAATGTTTCATATAATAAAATAAAGATCGGATTAAAAACAATCTCTGGGAATTTAAAATTCAATTGTTTTCAATATGTTATATAAGAATGAGTATATAATATAATTATTGATGTCTAGTGGACCATACATTAAAACATCCGGAAAAGCATCTGTTTCTGCATCGCCTCCAAGAAAAGCCAGGTAAGCGGCGCTTGGGCTTGCCATTGTGACGTAAATTTCGTGTCGATGTTCGGATATGAGGTAGTAGCTGCTCATGAATGAGTATCACGGCCTGGCTTTTAGGTATGAGATGACATAGGTTTGCAAGGGCTTGCTCTTCTGCATGGTACTGGAAATCCATGCAACAAGCTATTGAAGATTACAAGGACTATCTTGAGGTTACAAAAACTCAAAATACAATGTATTTTTGGACAAGAAAGAGCAGAAATTACCATTAAGCACATGAGCGTAACTTACTTTGTTATTCAGCAGTTATGTCAGAGCCAACATTTAAGCGCTCTTCCGTTCTTGTACTTCGTATTTTGATACTATTCATAGGGGGGAATGTAGATGGTGAAAAATCCAGGAGTTAATCAAAATGGTATCTATTTTAGTAGAATCATAGAGCGGACCACGTCTACTGCCCCACCGTAAGAGAATACCCATTTGTTAGGCGGCTCGGTTAACGAGGCTACTGCTCGTACCCATATCTCAATTTTTAGCTACGAAACACCCATATGAATGGATACAAACATATGTGGGCACTAGTTATATCGCAGGGTACGGCCAATGTCCTACGCGGGATCTATTTTCGTGCTACAAGAAGGTCGGGTTTCCCTCCAGCGCTACCTAGTTTGTTTGTCAAAAAAGCACGCGGATACATGAGCGAGCGGGTTGATACCAAGCCAAGCCCAGCAGAATATGAACGTTATGCACACAGGGTCTTCAAGTCGCAACAGCTTTCAGCGGGATTTGGCTCTTGTTCGAAGTCCGAACTGCAGTGGCTCCAGGAGATAAGCGCAATGTAGGTAAGTCGATGTTTCCTTGATAACACTGGCTCTTCCGCGGGGAAAAGCAGTTTTGTTCGATGTGGATTTGCCATGATCACCTCTCTGCCTAACTAATCCGTGTACTCAAACCTGAGTAGAAGCTGGAACTACGAAGGGTGCCACACTCCCCAGCTTCTCACATGTTTCAGCATATTCGCGTTCCGGGTTGGAGTTGATGGTCACACCAGCCCCAGCCTGTAACCATTGCCGAGTCTCATCCTGGAATACTGTGCGAAGCACCAGAGTAGCATCAAACAGTTTTGAGCTGTCATCCAACATAAGCACTGCACCACAATAAAGATCCCTCGGGTCTGGCTCGAAGGACTTCATTGCATCCGAGTTGCCGTCTCCTGGTAATCCAGGCACGGTAATATTGGCTATGAGGCCCGGCAGAGCATCCCAACCATCGCATCCCGGCTTCAGGTGTCCGCACACATGAGAATGTAGGTGCTGTACGCTTCCTCTCGGCATAACCTTCATGAAATCCTTGATCGCAATTGAGTCTGGTTCGCATAGCTTACTTAACCGGCGGATAGAGCCTTTGATAGCAATGACGTGTTCGGCGACCTCTTTGGTATCATTGTGGAGTTTATTGTCGAACGGATCGAGGCTGGCTTTGGCGGAGTTTGACAGCTGAGTTCCGGCCAGTGCTTCTGTATAGGCATCCTCACCGTTGATGCTAAGAAGTACTTCGGGGCTGAAGCCAGTCGCCTGGATGCCGTTGTGATTGAAGGAGAACGTGCGCGCGGGATTGTTGGCCCGTCGGCCGTGAAGAAGTGTTGCTAACATATCAACCCGAAAGTCCAAAGGTACCTTCCTGGATGGGATTGCCTTGGTATATTTGGCTTCGGAAATATCCGCGATCGCATTAGCTACGCGGGTCTGATATGTCTTTGCATCCACATTCAGGTTTATCTTGCCTGGGACAGGAGATGGCAGGGCAATGTCTTCGGCCAGCTCCGCTTCCAGCATTCTTTTGATCTGCTCGGTTGCTCGGCGTATATCTTCATCGTCACCTCCCGTGACTGTGACCTTACTCCGGTCAATAGTAACCTGCACGCTAGGAACTATGAGGCTCAACATTGGCCATTGACCCGGTTCGAAAGCTTGGCCGGAGCACCGTGCGGAATAGTTAAATCCCACATGGCCAAATATTTTCCCATGGCTGGAATACTTGGAGACAAAATCTCTAATCAGGTCTGTGGGTGAGCCCGTGATAGCCGTAGATTCTGATTGGCCGTCACTACTTGTCCTGGTAGCTGTTCGGCCTTGTGCATCAAATATCAAAGATGCATAGGTGCCGAGCCCAATGTACCATGTATCGTTGTTTTCAAAGATGTAATAACTGCCTTTCGAGTAGTGTGCCACGAGTGCGACTGTGGTCTCCAGTGGTCGTGTGGTTCCAGCAAGGGTGATCTTTTTTTGAGTGCGCGTCATGCTTGGGGGCTCTTAAGGAAGAGATCTACAAGTAATAAATTGTAGACTGTGCAGGGGTCATGTTATAGGTATATTTGGGGAGTCTGAATCCGAACTTTCGAAGATGACAAGGAGAACAAGGCAGGAGGCCTCTGGGTCCAGAAGGCCAGCCTACACAGATATAACCGGGACGCTGTTAGCTGTACAATGAAAACGCGCCATAATTGCAATTACCACAGTCATACGCAATTGACTCTGGAACTATGTACGTAGCAGCTGGGTGGTGATTCGGATACTCATCCACGATGCAACCCTACCGGGAACGGGTTATTTGATCGAAATATTCCCATTTCGGGTCTAACACAACGTTTACACTCTTGGACGCCAAATTAAGAGCCAGAAGAACAACAATACTCGAAAAGCAGTACTTTTATGCTAGACAAAATACATAAGACTCCCCAAGGATACGCCTGAAGTGCCTACGTACGATGACTCGCAACCTAATTGGTCCGAGCTGTGCGTGGAAACTCCGCGGGGACTCAAGCGAGTGCGGTGAGCTATTAGTGTTCTTTTCACTCTGCATCATTATCGCACATTAAATAATGAAGGGAGATTTTTCTATCTTCGTAAATACTAAGGTGGGCCATCAAACTGCATCTTTCATCCGCTGATCGCAGTCTTGATTTTTTCCTTCAAATCGGGAATCGGCTCGTCTTCGTCGACTTTGAGACCATTTATCACTCGGGCCAGCAAAGCGTACACACCAATAATCATTAGGACCTCTACCACATCCCCAACGGACAACAATCTCAAAGCATCCTTGACTGTTTCCGGCTTATTATCGTAAGTGCTCAACTGTTCTTCAATGAGGCGGAGAATTACCCGATCTCGATCACTCCATGGCCCCCGACCTTCCATCACATCTTCGATAGAGCATCCAATAGCGTTGAACTTTTCTTGAGGAAAGCCAAATACCTCAGCCACAGGCTTGTTAACATTAATCTCATACTTCGCCTTGGTAACAGTACCGACCCGTAGTACTATCAACTGCCACTCATGGACGGGAATACTGCGCTGGTTGCCGTCGAAACAAGCACCCAGTAGACCGCTGAAATGAGGGAAAAGTCCATGAGAATGGGCTAACGTTAGGAGAATATTGCGTCGAAATGGTAGCACTTTGAGTTTTGCTTGGATATCTGGAGGTGCCGTGTCAGGGTCCACATAGGGGACGAGACATGTGTGTCGATGGGGATCGCCGTTCGCTTCATTTGTACTTGCGCCAGACATCTTGCACTGCGATCGTATGATTTTGTCAATGCCTTGTAATTATTGGTCAGATTCAGACGCATCCTAGTATTCAATCCCAGGAGGATGGCAGTGAAACATGGTAGTAGCTCGTACCTGGCCGCCTTAATTATGTAGATATAGCCCTCTTTCTTCTGGTCTCTGAATTGCGCCAAATTGTGCAAGTACGATCGTCTCATATGTCCTGGTCTCGCGTTTTCAGGTGGCAATCCTCGATTATTATCTCTTATATCTGCGTATCTCAAGAATGTAGTGACGCAGGAAACATACCACAAGTCACGTGAGATGACGGAGGAGACATGTATTTACCTTTGCCTTGCCAAGTTTCCGGAGAAGGAAAAGCACCATATTCTATCCTTTCCCCTTAATTAATGGCAGGGATGTCTGTGCATAGTAGAGCTGTGGCTACTATTTCTGTGTAGTGATAGGAAACCGGTTTCAGTCAACTAAAGCATTTTTGAATGCCATTCACGGCTTAGGCGCCATGGCAAAGGCCTTTGGTCTTCGCCGCTCTAGACATGTCCACAAACTAGCTACGTCACAGAATTCTATGTATAGTATTTCCTGTCCTGGCCACGCCTTGCTCGTGCGATGGCGTACGTTGTCAGCTGGCTTGATAATTAGGCAAAGGAAACGATTTCTGAGGTTGAGAACTCCTGGCATGTATCAAACTTGAACCACTTCCAAGCATGATGTGGTCGGTAGCTCCATATTATCGCCTACTATAGCCGGCTGTGATAGGATGTACTTGCCAGGGTAGGTAAGGAATCAACCAGGAAGCACTATAGATGGGTATAATAGCGACAAAAGTAGCCTATATCCACAAAATAGACTGTAGCCCAACAGCAAGTAATCGCTACGGTATACCTATCGTAACGGGCTGTAGTAGCCATAGATGACTTCACGACCCATATAACCACCGTAATACGTCATTCCGATGGTTCCAGCCACAATAGTCAGCTATTCTATCACACCGGCTTTATGACTGACCCTGTTACGGGCTTTTCTTCGGAGACTTGAGTGGAATTCGACCGTATAGATCTAATGAGACCACTGTTATTTCGCAGGGCATTCACAGGCAGTAAGGAGATAAAGGCTTCGTGACCTCACAATGATCACATTGAAGGATTTATTGCCCTTTTAGTGGGACAGTGCATGATAGACACATATATACTACCAAGCTTGCACGAAATTAATGATCAACACTACTTACCTAAGGCTCAAGCATACCTTTCAGATTGTAGAATTGCAGCGTACATTGCTGCCGTTTCATCATGCGCATTCTCAATGGTTCGACAGCACAGGCTCCTAGTGAGGTCAAAGTTAAGTGGCCTAAGCCTAATACAACGATCACGGTGAAGATTAATGATGCGAACCCAACACTGGTTGGTTTACTTGGCACTGCCTTACCATATCGCTCCCTCCAAACCCATGCCGTTGTTGCCGGCGACCAGCTATATCACTTGGTCCCATTAGAAGAGCTGATCGTGAGTGCCCCCTATCAGACCGAGAGTCATATCGCTAACTGCACAAAGTATACGCCTGCCGATAAGAAGGCCCCTGATAGAGCCAAAGAGCCTGATGGCTCGGTATTCATCTCGTCATTCCAGCACTTTGTGATCAAGTATGGCGGGGTAACCGAGCACCAGCCGGTGGCTACGTGCGGGAGGGTTATTGATCAAGACATGGATAAACTGCGTTGGGTTGCGGATGAAGTGTGGAAATGTCAGTGTGAAACCACAAAACACCCCATCGAGGTGGTTCTCTGGGATGCTTCAAAACCTGAGCCTGATCCCAATGAACTGGACTTATTCAAACATCAGAGGGCTGGTGTGAGTAAGGAGGTAAGGAATCTCGTTGAGGAGATTCATACCGAGGTATGTCCCAGTTTATTTGATCGGTGACAGCTCGCTAAAGGTGATGGCACAGACGCAAAAGTGTTGGTCAGATATTTCAGATGACATTGAGGAAATTCACTATGGTAATGCGCCAGAAAAGCCCGGGTCAAAAGATTCATACTTTGGTGCCATGGTGTTCTCTAACAGTGTGGTGCGAACGCTGGGTTACCATGTTATCGATAACATCATTAAGCTGGCGTTTACCCGTCCAGAATTTACCCTGGGGCATCTTATCGCGCTTTTCCGAGACTTTGTTCCATCGATAGCCGATTTTGTTGGTCATCTAGGAGCGGAATATGTCAATGACATTTACGAGAGGATTGACAAATTGATCAAAGAGAAGGTTGAGAAGAACCCTAACAAGGAGGAGGCACGTGAGGACTTCCTTGCAATGATCAGCGCTTTTAGTTTCTACGTCAATCTCCTTAACGCCCAAAATCTCCATATGTTTCCCTGGAGACATGCAAAAGAATATCCTATTCCTTCGTAGAGAGGCAAGTCCCCAAATCTCAAACTAAAGAGCTCTACATTCTTGTCTTCTTCCTTTTCTTCTCCCACTTGACTTCAGAATTGAATTTCATTTATTACTGTACTCTATTTTATTATTCTGCAGAGCATTTTAGCCTTTGACTTATTCATAACTACCAGCATAGTATTACAGATCTAATCCATGTGTCTTGGGCAATACAGCCACAAAACTGGCCAGATTGCTGGTGTACTCAGCAAAAAGCCAGGATCTACATTTTGTTATTTTTCCCAGACGCAGATCATTGTATATTGCACACTCATTGATCGCAGTATACAGGAAACTAGCGAAGGATTGAATTATCTCACACCAATCTTACGTATTATCCCACGCCGCCCATGTAGAGCGGAAATTTTCTATCATTATGCGAAGCCATCCAAGGTAGACTAAATCCATTAAGAGGTTTGTGGCATTTTATCTTGAGAGATCAAGGCTCATTGGGATTAAGTGGATCTCTTAGAGCAAAGCTAAACGGCGCCATCTGGTGATTCGCACATGACGTGTAAGTTTTAGACCTTCAAATCTTCGCCAAATCAAGGATGATCTTGCTGGATGTTGGTCTGTTCTACGTATGGGTTCAACTCTGTTTTAGACAAAACTCTAAACTATTGAATCTAGGTCAGCCGATGTGGAGTTTATTGGATAGATGCGAGTACAGAGTTTTAATCTCCAGTTAATCCAAGTAGGACATAGTCCTAAATCAATAGTTTGTATCGCGACATATGCTGGCCTCGATGCGCCCAGTCAGGGGATTGTTCGGAAATCGTTACCCATTTCTTTAGCTTCATTGGGAAAATGGATGCTTCAATCGGCATTGAGGACGAACCATTATAATTTTAAAGATGGACCTGCACATGGAGACGTCGTGTTTCCGAGCTTGATACTTCTCATCAATGGGTACATGAGCTATATAGCTGTTCTCAGGTAGGAAAGGGCTTAGTAGTCATGTAGTTGAGCTCTTTTCGGGGAGAGAGCATCGGGGCGGATATCGCCAGCCATTGGGTGAGGCATGCTACTCGATCGCATTTCTTGTACAAAGACAATGACTTAGTGACGCAGAAGGCGTGGTATAGCCTACGGCAAGATTTTGGGCAATTTTCGCCGTCCCATAGAAAGCCTGTTACCCTTTACGGGCATCCTTCGTTCGCCTAGGCCCCCAGTGCTGTTGGGCAATAGCATTGGCCTCACTCTTCTCCACTTCAATTCTTGCGTGAAATTATCAACTTTCACTGTTGTATGCTTTTTCTGAGGCCTGCTGGTACAACCGTGCGCTATTTATCATGGCAACCATTTCACTTTTCAAACATGTTAGTTGGTGGCAATCCCAAGAGCCCAAGATAAAACCCAGATTTAGACAGAGCGTCATGTCTTATCAAACGCCCATTGTGGTCACACGAATATTCTGGTCAAGAGTTGTCTGCCTACATATTAACTCATTTTCCACTGTAAATTTTTTGCATCTCATAACGACTACTCTACTAGATTTGTACCACTTACAGCTGGCGGAGCTATGGATGTTATCTGGCGTGACGAGACGGACGAAGCCGACTACGAAGCTGCGCGCCTCCGGGGGATTTTTACAAAGGACATACCACCATATTACCCTTTAGCCATCGTCCATGCCAGAACAACAAATGACGTAATAAGGACCATCGAGCTAGCAAAGCAAAGAGGTTGCCAGGTCGCAGTACGTGCCGGAGGACATTCGCACCCCGTCTGGAGTCTTCATCCGAACTCCATCCTGCTTGACCTGGGATATTGGAAGGAGCTGGACATCGACAATGAGACAAATATTGTTAGAGCGACCCCTGCCATGACAAGTGGGGAGATCAGTAAATACTTAAATAAGCGTGGCCTCTTCTTTACTACTGCGCATCATCCGGATGTCGGTCTGGGTGGGTATTTGTTACAAGGTGGTTCGGGATGGAATTACCGCGTACGTATTTCTGCCTCTGGTGCACTTGTGCCTTTTGCTAATGGATATAGAGATTGGGCTGGGCCTGTGAAAGCCTTGCAGCTTTAGAAGTCGTAACTGCAAATGGCAAGCTTCTTCTCTGCAATCGCCTGCAGAACCAGGAGCTCTACTGGGCGGCTAGGGGTGCAGGGCCGGGTGAGTTACACTAGTCACATACTTTCTTCTTGGACTTATTCTCTCTCCAGCCTTTCCTGGTGTTGTGACGAATTTTTACCTACAAGCATCGCCTTTCCACGCCGACGGTGTTCGATCCTCCGGCTACGTCTACCCTAGCCATCGGTATCGCGAGATCTTCACTTGGGCGCAATCGATGGTAGCAAAAACAACCCCGGACATAGACATACTCCTGAGGGCCATGCATTCGGAGTCGAACGACGACATATGCCTTACAGTGCAATTTTTTGCGATGGAGAAATCATGCTCGGACGCTGAACAGGCTCTTCGTATTGTCGATGTGACACGGCCTTCTGGTGCCATCAGCGAGTGGTTCTGTGAGGAGGATAGCCTTAAAAGGCAATACGCAGCGATCAAGAAAAGCAGCCCGCCCGGCTACTACTACCTCACTGATAATGTCTTGCTGAACAATGACGGTGATGCTATATCTGTGCTCCAGGAAGCATTTTTGACGTTGCCGAAAGGCAAGTCCTGGGCTGGCTGGACTCCCAGATTTCCAAGCAGTAAACACACGATAACTGGTATGGCTAAAGGGATACAAGCGAACCATTATTTTGTGATTCATCTGATATGTGAGGATGCTACCAGTGCGATGGAATATAAGAAGCATCTGCAAGACATAATGCAGAGAATAAGGCCACACACAGTCGGTCACTATTTGGGTGACTCCGATCTAAACGACGATCCCAAGTGGTACTGGGGCGAAGAGAACAGCAGCCGGCTGATGAGGGTTAGACAACGTTGGGACCCGGATGGACTTTTTGCGGCAACGCATAATGGCCCAGCATAGTTGATAAGCCAAGGAAGGACATGCGAACTCTCACTAGTACCACGATCAAAAGAATAATGCAAGGAAAAAAACATACAACAGAAGGGATTCGCTGGTGGTCACCCACCCAACTACTAACCTCCCGGCGTGTGGCTTAAGTACGGCTGAGCGGACGGGAAGCCCTGTTTTCCACACCCTGTGGTCGTATGTGCTTGTTTAAGCTTGTTAAAAAGTTATATGCTGCTTATCCTAAGTTAGTGTATTTAGTTGCTGCGGGCTGGACCTTGGCTCTGAGGGTTTATCTATCCACAGGCAACTGGATAGGATCCCCGCATCGGCCACAACTTGTCCAGTATGTGGCTGTTACAGCATATGCCCCAACCAATTCTTCATCATTTACATTTTCAATAGCTTTTGGTACACGATTCTATCTTATTTGGTTCATTCCAACCGGCCTAATCTATATCCCTGATCGCCGTACTCGGGTGACGCTAGCGATGCTGGCTCACGGTCTCTTATTTATTCATCCGGGACTTCGTATGCTTGAAGTCACACATGGATGTACGCCGACCTTGATGTAGTAAAATGAAGTTCTCGTACCAAATTTCAAATTCAGTTACAGTATACCATATGTTAAATGTCCTGCCTCTTTTTCGAGCCAAAACCTATGTAAAAATTCGATCAACGTCACTACATACTAGCGGACTAGGGTATAATTTCTTCAGTGGCGGTTACACCCCCAAAGTTCAGCAATACAAGAGCTATATGCTTTCACAACAGATCTTTCTAGTAGTACCAATAGGTTTCATATTATACAATTCATGAACTAAAGCTAATATCATACAAGCAGTGATTACATCCCCGACTTACCCACAATAAGCTCAGCCACCGCTCCTAACGAACCCGTAGACAGAAGCTCCAACACCTGCACATTAGCCCTTGCCTCGCGTGCAATCCAACTCCGAATCTCAATAGCAACCAGCGAGTCGAGACCCAGCGCAGATACAGAAAGCGATGGCTCGATGTCCTCCTGGTTCAAGACCAGTACCTGAGCCAGCTTGGCCGCCAAAGCCACGTAGCAGATCCGCACTTTCTCTTCCTTGGAGGCTGCGTGGGCGATCTGCACGTGCAGCGGTAGGGAAACCTCATCGTCGGCTGCCTCTCCATTACCCTTGAGGGACTTAGGAGTGAGGAGATCAAATTTGGCGTCTTGCGGCCAGAGGGGCTCTCGCGTCGAAGACGCCAGCCCAATGATTGCCTGATGGGCCAGGTCGCCCGTCACAGCCGCGGCCAGCAGCGCCAACACTTCCGCCTCGGTCATGCCCTCTGTGCCAATGGTGCGCAGGACCTCTGCCCGGCGCGCGGAGTCTACTGAGGCGAGGTAGCCTGCATCCCTTACCGCCGTCAGGGCGAGGCTTGTGCCGGGGAGACCTTGGCTACGGCGCCACTCCATGAAGCCGTCTAGGAAGACATTTGCGGCGGCATAGGCTGCTTGTCCTTTGTTACCGATCACACCGGAGACAGAAGAGAGTGCGATGAAGAAGTCAAGATGGTGGGGTTTGAGGGCGTCGTGGAGGTTCCAGGCTCCTGAGACCTTGCTGTCCGTCACAGCCTGGAAATCCGCGAGCTGCATGTTCTCGAAGAGGGTATCCTAGGAGATGTCAGCAGAAGAAAGTGGGCATAGAAAGGGAGCCTTACCCGAAGAACCATTGCACCATGGACAACGCCGCGGATTGGCGGAAGGTCGGCCAAGTCCTTCAGCATGGCGTCGACGGACGTGCGATTACTCACGTCACAAGCCTTCACGACTACTTTTGTGCCGCTCGGATGCAGAGCATCCATTAATGTCTGTACGGGGGTGTCTACAACGGCGCGTCGGGACGCAAGCACAATATTGCGAGCGCCCTTCTGTGCCATCCACCTCGCTATGCTTCGACCAAGACCACCGGTACCCCCAATAACGATGTAGGTAGCGTCAGCTCTGAGAATGTCATCGCGCGTCTTAGCGACCACAGCTTTGACCTGATCGCCTTCTCTCGGCACGACGACAGTTTTACCCATCGCCTTTCCGCTCTGCAAGGCACGGAAGGCGGCCTCGATCTCAGCCATGGGGCAGACGGTAAGAGGGAAGACGGAGTGAATGAAGCCCTGGGCCAGAAGCCAGGAAACCTTGTCCAGCAGCTGATGCATTAACCTAGGCTTGAAGGCCGCGACCTTGGTAAGGTCAACCGAGTGGAATGAGAGGTTGCGCTCGAAAGGCAGCATGTCTAGGCGCGTATTTTTGGTGATGTCCGCTTTTCCAATCTCGATGAATCGGCCAAAGGGCGCGAGGCACTCCCAGCTTTCGCGGAGGAGATCCCCAGCAAGGGAGTTGAGTACGATGTCGACACCGCCGCCTGTGAGCTCGCGAAGGCTGCGGCCAAAGGACGCATCACGACTGTAGAAGATGTGGTCTGCACGGAGACCGTACTTTGTGATAAGGAGCTCTTTCTTCTCAGCGCTTCCAACGGTCGCGTAGATGTCGGCCGAGGCGATCTGGGCCAGCATGATGGCAGCCTGGCCGACACCACCGGCGGCGGCGTGGATGAGAACCTTCTCGCCGACTCCGTGTTGGAGGCGAGCTAGCTCGTAGAGGGCGTAATATGCGGTACAGAAGATGACGGGAATGCTGGCGGCAACTTCGAATGAAAGGTTCTTGGGGATGGCAGTCGCGCTGGTTGCCTTGCAGCGGGCAAAGGTAGAGTATGCGCCAAGGGGCAGAGCCATGACACGCTCGCCAACCATCAGATTGGTAACCTTTTTGCCAACGGATGAGACGACACCACTGCACTCGATACCAACGTACGGCTGGACGAGTTGTCCCATGGCGACCGCAACATCCTTGAAGTTAAGACCAGTGGCATGGACCTCAATTTCGATTTCATCATCCGCCAGGGCCTGGACATGGTCGTCTGTAAAGTACATGGTATCGAGAGCGCCGTGATTTCCAATTTCAAGCTTGAAGCGGCGGCCTGGCTGAGCGAATGGCTGAGGTTCGAGGGTGAGATCGTCACTGGTCTCCTTTCTCACGAAGGTGTTGAGGGCGTTATCGTCCATGATACGGGGGACCATAAGCTGGCCATTTTGGGTCTTGAACTCAAAGTCAGTACAGGGTTTGACAGACCCATCGGCTGGCCAAAGAGCCTTTATAGCGGCCAAAATAGGGCCAGCCGGCTTTCCCAGATCCTCAGCGCCCAGTCCAAGGGTGGCAATATGGGCAGCGGTTTCGGAGCGCAAGCTACGGACAAGACCAACGATCATCTGAAAGTCAGGCGTGTCATTGCGGTAAACCCAAATCAGATTTGTAGAGTTGAGAAGGAGATTCTGTATGTTTGTAAAGTCTGCCTCATCAAGGTCACGCAGAGTCTTGGTTCCGGTCTGCAGGATGATAACATGCTGGCGCTTCTGCTTCGTGTCGACCTCACTCAGCGACGAAATCGAGGTCGACCATCGGATGGCTTCGGTAGAGATGACCTCCTGTACTTGCTCAGCTGCAAGTACACACTCGCCAAATCTGACAACTAAGAGTTCGTCTTGGGATTTGTGATGGTGACAATAAATTCCATGCCGGTGTCCGTTGGTATGTTCAATGACGTGGGAATTCGTATGGCCATTGGATCCCTTCGCCTCAGTCACCTCTTCAACAGTCTCTGCTTCGACCTCAGTCCAGGGCTTCCATTGTAGCTGATAGCATAGGTCGTGGGCCACCTTATTATCGCATCCAGCATCGTCGATTGGGGTCATTACCAACCCCTCCATGTTGATCAACACCTCACTAGAGTCTGCAGGAGTAATCCACAAGTCGAACTTGGTGGGCTCCGGCGTGCCCCTGCCAGAAGTTCGCATACACCAGGCCGGAAGTTTGGGACCGATCGAAGCAATGTTTCCATCGATGACAAGATCCTCGATAAGGGTAGGGACGTGCAGAGTGTCCAGCTCCATCCGACCCTTACCAAGAATTGGCCAGGTCAGATGCAGGAGAGCATCTAAAAGCGTGGGGTGGATGACAACGGGAGCTTCGTAGCTCTTTGGCATGAATGACTGAGTATCGCGAGGATTCAGGTTTGCCCGCGAGTGATGAGGCCCAGAGAGGCAGTTCTCAACTCCCTGAAAGGCTACGCCATAGCCGGCGCCGACATCGGTGAGGACCCTGTACATATTCTCGACATCAATCTCGTATGTCGCCGCGCCCATCACCTCACTGGTCTTCCTCCGAAAGATCTCCTCCTCCACCTCCACACAGTTTGCGACCGGATTTTGCTTTCGGTTCTTTCTGTTGGGGCGAGCTCTTACAAGACCCGTGCAATGATCAATCCAATTCCGCTTGGAATTCCAAGAGCAAATGCGGAATTCATCCCAGGCATTGGAGGTGCCACGCGTGCCTTCAACATGAGACCGAAGGGTAATGGTAATCTCGGTATCGAGGTCGTCAGTGAGGACCAGGGCAGTGCCCACGCTCACTTCGCGTAGTTCAAACTGCAGCTCGGCGGCTACCGTACCGGACTTCTCTGCTCGTGTCCGAGCGGCCTCAATGGCCATACTGATGTAACCAGCAATTGGATACACAATCATGTCCTGCATCTTATGGTCGCGGAGCCAAGGGATATCGTCGAGGCGAACAATATTCCTCCATGTCGGCTCCAGGTCATTGGAGTAGAATGCTTCGGTGCCCAAAATGTCGTTCCTCTGTCCATCGCGGAATCGCTGCTTCTCGCTGATACGGGAGCGGTGCCAGAATACTGTATCATGTTGCCACGGGTACCTCGGTAGATCATCGAGGACATTGCAAGTCCCAGTGCCACTGCAGGGGAAGTTGATCTCATTAATGTTGAGAGACCCACCACGCACGTAAACGGCGCCCGCAGCGTCGAGGATTGATTGGGAAGGGTCGACCTTCCGGACTACCGTCGGGGCATATCCAACTTCAGAGGCAACCGATGTGCCCAGGGCTTTGAGGGTATCGAGTATTGGGCCCTTGAGAGCAGAATGAGGTCCAACCTCCAACATAATATTGGGTCTGTTTCCCGCACAGCACATTTTTTCGAGAGCATGAGCAAATCGCACCGGTGATGTCAAGTTCTGGACCCAATAGCCAGGGCCAAGATCTGTAGGCTTGCATATGTCACCGACTACGGAAGAGAAAAAGGTAGCAGTGGCAGTTGTCGAGGGCTGTACTGATGCAATGGAGGACAAATATGCCTCACTGACCTTCGTCATGTGGTTGGAGTGGTAAGCCACATCGATCATCAGGCGACGGTTGAAGATCTTCCTCTCTTCAAGAATCCCCTGTAGCTCCTCAATGGCCGGGACATCACCAGAAATGGTGACACTGGAGGGACTGTTGATGCAGGCCACGGTGACGTATCCAGAAGAGATGGTTTTCATCATTGGTTGGATGGCCTCGACGCTGGTCCCGACGGCCATCATGGTACCCTTGAGATCCGGGTAAGTGCTTCTCAACAACTCAGTCATCTGGCCACGGCGGTATGCAAGTGTCATGGCACCCTCCAGGTCGAATATTCCAGCTGCATATGCTGCAGCGATTTCACCAGAACTATGGCCAACTACTGAGGCTGGCTGGATACCCCAGGAGCGAAGCAAGTCTACAAGGGCAATCTGCAGCGCAGAGCAGGCTGGTTGACTAATGTAGGGGGCATTGATTCTTGATCTTTCAGCATCTTGCTGCAACTCTGCGCAAAGTGAGAAGTCTGCACCCAATTTTTCCGACAGGTATTTGTCGGCGCGGTGGACCGCGGCTGCAAAAACGGGGTATTCATCCATAAGGGGTATACCCATCTGAGCCCACTGGGCTCCCTGCCCAGTGAAAACAAATGAAACAGAAGGCCCGTCGCCTCCAATAGCGCGGGCTGGGTTGATCTTCATCTGCGCCAGTTGGACACCGGCATCGTCGAGCGATGTGGCGGACAGTGCAATTCGGAATGGCAGGTGCGACCGTTTGCTTCCAACGGTGTAAGCGAAGTTACTGAACAAGGCGTTTTCGAAGACCTCGGGACGTTGCTCGAAGTAGATGCAATAATCCTTGCACCTGGTGCGAAGGGCCTCTCGGTCGTGTGCGGAGATTAACAGCAAACGGCGCTTACTCTCCTTATCCTTCATACCGGTCTCTTCTTCCTTTGATACCTGCGAAGGGGCCTTCCGCAAAACGACGTGTGCGTTGGTGCCACCAAAGCCATAATTGGAAACACTGATGTACTTTTTGCCACGGGGCCAAGGGCGTGTCCCGTTGGCAACCTTCATATGCCACTCTGCGAATGGGATCTTAGGGTTGGGCTTTTTGTAGCCGGCATTTGGAAGAACGAGTTCTCTCTCGAGCATCATGGCGGACTTAATGACTGATATAATGCCACTGACACCTTCTAGATGTCCAACGTTGGTCTTGACCGATCCAACATAGAGCGGATTTCTCGCCGTGCGCCCCTGTCCAAATACTGCCTGAATTGCCGTCGCTTCAATTGGGTCCCCGACTGCGGTTCCTACAAGATATAAACGTCAGCCTAGGATCCTAGTGAGGGATGATCTCGGGTGTCTACAACCTGTGCCGTGAGCTTCAACAAAGCCACAGTCTGCCGGGTTCAGGTTTGCTTCCTCGTACACCCGTCGAATCAATTCTTCTTGAGCTACGCCATTGGGACAAGTAATGCCCCTAGTCTTGCCGTCTTGGTTGACACCTGAGTGGGCAATAACAGCCCGGATGGGATCACGATCGCGCAGCGCTGCAGAAAGGCTTTTAAGCATAATCATGCCTGCGCCTTCACCCCGCGCGAAGCCAGAATTCCCTCTCTCTTCGAAAGCAAATGTTTTCCCTTCATCGTTGAGCAATCTGTTCAGATTTCGCGGTCAATAAATGCCGGGACATCACGATCTATCATCGAATATTAAGAAATAGTTACTCACTGCTGCATCGACATCGTAATGGAGTTGTCGGGGGTCAGAAGTAAATGGCAACCACCGACAAGCGCTTCGGTAGATTCTCCGCTCCGCAGACTCTGCACAGCAGAGTGCAATGCCACGAGAGAAGACGAACAAGCAGTATCAACAGTCAAACTAGGCCCCTTCAGGTCGAACATATAGGAGATTCGGTTGGACTGGAGCGCAGGGTATCCTCCCGTCCCCTGGAACATGGGAGTCGTCTCTGTATCGCGGATGTTGTTGATCTCGTAGTCGGCAAAATTTGCCCCAATGAAGACACCGATGCGACGCCCGGTCATGTATTCCCGAGAAATTCCGGCGCTCTCCATGGCTTCATAGGCACATTCTAGCAGGAAGCGCTGCTGTGGATCCATAGAGATGGCCTCCTGGGCACTAACGTTGAAAAATGGAGCATCAAATCGCGAAACATCATCCAGGAAATAGCCACCAGCCTGGTTACTGGTGCCCGGTTTTGAAGCATTCGGATGATAGAAAGCCTCTGCGGACCAGCGGTCCTTGGGGATGGGCGTCCAGCCGCTTCGCCCTCTTGTGCAGAGCTCCCATAAATCACTGGGGGAGGAGACTTGGCCGGGAAGTCGACATGAGTACCCAATGATCGCAATGGGCTCCAGCGCCGGTGATTCGACCGCAGACTGTGACCTATTCATGTCTGCTGTCGTGTCACTCGTTGGGGACATGATGGTTGTAACGAGTGAAAAGTGACAGAGGGATTGGGCTACTGGCAGATTGTGAAGGAGTTGATGCAAAAAGCAGAGAGGGGGCGCGCGAAACAAGCAAATATGCAAGGGATGTAATACTAGGGAGAGGATGGAGGCCGTGCCATGCTGACAGGAACACTGCGAGGCACGGCCCTCAATCACAGCTGATCAGTGAAAGCATTGCATAAAGTTTCTGGCGGCTGTGAGGAACACGCAGGCCCCTAGGCCTACTCAAGGGCCATGGACGGTGGCGTAGACAGCGGTGGTAACATGACACCATCCAGGAATTCGAACTTGAAGCCAACGGCACGCAGCGAATGACCTCTGCATGGTCCTTTTTTGGCATTCCATGTTGTTACATGGACTTTGAATGAACTTGATTGGTTAAGTAGCCTGTTTCTTGCTTCTGTGTATATATACATTCAGAGATTCATCAACTGATCGTTTCACAATATGACGGCCTGCAGTTCGCATGGCCCTAAAGCAGTATGTAGTCAGCTTGCATACATCTCCCTAGCTACTGATGGCTTTCCTGTTAAGTTGTCAACACAGCTCCTCCACATTCCCCAGCGAGTAAATAAATAAGTTTACTGGCTCTCTGGGATTGTTCCTTTGACCTTCTTCGTCCCCTCTCTCATTGTTGCCTCTTACCCACTTATTCTGACATGCAGTTCCTCTGTCTTCACGGTGCCATTGGCAACACCGACGTGAGTGTGCACGATGGCAAACGATTTAATATAATGCTAACAAGCGCAGAATATCACTATTCAGCTGGGTACTGCCTTTTATCTACATCTAGTTGACACATCTTGTTGTGTTGTTATTAACGGGAGGTGACATACAGCGCCACTGTTGAAAGAGCTGAATACCGAGGATTCAGAAACGACCTTTCACTATCTCAATGGCCCTCTCCTAGTTCGTCCGCCCCCAGGATTTGAGGCGTATTTCGGCGTCGGACCACATTACCGGTGGATTGACGACGGTCAAAAGTCCGGAAGGTCCTCGATCGACCGCGTCCGCGACCTGCCAACCAGCGAGAGCAATGACGATGCTGTGAGAGAGGTCTTGGGGGACATCCGCTGTCATAACTACGCGGAGCTGATGGCTTATATCGAGGAAGTACTGAACAAGAACCCAGAGATTGGCGGGATGATCGCCTACAGCGAAGGAGCTGCGGCGGCTGCCACATATATCCTTGATGAACAACGCCGGCAACGCGACGATGGCCGGGAGCGCCAGATAAAGTGTGCCATGTTCGTCGGGGGCTGGCCGGCCATGAGGCGAGACACGAAGGAGTTCATCCTTGCAGATGACGGTGGCGACGAAATGATCGACATTCCCACGCTTCATGTCCTAGGGGCAAATGGTAGTGATCATTCTTCTTCTTGTTTATTTCAGCTTTTGGATTAAGATCAGCTAACTTAAATGCTCATCCAGACCCTTTTCGGTATGGCTCGGAAGCACTCTATGAGACCTGTGATCTTGACGCAGCCGAATTTTTCGATATGGGGAAAGGCCATACCCTTCCACGGTCGGGTTTGGTGGTCAGTGAATTAGCGCAGTCAATGCGAGAGTTGATCAGTAGAGCCGAGTAACCCAAGGGATAAAGTAAGGGGCTGGGAATCCGTGCTCTTATTTGAGTGTCTGCCCCTTGCATGTATATGGCCACTATGATGGGCCCGGTCGGCTGGAGAGAAACGTGTACTTTAGCTCGTGTATAAATGGATTAAATACATGCAGCACTAGAAAGTATTACATGCGTATGATGGGGGCTGTAGAATAATAATTGCACGGTCTGCCCTTTCATTGACAGACCCTATCCACTCTTTCCCGTCCACAAGAAAAATGCGGTTTTTATGCCTTCATGGCTCTATAACTAGTGCTGATGTAAGTTAATGTATTCTCTCTGAGAGAGACTGTACGTCAAACTAAGATTATGTCGCAGACTCTCAGTGCCCAGCTAGGTATCACTTGAGTGGTATTGGAGAAGCTATTAATCGCTAATTTGTATGCGATTAGGGCCGTTGCAAAAGAACCTGGCGGCCGACGATACCGCTTCATTTTATTGCGTGAATGCGCCACATGCTGCGATAGCCCCTCCAGGTGTGATATAACTTCCACCAAACAATCGGTGAATTAATTGCAGTGTGTTTAACAGCGCCCAGGACAGATAGAATACTTTGGTCCTCCGCCCCATTACCGCTGGCTTGACTACCCCGGAGTTACCGAAGGCGCCCTCTTCACAACCGTCCGCGGGGCGCGAAACACCTCCCATACTACTCCAGAAGAGGCGCTTCGATCGGTGATATCTAATGACATTGCTTGGACAAACTATTATGACCTGATGAAATACATCGATGAGACGTTAGAAAAGAATCCTGATATCGATGGCCTCGTGGGATACAGTGAAGGGGCAAGTATCGCGGCAGCATATATCTTGCGCGAACAGCAGAGGGAGCAGGAGACAGGCCGTACGCGGCGGATTAAATGCGCTGTTTTCTTGGCCGGTATTCCCCCAGTAAATTCCGAACGAGGGTTTATATTCGCCGATGAGCGAGAAGACATGATTGATCTTCCGACTGTCCATGTCGTTGGTGCTAATGGTGGGTTGGTCCTGTCATAGATGAAACTTATCGACCGCTCGCTAATAGTTCGGGTTTGCATGGATAGACCCATACAGGTTTGGCGCAGACTGCCTATACAATATCTGCGACCCTGATGCCGCTTACTTCTTTGATACTGGCAAGGGACATACTATTCCTCGTGGAGGGCCAGTCATCGATGAGTTGGGAGACACGATTCGGGAATTGATTCAGAGGACCAGGGAGGGGTTATGAGTAGATTTATATACCAACGCCCTTCGAAAATTGTCGTAATATGATTGTCATATGTCAATACTGTAGAGGTTGAATTAACCCCAATCCTCCTTGAACTCAGTATGACTAATTCTTTTCGGACTTTCTTTAAGGGAATTCAAGGTTGTTAACGCGCTGACTGCTAGTCCAAAAATAAAATATTGCGTCTTTAAGATCAGTCGACGAAGAAATCTGTCACAAGAAAGGATATAGTTAAGAGCTCTATGATATCAAGATATCTCTGAGAACAATAAAGTCTTCTGTATTAACTGAGGGGTTTTCAAAATTTACATATTGTTTAACAAAACTTTAATATGGAAGACGAAACTGAGACCGATTTAGCTAAACTATATATTATCTCAACATACTACTATTAAAGCCGTACAGAGGAGGTGATTAGTTGCGGTTATTGAGTTCAAGTTGCATCGGCTCTAATATATATTTCATGTTAGGTAAGTAGATTACAATAAAGCTTATAGTTACGTGTCCCCTCCCACCTAATACAACTACCAATTCTTTTTGTTTTTGTTTTTCTTGTTTTTTATTTATTTATTTATTTTTATTTTGTTTCCGCGACGAACTTTAGCTCATGTCACATGAGGATGGTAAATCGCAGGGACTCCCAACATACTTAGGTTATAAGACCTATCAAAGTGGCGGCTTAAATTCAGAGGTGGAGATTGTGGCCATGTGCGAGGAATGACATCGGAGTTTTAGTCCTCCGGAAAAATATGATTTTATTTCCGAGCGACTTCCAAATGAGCATGGAATATATATTCAGGAGCAAACTGCCATGTTTGCGTGGAGATAAATAAGGCGAGCAGGGAATGTCTTATCTTCTCTAATTTAGCCAATTGACCTACTGTACAAATAAGGGTTGCTACACTGTCGATCGCTGTTCATTATGAATCTAGCGCGAGCGCCATAATAGCCTCCATGAAAGAACCATTCCGATTATAGTACAGCTTGACGCACAGGGCGTTGGTCCCACACCCAATGAGCAACAAATGGAAACACAACACTCACGAGTTAGCTGTCTACAGTTAAATAGAGATAATCCATATAGGGCAAGCAAAATATTAGATTCTCAGAGAGCACGGCTAAGCATGCCTAGAACCTAGAGATGGACGTTCCCTCCACGTTATCAGCACCCAGGGCTGGAGCTCGGAGGGATTTGAAGCGTAAGCACTAGCGCGGTCTATCCATGACTCGCCCCAAAATTTTGCCTGGGCGACACAACATTTAGCGTGTAACGTGGACCTCGTGTTAATTTTACGCTCTCTGTAGACGCCCCTTATATATTGTGTCATTCTCACCGTTGTGAGTGCCCATTCGCTGAGCTGAACACCCCCTGGTCAGAACTTGCATCGATACCCTTGTTCGGTCGAAGGGCGATGGTTGTTCGCCCTCCTTTTTCTACGCAGAAACAATTCAAGTGTAAATTGCTGGGAGGATCTCTTAGCCACCCAATCACACTAAGAGTCCTACTAATTACATAGCTTATTTCGCCGTTGTTAACGGGCGTTCACGTACTTGCATGACTACAAATCAACGATACATCTGGACTGCTCAACAATCCCCAAGGTCCTGAATATATTACTGCTCTAAGTATCATTGAGTAAGGTTATACGGATATAAGCATCTTGCTACATCGCGATGGCCTGATTCTTCAGCAACAGGGTAGGAGTAGGCCGAGAAGTGATCAGAGCATACTACATGCCATTCCAACGAGACAAGTAGTTATCATGGCTGATGTAGAGCCACGGATATATAAGCACAATGTGCAGCTTGGGGCTGAAGCTGTCCATCTCAATAATAAGAGGGTGGGGTAGGTCTCAGATTTGTTAGGTGGCGTCGACCAGGATCCGAGAAAAAGCATCACACAAATGGCATTAATCCCATGCACAGGGTCTCATTATTATCATTACAATTCCTATTATTGCTATAGTAATCCTTGTTATTATCCCGGTTTCAACTCAGCTCGTATGGCCCCACCCGGGATGCGGATGAAGAGGGCATTTCGTGCACCATTCCCGTAAGGCTTTCTGTAGGCAGCTCGGAAACTGTCCGCGCGCTCGGGGAGACACTTTGGTAATCCATGGCCTGAGGGTGTCGGGTCATTCGACGGCGTAGGAAGAAGATCACCACGGCTGCAATAGCAAGAACGCCTGCTACCGCGCCGATTACGGGACCCGCAATCCACGCTTGGCTCTTCCCGGAAGAAGAGGTGGATGTTGAAGACGGTGAAGCGGTCGATGTTTGGGTCCCAGAAGCGGTTTTTGTGGCCATAGAGGTGATTGGGGCGGTTGTTGCACTGGTTGTTGAATCTATAGGTAAGACCATTAGTGAGATTTGTGTCTGTGGGACAGATGAGATTCAGGTTTACCTGAGGTTGCTGATGTGGTTGAGGTTGTCGTAGCGGGCAGCTCTCGATAGATTGTGTAGGCAGACCAAAAGTCAGCGCAGAAGAGGTTGTATGCGGATGGGGTGGCGTAGGGCTCGGATTGATAGATGGTCATGGTTTGGCATGACATGGACTCGGAACCACTAGTCAAACACAAAGTCGGGTTGTATATCAGCGACAGCCCATCTTAACGCATACATTTGATAGTTTCTAACATACCAGTCCAAGGTTTTATTGTCGACATTGTAGTAAAGTATGTTCCCACTACATGCGGTGGCCCAGGAACAGGTGACAGAAGCAGTGCAGCCGGCTGCATATTGTCCGGAGGTCGACCATGTGCCCGCATCAGTTAGGGCTTGGGCTGCAGTCAAGCATCGGGGTAAGCGACAATGTTCAGGTCAATCAAAATAGCACTGAAATAGCGAACGAGTACTGACTGGTCGTTCCAAGATACCATCCCATAAAATGTGGACTGTCTTGAATAGAAGTATTCAACGACGTTGTTGTCTGACCAAGGCTCCCCGGCAGCGAGAGCAGTATCACCCAGGAGAGTACCTGCCATGCCGCAGGGACTTTAGGTATCAAGAGTCTCCCCATCATTTCAAAGACCCGACAACTCAATTGGATCCTTGAATATCCTCGCCTCTCGTATGGAGGATGTGCTTGGGCCAAACGAAGGCTATCAAATTCAACGGGTTATTCATTTTCCAGTGCGGAGATTGCCCTTATGTAGTCGTTCCTTGCCCAACATCGGTAAAAGGCACTGCTAGTGTTCCAACCCCGACTGATGGGGCCTTAGCGCAGAGAAACCTCGCGTGGCCATGATACAGCCACACTTTAATGCTCGAGCGACTCCCGGGTATGGCATTATAACCATCCTGTGAGACTACAGGCCTCTCAGGATTTTGACTAGTCCAACTAGCGGTGGGCCGGTGCCTTTCAAGTAAATTAAGCCTCGCAACTCCCTTCTCCGGTGACACCCGGCACTAGCAAGCCTAAGGATCTTTTCGCCCTCCAATCAAGACGAACCGTTGGTGACCCTGGTGGAAGCACAAACTCAATCACTCAATTTCCCTGACTGTTAGCGCCCGCGCTAATCCATGATGGAGCGATCCTCGAACCGTGGCAATAATAGTAATCCCACCTTGTTCTTAAACAGGTGGACGCTCTCCGCTGGGCCTGGAGCGCCGAGAATATTTCTCATCTCTCCTCACCTACAATACCCCCATGAAAGCTCTTCATCTCGCACACCATCGATGCTCCCTTCCACCTTAAAGTCATCGCGCTATGGGCGCTTTGTTATCTTGACGATCCCGCTGCTCGTGTTCAGCTGCCTCCTCTTCCTGACGTGGGACCCACTGCCCGGCCGACTCGCCCGTCAGCAATCGACGTCACAGTCCGATCCGCTATCCCAGGTACCACAAGCAGTTGAGCCACCAAAGGAAGAACCATCGCAACCCAAAACTCCTGTATCTACCAGCAAACCATCCAGCTCAAAACAGACTGCTCACATTGCTGGTGGTGATGCTATCTTCGGTATAACTGACAAGCTTTGGCAATCCGCCAAGGATCCCCACCTGAGCGATGACCAAGACGAATGGATCAGCAGCTGGCTTGAGAAGAACCCCTCTTTCCGATATGAGCTCCTGACTGATACCTCCGCTGCCACGTTTGTCCGTACTCATTATGCCTCGCGACCCGACATTATCGAGGTGTTCGAAACCCTCCCGATCCCGATCCTGCGGGCGGATCTTCTGCGATACCTGCTCGTGCTTGCGGAGGGGGGCGTCTGGAGTGATCTCGACGTCACCTGCGATAAGCCCGTGGCCGACTGGGTCCCCACGGAATACAAGAATGCAAAGATCGAGATGATCGTGGGACTGGAGTTTGATTTTGAATGGCGTGGAGAAGGAACGGAGATCGCATCGCAGTTCTGCAACTGGGTCTTTGCGGCACCCCGCTCATCACGAGTTCTTCAGGTGGTGGTAGACGCCGTAGTGGCCAAACTGAAAGAGATCGCCGCGATGAATAACGTGCAGGTAAAAGACCTGACGTTAGAAATGCTCCCCATTGATGTTGTCAATGTGACAGGGCCCAAGATCATGACAATGGCAATCTTGGATAGCCTGAAGCAGCTGCTAGGCCGGACGGTTGATGATCGCGACTTCCATGGTATCAAGAAGCCCAAGCTCATCGGTGATGTCCTTATCATGCCTGGTGTGGCGTTTGCGGCATCCCAGAATGGATATCCCCAGGATCAAGGAGATGCGCTGGTTACGCATCACTACGCGGGCTCGTGGAAGCAGGCGGATGCGGAGGCGAAGGAGAAGAAAAAGCAGAAACAGAACGGGCGGGATAAAGTCGTATAGAGTATCATGGGCATTGGATTGTTAGGATTTGTGTTCTGGGATTGGCGTTGGTTGCGCGTTTAGCATTTTGTACAGTGGCGTACTCATAATTTACCTTTATCTGATGGCGGCTCATTCTGCTCCTTTTGTCCGTTGGTAATTTCGCTCAGCAAAGAGAGCAAGACGCCTATTTGCTGATCTTGGTCTCATGAATCCCACATCGTGTTGTATATTTGGAGTTGTGCCATTTCGGTTTTCCACCGGTGATCATGGTCCCGGATGATGATTACAAGCGCCGTCACTAGTAGCTCTGCTTCGTCTACCTCTACTAGTAGTAGCGCAGACCTTACGTGTTCCTATGACTGGTAATACGAAGCTCTCAATACTTGATTGAAGGGTGTCCGCAGAAGTCATTAGATACGTTGGGATGTGAGGTTGATGACTGTGACTATTTTTGTCTTTCCGTACCCTCTCAACTACTTACTTCACTGGTCCGAATTCATTAACGCATTCAAGCAGTAATAGTGCGTCCAACTTACTATATCAATCAGGTCTAGGAACGTATAAGCACATACGACCACAGGGTGTGGAAAATAGGGCTTCCCGTCCGCTCAGCCGTACTCAAGCCACACGCCGGGAGGTTAGTAGTTGGGTGGGTGACCACCAGCGAATCCCTTCTGTTGTATGTTTTTTATGTTGCGAACATCCTCCTGTGTGCGTGGATATGTGATGTACTGCCAGATAGTCTGTATTCAACAGCTCTGTACGCTGAAAAGTCTACTAGCTGCTCTGCTCAAGGGCGGGTTACTTGCCGTTTGTTCAATAGTCCCCCATCATGTCTACTCACTCTCGTGACGGTTCCCCAATCTCTGCTCTAGGCGGGCTACTGTTAAAGAACCGCAATTGCCAAGATGAGGTTTGGGATGTATATCTCCTTGCACCACCAAGCTTATCCTTGACCATCATCTTTTCAACGTCTTCGTGGGGCAGTTAATATACCAGAATGGAAAGTTAGTTCATTATGTCATCCCAAATCATAAAGACACCGCTTTATAAGTGGACCCACAAAGCTTGTTAATGCCACCCAGAATGGGAAAAGGAAGGCTAGCTATCAAAACGTAATAGTCCCTATAAGAAAGAAACATGAGGGCGAAAAGATTGAGACAAAAATAACAAAAAAAAACAAATGACCGATCCCGGGATCGAACCGGGGACCTTCTGTGCTCGCAGATTATGTAAGACAGACGCCATGAAACCACTAGGCCAATCGGTCTATTCGCATAACCGGGTTATCCTCTATTTACCTTGACATCCGGCTGCTGCTGTCTCCACGCAACTTGATTTTTGTTCAGGACGTAGACCACGTAGAGGCTAATGTTAGCGCTCTGTTGTTGGCGAGTTTTAACTCCAATACGTTGGGTGGGTGCTTGGACTACTTCACTGATGCATCCGGGATAAAAGAGCCAGCTGAACTAATGCTCAACCGTTGGCTCACCATTCATATCGACATTGAACGAATCCTCGGAAAAGTCAACCTTGCGCAAAATTGAATCAAGCGCAAGGGATGTCATTGCCCTTTTCCACTCAGTTTCGGGTAGCCTGAATCATGTGACCCTTGGTGGGCCACAGTACTGACATAAGTCGTAAACAAAGATCCACATCAACTTCCAAATCCAGAAATTGGAAGCATTAGTCTTCTCCATTCCTTCCATGCCATTGGGCTTAGAGCTAGTCTTGATTAGCTAGCCGCTATTATTCCCTTTTGTTCCATCTACAATCGCCAATATGCTACCTGAATTCCTGCAGAGTAGCTATGCCCGCTACAAAGCAGACACCAATACCTTCGCAACATAGCTACTAGAGACTGCCAACAAGTGTGGCTATGAACCTACCCTTTCTGCTACCGTCCCTCCCGCGAACAAGAGCAAGCGTAAGGGTAAACCGGATGGCTCGAACGAGCATCCAATTCAATACAGTGCTACTACCAAAGACCTACAAAAGTTCGCCGAGGTAATTGCCGGTTCTTCTCTCAACGTGCCGAGATCAGTCCTCACCATCGCGAAACGCGCCATCAAATTGAGGAAAACAGTCACTTCATGGTTCTTGGGTCGGGGCGACATCGCGAACAATAAGCGACATGCTCATTTCATCACTGCGCTGGAGCCAATCTGCGAGGATCTTGAATGGAAGACCACCGTGCCCTCCAAGCCAGACGCTAAGCAGCCACAGTCAGCGCCTGAGGCTCACGATGACGACGCCGATGCTGACAGGTTCTTAAACAAGTTTGCTGTCCTCACGGTAGAGGAACCTGAGGATATCCCAGAAACTAAATCGGCACCCGCAGAATCGAAGAAGATTGTCAAGGTCACCGTGGTGGAAGACGACAATGAAGCGGCCGACTCCTATCTTGGTCACTTGTTTTTCAAGACCCTGTGTTTACTCCAGGACTTGGAAAACATGCGGAAGTTTATTTCCATCACCTGGTCGGAGTGCCGGGATAGGAAAATCGACCTTATGAACGCCGCTGTCGTGACGGACAGTGCGTTGCAACTTGCCCAAGATATGGTGAAGGAGGTCGAGGCTGACTGGCTCGCTACTCGTACTTCGCAGAAAGATGATATTCAGAACCTTGTCTACAATCTCGCTGTTATTCGTCGGGGCATCTCCGCGGCTCCATCCACGGAGATTGGCCTGCCATACAACAAGAACATGGCTGATGTAGCTGACTGGTGCTACGTGCCAACTAGGGTCCTGCTCGACGCCTTTGCTAATGTTCTCCAGGACAATCACCAACCAGTCTTCAAAAAGGGCTACTTCGGTACATATAACCCAAAGGCGGACAGAGCGCGGATGTCTGTGGGCCAGAAGTTCAACGAAGACAAAATCATTCTTCTTTCAATTCTGCCAGAGTTTTGCATGTTTGATACCTTCAAATTCAAGACGCCTACATCGGACGCGATCACGAAAGGTCTCGTTGAGTTTTCCAGGAACAAAAAGGTTACTCTATGGCTCTGCTTTGCCTCCCAGATCTTTCTCGACATCCATCATATCATGCGACACAGTACCCTGGGTGCCTTTGGAGACCTTCGCATGTCGGGACTGCGCATTCAGAAGATCATTGATGAGTACCTGAAATTGTCCAAGACACATCCCCAGCCCAAGTTTTGGCCAAAGGAGGGCGACGAGGAGATTCGGGCTATAAGTGCCACTGTGGATTCCTGGATTATACAAGACGCGTTCCTCAATTTGCGGGTTCTGTCTGGACTTGACAAAACCGGCTCAGCCCCTGAAAAGCATGCACTCTTATCGCAGCACCCTGTCCTATGCGGACTGATTCTATTCCACCTCAATATTAGAATGCAGTATGTGGGCCAGAAGCTTGTCACCCAATGGTATGACGTCCAACAGCTGGCTTTCTTGCATAACCTCGTTATACAGTATGCAACGCACAAGGACGTGAGATGGCCCGATATGGATGCTTTCATCAAGATCCATGGCGAGTCTCATATCTTCATTGGTTCGCGTCCAAAGACCGCCGGTGAATCTCTAAACAGGCTTGAATTGGCCACAGGCGTCTCATCCGCTGCCAATTTTGCGCGCGATTCCCGGAGTAGACCTTTTCATAAGCCCGATGGCAAGAATTTGCGCTTGCTCAAGCCCACCACTGCAGTTGCGAACTTGTTCTCCTCCAAGTACGTTGAGGGTCTCGCGGAAGATGCCGGGATCGTCCACATTGACCGGATCCTGGACGAGCTCTCACAGCAATCTAAGCGTGAATCATCATCTTGCAACGAGCCCCACAGAGCTAATGCAGAACTCTCGATTACCCGAAAGTGGTCTAACACCCGTAACATTGACACACTCCACCTTTTGGCCTTCCTAAAGACCAAGCTTTACGAAGAGGAGCCTGTCATCTTGTACAACTACTTCGGCATGCACAAACGTTCCATCGAGTTACTCCGACTGATCCGACAGAAAGAACACCACAAATTTGTTCAATATTTCACAGCCGGATACATGGACGATGAGTCCTTCATCTTCAACATTGTCTTTCTCATCCACCACGTCGCACGAGGCTCGGCCCAAAACGCACGTGCGATGGGACTTGGATCCGGGGACGTGGAGTTAGTGAGTCGCATTGTCATGAGCTCTGGCGACGTTATGCGTGAATACTTGGAGAAAAACGGTGATGTGGCGTGTAAAGAGCTGAGAGTATTTTGCAAGAACAAAAAGCCCATTAAAGATGAGGTTGCTGACCATGCGGGTGAATCGGACGGGCTGGTGACGTCTTGGCTGCACCTTGAGGAGGTTCTGGGTCCGAAGGGCGTGGCCTCGCTTATGACGGGGATCCCGATGGCTTAGTCTCCGGCTCTCTCAGGGCACCGACCAAATGCCGACTTCATGCCAAGAAATCCCGCCCCGTCCATTTGAAATCTCTGCCTCATTTGTTCCCGCCAACATATTATGACTCAAACTTTCCATTTTCAGGTTGAGCAAGGATATGGCCATGGGCTCTAACGATAATAATGTCTTAAATCCTTTGGCGCGCGCCCATCTTATATTGGTGAGATTGGGTAACAGGCCACTGTGGAGCCCCCAAAGCTAGAATTCATTAGACCCTGAACACTACCACTATCGCCCCCAAGGGCACCGATGCGGCATCTGATCCCACGCCGTGTGATATCAATGGTAAAATGTAACGTACAACGTAGATAGCCATTGCTTCAACTCGTCTTTCAAGCAACAGGTTGATAATATTGACACGATGTCGCCATCTTTCCCCATTTCCATTTGTCATGACTTGGCATTGACTCCAATCACGCAATGTCCACAGCCCCACCCACAATACGAATTCTCCTCGTCCATCCCCAACCCCAAATTTTGCCCAAATATCGAGTCTTCTTCCTTCTGAGTTATCAGATCAGATCAACCACGTGGCGAGTGCCATCATAAAGGTTTCATCACCATGGCCTCACCCCAGCCGACTAACCGCTTCCTGTCGGTGGTCCGGTCGATCCCCTTCCAGATCGCTATCGCCAGTGGCGTTTCCTTCACTGCTCCGGGCATGTGGGATGCCTTGAATAACCTGGGAGCTGGAGGTGCCGCAGAGCCGTATGCTGTCTCAGCTGCGAATGCCCTGCTGTATGGACTGTTCGCTGTGGTTTGTATCGCTGCCGGTGCCATCAACAACCGTATCGGGCTTCGCTATGGCCTGGCGCTGGGAGCCATCGGGTACCCTATCTACGGTGCCGGTCTGTATACGAACAACTATTCGCCGACCACGTGGTTTCTGCTGTTTGGAAGTGCTTTGTGCGGTATCTCGGCTGGTTTCTTCTGGGCTGCCGAAGCGGCCATCATCATCGGGTACCCTAGTCCCAAGGACAGAGCGTTCTACCTAGGTGAGTTGCTCATCCTAATTCCAATACTTTTCATGGTATCTGACAGCTTGTCTAGCGATTTGGCAAACCGCCAAAGCTGCAGGCCCCATTGTCGGTGGCGCGATCGAACTGGGCCTCAATGCCCAGAACTCCGGGAAGGGAACCGTTAGCGAAAGCACGTACATTGTCTTCATCGTGCTCATGTGTCTCGGACTTCCTATTGGTCTATGTTTAAGTCCAGCGGAGAAGGTCCAACGCAAAGACCGGACTCTGGTTGTCGTCCACACGCAAGCCACGTGGATGGCCGAATTCAAAGCCGTTATCTCGCTGCTCTTCACCCGCCGTATTGCCATGCTGATGCCGGCCTTCTTCATCAGCTACTTCTACAACGGTTTCCAGAGCACCTGGCTGACAGACTACTTTACTGTCCGCTCGCGGGCGTTCTCTTCATTCTTCACCAACTTTGCTGGCATCACTTCTTCCTTCCTCATTGCCACCCTACTGGATAAACAATCCATTCACATCAAGACGCGGGCCCGCGTAGCCTTCGCCTCAATCATTGTCGTGCTCACGGGCACTTGGATTTGGGCCACCATCTTGCAGTACCAGTTCTACTATGAATATACGAACCCGCTCTTTGACTGGTTCAAGGGCGGGTTCGGCAAGACCTACGCTCTTGTTTTCTTCTGGTCTTTCGGTGGCCAGGCTTTCCAGCAGTTCCTTTACTGGCTTGTCGGACAGTATACCACCGACCTTTCGTCCCTGTCTCACCACTGCGGTATCCTCCGTGGGTTCGAGGCTCTGGGACAGACAGTTGCCTGGGCGTGAGTCCCCCACCTACTTCTATCCCTCCTTTCCATTCCTACGAATAGGATGACCGGGTGAACTAACGAAACTCTATATAGCATGCAATCCGAAGGCAATGCCAACCACTTCGTCAGCATTGGCCTCAACTTCGGCATCACCTTGTTTTGCGTGATTCCCACGTGGATCATCATCTCAGAGCTCGAGCATACCCATGAAGTGGAGGTTCGCGCCGAGGATGTCAAGGCCGTCGATGATGGTGAGGCTGAGCCGCAGACGGCTTAATTCTACTAACTTGTATAATATCATTTTAGCGTTTTCAACAACTTGTGCTGCCTTTCAGCGAGGCGTTTGGGGGTTTTAGTCGAGCAGGACTGGACTTGATTCAACAGCATGTCGGAATTCTTATGAAATATTGGAGATGGCAGGAGTGGTCTAAGGGTTTAGAAGTTAAGGGGAAGAGGGGTGAAAGATAATATAATATATTATAATATCAACTAGAGTAGCTTATGCTACTCGTGGTTTTGTCCACGCATGCTCGAACTTCTTAGAGTAATGAAAGACGCGAAAATATTAGAGAAGGACGTCGTATTATTCGCAGAAGCAAAGGGATCTAGCCCATAAAGTGGTAGGCGAGCAACCCAGGGGACATGTTATTACCCTGGCCCGCTTGATTGAGCTTCCAACCAAAGGAAGCCCAGTTCCCCTGCCGAGAATGCTGATCCACTGTATCGGTCTGAGTTGGTTCCATACCTTCGTCACAGGTTCAAACGCTACAGACACAATGACTAAATGCTTTTTATATCTAGCGATAATGTTGACTCCAGCGCTCCAATAGTGAATTTCATGGTAGTTGAAGATTTGGTGGCTGCGGATACCGGAAACATTATAAAGCATCAGAACTAAATTTTGCCTGACGTGAGACGGGTGGAGCTTATGGGAGTTAGGAAGCTCATTGTGAATAGCATTCCGCAATAGTATAGTCACCATAACAGAATAGGCTTAATGGTCTTCCCAATTTTCATGTCGTTTATGGCCGTCCTGTAATCTTCCGCTTGATAAAATCCCACAATCTCATGCAAAGGTAGCAGTCCCGTCTTCACCCACTCAATCATTTTAGGCACAAACTCTCGAGGAACAACGTCTCCCTCCACAACTCCCATGTATTGCTTCGCAGCAACCATAAAATCATGAATTGGAAGACTGACCACCGCATCTTCCGGTGCTGTTCCAAGCTGAACAATCCTTCCCTTGTTAGCTGTCATGCGAATGCCCTCGGCAATCAACCCCGGTACCCCCGTAGTCTCCAACGTAACATCTGCACCAAGGCCATCAGTAAGAGCACGAACCGACTCTGTTACATGACCTTTGTCTGTACTTGAATCGAGTCTAACGACATGTGTCGCTCCAAGCGCCAGGGCCAGCTCAAGACGAGCCTGATTTCGTGCAATCCCGATGATTTTCCTGCAACCGGCAATACGCGCTCCCATCACCGCACTCAATCCAACGCCTCCCAGCCCGAGCACAGCTACAGTATCCTCAGGCTGTGCCTTGGCTGCCTTGATAACCGCTCCTGCACCTGTCTGGACGCCGCACCCCAGCGGCGCCAGCAGATGAAGGTCCCCCCTTCCCTCCACCAGCCCGGAGACATTCACCACTGATTCCTCCTGCACTATTGTCCAGCTAGCAAAGCTCGATTGCCCGAAGAATTGGCCGAAGATTTCCGGCTCCGCAGAGTGTGTTGATACGTCGGCTTCAGTTCCCCAGAAAACGCGGTTGGCTTCGCTTGACTCGAAATTAATAGGATCGAAATTGTGACAGTGTGCGGGATGACCCCGACTGCAGCATTGGCAGGTCTGGCATGCCGAGAATGACAGGAGGACTGGTTCGCCGACTCGGGCTGCGGTGACGCTGGACCCGACCTGTCGAACATATCCAGCGCCTATCGAAGAATGATTCATGAGATAATCAGCTTCTCTTATAGATATGACAGCACCACAGGAAGGGAGTAATTACCTTCGTGTCCCATCACCCGGGGATAATGTACGCCATGACCACGTTCCAACCCAGCGAAGTGGAGATCGGTCTGGCAGACACCTGAGGCAACCACTTCAATAAGTAACTCATTCTCTCGCAAGGGTCTCAGGGAGACATTTTGAAGCTTCCAGCCACCAGCCTGGTAGGGGCCGTGAGAAACCAGGGCGCGTCCGGTGATGCGCTGTGTGTCTGGCATTATGGATTACAGAGGATAATTACTGAGGACTACGCGTTTTCTAGACGTGAATTTATGTATTCATACCTCTTTAGAATCATTGCCGACTCCAGGGCCCGGAATGAGCTGCATACTGTGCAAATTCCGGTCGGCATGCCGAGCTGGATCAAATGTCTTTCGGTAGATCCGGATTTCCGTCTTCGATCCCTGAGTGGGTCTATTTACGAAAGAAGACTGGTACGGATATAAACTTACTTTTAAGCTGTCTTTACTGATGTTTCAGTGTCTAGAACCCGTGGTGTTCTGCTAGAGGGAGAGACCTTGAGCAAAACCCGAAGATTCATTCACTTGTTTTTTTCAACAGCCGATACCAATACTGTGGGGTAGTAATAAGCCATGACTAACAACCAATGATATCGGCGAAGCAAAATTAACTTCTGCCTAAGGCAACAACTTTATCTGGTTAGGCAACGAATTCAGAGAAGGATGTCACAGGTCCCTTCAACCCTGATAGAGAAGGTGTATAAAGTGATCACTGCTGGCCTATCAGTTGCAGTCGAAGAATTTTGTAACACTATAGATAACAATCCCGATGACACCATCTGCCGAAAGACTTGGTATGCCATTGACCACTTATCGTCCTGGATTCTGCTAACGGCCGGCAAACCAACTGCATGGCTCATTCTAGCGTCGATCACGCAACGGAGATAGCACGCAACATCATGTCCCCAGGGAACAATTTCCCCGCACAACTACCAGTATATATACCGATGCGAGGGTTTTAAGTTGTAGTTGTATACCCTGTCACCTCAAGCCAAAAACATGGCACCTAGATATCGTCGCGTTGCTGTCATTGGCACAGGCCCTTCCGGCCTCTCCGCCGTCAAAGCTCTCCATGACGAGAATACCTTCGACACAATTAGAGTCTTTGAGCGACGCGACCGTGTTGGAGGCATCTGGCACTATGACCCGACCCCAGACCCATTCTATGCCCCTGGTAGCCCATTACAGACTCCCAACGAGGTCCCTACCAGTCTTCCCCAATTCACCTCTCCACGCCCGGAAGACACCAGTGCCAGAACAGGCATCTATTCCCACCTCGACAGCAATGTCGGTTCCAAAACAATGGCCTTCACCCACACGCCATTTCCAGAGATAAACTCATCAACGTCAATCAAGATCCTCGGCCCATCCAATCCCTCCCGTCCCTTCCGCGTCGTGGCCAACTACCTCGAGGACCTCTTTACTCCGTACCTCCACCTCGTCTCGCTAAGCACGACAGTTGAACGAGTCGAAAAGACCGGACAAGAATGGACACTTACCCTCCGCAAAACCGCCCAGCTCTACCGCGGCCTCCCCCAGGACTACTGGTGGACCGAGACCTTCGACGCCGTGATCGTCGCATCAGGCCACTACAACGTGCCCTCCATCCCACCCATCCCAGGCCTATCCACAACAGCCTCAACACACCCCAACGCCTTCGAACACGCCAAAGCCTTCCGCCACGCCGACAACTACACTAACAAGCGCGTGCTGATTGTCGGCGGCAACGTCTCCGCCGCCGACCTCGTCACAGAACTCCACGAGATCGTCTCCGGCCCTCTATACATCAGCCAGCGCGGGATCAACCCCGCCCTCGAAAACGCCTGGACCCTGCCCAACGTTCAGCGCAAGCCCACTCTATCTCGCCTTGAACCCACCACACCATCAAGCAGCACAAACAACACCGTAACAGCCCATTTCACCGACGGCACCAAGCTCGAATCCATCGACCGAGTGATCTTCGCTACCGGCTACACCGCATCGTACCCCTTCCTTGTCCCGGACCCCGTCACCGCTAACAACCGCGTCGCGGGCTTCTACCAGCACATCTTCCGCATCACGGATCCGTCACTGGCTCTGGTGGGCCAGGTGCGTGCTGCTCTTAGCTTCCGCGTCTACGAGTACCAGGCTGTTGCAGTGGCGAGATACTTCTCCGGTCGGGCGAAGGAGCTGCCGAGTCAGGCGGAGCAGGATCGGTGGGAGTTTGAGCGACTGAAGTATAAAGGAAATGGAGTTGCGTTCCATGAAATTAAGCCGGATTTTAGGGAGTATTTTGAGGCGCTGTTGGGCATTGCTGGGGAGGGGGCTGGATTGCCGCCGTTTGAGGATAAGTGGGCGGATGAGGCGTTTGAGATCTTGAAGGCGAAGGATGAGTATTGGTCGAGGTTGAAGAGGGGTCAGGATAGGGCTAAGTTGTAGGTAGCTGTATGTCTGGGGTAATCCAATCCGAGATTGGGTACACAGGATTGCTTTCGGTAGAAGCTTGTACATGGCCAGATATCCAGCTGATATATATTTTGGCATGGGTGGCTACCAGTTCTGCCTTTGGACTGCTAAGAATCCACATAGTATTCTTCTACTATCTAACCAATACTAACTGTCTTATATATGTTCTATCTATCGGAATAAAATATAGACAGTCTCAAACATGAAGTCCCACCACGATTTAAATGTCCAATGACCGTTTCCGTCCCACATTCCCAATCCTCCGCAACCCGATTAAACTCGCCACCAGACTGGCAATATTCATCGCAAAAAGGAACCAGAAAGCTGCCCGATAGCCCACCATCAATGCCTCGGGACTATCCTTGTTCTCTGATTGCGAGTACCTATCAGTAACACTATTCGCGATCAACGCCACCAACGCCAATCCAATGCTGCGACCGAATTGGGACACAGTATTGAACACGCCGGCAGCCAGACCCTGCGTCTCCGTAGGGAACATGCTAGCAATAACTATAGTCGAAACAGTGAAGAGGACATCAGCCGCAACGGGGTTGAGGCACATGGCAAAGAACGCACTGCGCCAATACGTCCACGCTGGGTCAATAAGCGCCATTAGTAGTGGTGAGAGCGATGAGAGAATAGTAGCCCAGTTGATCAGGGCATCTGCGCGCACTCGGTGCAATATCATACCAGTGACCAGGCTGGTGAGTACGCCCATGACAGTTACTGGAACAAAGCGCACAGAAGTACTGAATACCGAGAGTTGCTGCACGTCTTGAAAGAAGAAGTTGGCGATTTGTTCAAAGGCATTGAAGGCACCCCAGATCAGGAAGACGTTGGTGCAGATGCAGGTAAAGCCCGAGTCCTTCCACAAGGAGTTCTTGATTAGGGTGGGTCGGGATCGGTGCTCTTGTTGGCCTTGCCAGAGGACGAAGAAAATCATCAGGGCGCAGGACAGACAGAGGAATATAATCGTGCTTGACTCGTGGATCTTTGATACATCATCGGTGATGACACTAACACGGAGAGAAAAGCAAGTCAGTGATCTTTCAGCTCAACTTGAACCAGGTCTTATATACGTACGCTAAAGCATAGGAGAGAAGAGCCAGTGCGGCACTGGCAGTCAGGGCTCCAATCCAGTCAATTCCGAAGAAGAGATTACGCCATGAGATACCCTGTTGCTCGGAATTTCTACCGGGCAATTGCCATATTGATAGAAGGAGGACCGGAGTATTGGCGATCGCGGCGCTGTAAAAGCCCCAGCGCCAGCTCACAGTGTCCGCAAAAACGCCTCCCAGAAGGAGACCGACACCAAAGCCGATGGGTTGACCCGATCCCATCAGAGCAAAGGCAAGATTTCTGAGCTTTCCAGATGGGAAGTGTTCGGCAATGATACTCATGGCAGACGGCATACAAAGTGAAGCTGCTACACCAGACATGATTCTAAAGATTATGAGTTGAATTCCGCTTCGAGCAAGGCCACAGGCCATTGAGAAGGAACTTTGCAGAAAACACCCCGCGATCAGAGTTGCTTTGCTGCCTACCGCATCGGAGATGGCACCCGAAATGAGCAGTGTGCACCCTGTTCCTAGGGCGAACATCGACACTGGCCTAGTATTCCTGCGGGTCAGTTCTGTTCTATGCGACATTAAAATAAAGATTTATAACACACCATAATTCCACTCCGGGACTCAGGTGAAGATCTGAGGAAATCTGCGGAACAGACACGGTCACTAGCCCACCCAGATAAGAGCCAATGAAAGTTATACAGGAGATGCAGAATATCACCACGGGGGCGTTTGGAGGTCCTTGCCTCTGACTATTCGGCAGGAGAGCTTCATGCTCGGAAGGTCTTTGCTCCGAGATCAGTTGTTCTTCTCTGTTATTGTCCTCATTAGCTAGAGTGGGAAGCGTCTTCAGTGTCGGGGCTTGAGACATAGCATAAATCGCTCAAAAGTAATTATGAAGGGGGAAGAGATGTGAGTCTATTCACACGGCAGGCAGACAAGGAAAGGTGGACGAAAAAAAAGAAACTCGCAAGAATCGGCACTTGTTTTCTTGATGGCTACCCCACCAGTCCATAGGGCCGAGTGAGACCCTTTACCGCTCATGCGCGATTGACTCTTCCCGCTCCAGACTAAGTAGAACAGGGCAAGAAAGTCCGACCACCTGCAGTTGCTTGCGCGGTTTCGGGACTCGCAAGGCTGGACTATCGGCTTATCTTAGAAATTCTTCATGCTATTGGTGGGTGATGCCGAGCAACCTGGGACCGAGATGGATTGACCAGTTTTGCAAAAGGTACGGGATACGAAGAGGTCGGCTACAATATTTTTGTGCGCATCACATTCTGATTTTAAAATAGCAATGGTTGTCCTTATCTCGGCTAGTAATACCGGCTATCTACGCCGTTGTGAGTATTTATTTGGGCGACGAATTTATGCTGCAAACAGGCTTGTTAGGGCAGTTCAGCCAGGTCGAATTTGATCCTGATCCTGAAATAGTGGACCCCGACCCGAGCCAGGAACACGTAGGCCTCGGGCCTTGGGGATAGGCGCCAAAGATGCTGGGTAAAGGAACCGAAACCCCCCGTTTGAGCTAACCGGGAAGAACATGCTTATAAGAATGAACAAGCATGTTGGAAGCAGGAACATAGACAAAGAACAGAGGGGATGGACTTGCGGCTAGCTAGTCAGCCGGCTGGTCAGCTGCGACACCCGTTCATGCTTCTACATTTTGTGTGACTACGCTTTGTTTTGGCTTTTGTTCTATGTTTCCTCGATTACAGCTGCGGCGATGATTTTCCTACGTCGCAGCAGCGTTGCTTCATGGTATACGTGTGTTCACTACAGAATCTGAGAGATTTGAGACGTATCAGACTATATTATTTGCTTCGAACGGTGAAGCACCTGTGTAGCTAGCATCTTCCATAGCGGGGTTGATCAGGTATAAGAATAAGAATTGGTTCCAACTGAACAGGTATCCACCAAACCAGAAAGAACCAACCAAAAATCTTGTAAGAAGCATTTCAATCCTCCTCCGCATTCTCAACTACTTCGTAGATTCGATATTCCTCAGGAATATCTGCATAGGTCGCGTCAGAGTCAAAGTAGGCAAGAAGCGCATCCCGTATGTCTGTCGGTGTAGACTCGTTGATGCTAAACTCGTGTCCATCAAAGCCGATCATGTCAGGCTCGACTGAGGTGTTCGCTTTGTGTGCTATGGCCAGCTCCAGATCAGATAGCTGATTCGGCCTTTGGCAGGAACGACAATCGAACCAGGATGCCCCACGGGAATTAGGATAGTTAAGACATAGGCTAAGTCCATGACCGGAATCCCTGACGAGGCCACAATTTTGTCCTCGATGGTGGGTGCATATATACCCTATAGCGGTTGGTGGCAGGCCGGTAAATTTACTTGATGAGTAGGTACGTCCTGGCCTGTTATCGCAGCACGCATGCTCGGCGGCATTCCGACATGCTGCAATTCTACCCCTGATCACTCGGCAATTGCGTTCTTCGTAGTTGCGGATGATAACAGCAGGCGTCAAGGAACACAGAATGATTATAATAACCGCCAAGGAAGAAAGGGCGACCATACTGGAAAGTCTGATGATAGTGGAATGAAACACGTATTTGGGAAGTAGATGTTGAGAGTGATGATGTGCATTCAAGTTATTTATACTTTCTCCAGAAAGAGGACGCGGAACACTCGCCCCTGATATAGACCAGACACTGTGCTGGTACTAGCCTAAGTAGTACAATGTTGAGCATAGAGAATGATCCATCACACCTTTGTTGATATAACTGCTTGACGGAAGCACTACATCGATGGTGTCCGGATATCTAATCTGGTAGGTCCTATATCCGAATTAGGCAGAATAAAAGAGAAGCAGGGGTTGATTGAGACCTAATATTGCCAGTGAATACGGTTGCGTTGGTCACAGAGAACAGTGAAATACCCACATATCGCTACCAGGTACTGCATCGGCAAACCTGAAGTCCCGCCAGGCACCCCCTTTTCTTTTTTTGCCTACGGTTACCTTGTTCTCACTGCTGTATTCTCCATTGCACTACTAGGACCTCATAGCAACAGCCTAGGCCCATACGCGATCGGAAAAAACGCACTTGACACAAAATCGGACAGTTTCTGTCTACAACACAGCCCATGCAGGTAGGCCCCAAGTATCATTGATAGGTTGCCTCATACTACCCGAAGGGAGCCTCTGTTGTGCTACGCGCTCCAATGTTAATATGATAGGCTCGTAACCCCTTCCCTCATCAACGTTGCGCCACACATATCCTGGGAGGTAGCAACATCCACCCGTGCTCTGAATAGTACAAGCTGCGGAGACTGCCGAAAGGGTTACATCAAAGTTCGTCGAATCCCTGCAACAGTGCTGCCTAAAGAGTGTATCCAAGCTTATTTAATGACGATTTGACCCCTATCTTTGCACCCCGTCAAGGACTACGAATCCCTCCACCAAGACACCACACCCATACACCTGAACCTGCGAGATCACCGTCCCCTTCATGTAATCCTACCATATTATCCCTACTGTCAAACTCTAAGCGCAGTATATTACGGTTACTGACGTTTCACTAACACTTGATAGGCCCCAACTAATGACCATGGAGAAGCATCCTGAGACAACGCCAGAAAGCGACCGCAACGAGAAAGGTGTGGAGATGAAAGATGTGGAGATGAAAGAAGGAGGGACAGAGGAAGACCAGGGGGGTGAAAATGAATGGGTTGAGCGGTGTCACCACCCGGACGAGATGACCGTTGGCGGATATGCCTTCCACATCAAGCATGGGGTGCCCCAGGAGCACCGAGATGAATTATGGAAATTATGGGATATAGAAAACTTCACATACGAGGATATTCCGGAGCACCTGAAAGTCTATGAGTTTACTCCGGAGGAATATGAAGACTTAGAGAGAGAGGAGCCAGATTTTAGGCGTGGAACCGTTTTGGGCGCTGGCCAGGATGACGAGGACAAGGACGAGGACAAGGACGAGGATCAAGAATGCTTGCCAGGGAAGCCTTGAAGTGATATGACATGCTTTTGTATCCACCCGATATTTTTGGGGGTTGAAAGTCTGATTCTACAAGCTTAGTATCCGCCGTTACGCAAGGGTTACGGATGAAGTGTCAAAGAAAGAGTTTTTCAAACGGATCCTAACATGATGAGTTCCAGATAGAGGTTGAAATGGAAGCATGATACATTGCCACCAGCGACTTTGAGAGGTGCCAGCTTATTTTAATCCTAGGCAATACTGCATTAAGCTGTACAATCCTTTATTCAAGTAGAATTCTCTATTTGTACGAGGTTTCGTTGTGCCTCGTGGCTGACTTACCTTTAGAATCCTTCTTGTTTCACGAAGCGCCGGCCTGTAGAAGTAGACCGTCTCGTCCCATACTCGATATATTTCTATGCAGCTAGTCTTGTAGCTTAGATGATCGCAATTGTCCAAGATATATTACGTTTAAGCAACTATAAAAAATTATATTTCTACATAAATGTGATAGAAAGCGCTGAGGCCCTGGCCTATCAGGGCATGCTGTAGAAAATCCAGATGCCACCCTCCGTTGTATGAGGTCAATAAAATAGTCTCGGATTGCGGAGCACTATAAGAATCCTTCGGAAGATAGAACAAGCACATACGACCACAGGGTGTGGAAAACAGGGCTTCCCGTCCGCTCAGCCGTACTTAAGCCACACGCCGGGAGGTTAGTAGTTGGGTGGGTGACCACCAGCGAATCCCTTCTGTTGTATGTTTTTGCATTTTTGATTATGGATGATAGATACCTTTATTACTCTTTTGTAAAATGTGCTTCCTTCTTGAGGAGGACTCGTTCAGGGCTCAGAACGGCATTAGTGTTGGCTGGGTCATCGTATTGACCGAAACTGAACCAGTGTAAGCTGCCCTTCGGCTGCCAGAAAGCCGCATAGAACGATAAAGCTGGAACTGCTCATAGATCCAGGTTTCTGAGCGGCGGTGTGACAGCAATTTCAATGTCAGAGGCAATCAATCCATAGAGAATCCATAACTTAGTATCATGGAACGGTTTTCAATCTTGCTGAATACATTAATGGACTGATAGGTAGTTAGTATGCCGCATTGACCAGCCACGGAAGTGATCGACAGCATCCGCAGTCAAGTTGCGTGTGCCTGATTCCGGCTGTGACTTCCGATAGGCCCGCTGGTATAATACTGGAAGCACGCTGCATATGTCATCTGCGCCGGGAGACTAGCCTGCGGACGTCGGCTGTAATTCAAGTCGCTTCCCCGGCCATATATGCGTATCGGCTCCACCGAGTGCTACCGACTATTGCCGCTCAATCCCTGTCAACTTCCATGATTGGCCATCGCTATGACCACGTTGCGCTCGGGGGGCAGATCATTCCATTGTTCCAGAGGCGAAAAGTCGTAATGCTAGCAGTAGTGGAGGGGTTCGCTATGGTATCTGTGCTGTATTGGTTGGAGCGAAATGCCATTATTCCAAAGGCCAGCTCAAGTTCTGGAGTCTAGAATGGTACCCCCTTGGGTAAGAGACCAATATGTACAATAGTCTCTGTTTTTTGTGAAGCACAAGGCGGCTGTTGTGGCTATCTTCTCTGGAATACCAGAGGTGACGGTAGATCCTCATCATGTGCATCTTTACCTACAAATAACGGACCGGCTTTGACTAGCTCGACCCTACTTGACAGGGGTGCGTGCAGCCTTTAATGCCTCAGTTCTTTGTTCTTCCTGCAAGGCTTAGATTCACTGTCAGAAATTAGAGCAACTTTTAGTTTCCCCAACAGCCTTTGACAACCCCGCCCCCATTCACCCCACTAACAGACCGGTTCATGCCAACATTTAAAGCGATAGTCCAACCCTGGTGATTATCTCACTCACCACAGGTTACCCCCGCAGTTGACACACGGAAGCAAAATCACCCAACAAAATCAACATGCCTGCTGATACTGTTGACGTTCTCATTATTGGCGGCGGCCCCGCTGGGTTGACAGCTGCTCTCACTCTTGCGCGTCAATTGCACACAGCTGTCTTCTTCGATAACCAGTCCTACCGCAATGGCAATTCCCCCTTCGTGCACATGATCCCAACATGGGACCACAAAGATCCTGCTCAATTCCGTGAGCAGGCTCGCCAGGAGATCCTATCAAATTACTCCACTATTCGCTTGGAGAATACAAGCATCGAAAAGGCAGAAAAAGGAGATGACGGGCTTTTCAGAGTAACCGACGCGAATGGGCATTCTTGGCAAGGAAGAAAATTGATCCTTGCCACTGGATCCCAGGACATTTTCCCACCCATCCCCGGCTATGCTGAAGCCTGGGGAAAGCGCATGTAAGCTCGCCAGCACTCACCGTTCCCTCTCATTGCTCCAAAGCTTCAACTGACTCTGCCGTGTAGCTTCCACTGCCTCTTCTGCAAAGGCTACGAGGACCGCAACGCAAAACGGGCAGGCGTCCTCGCCATACAGTCTGCCGCAAATGTGCCGATGGCGATGCATCAAGCGGAAAATGCTGCGCAACTGGCCGAACAGGTTACCATCTATACCAATGGACAAGAGGCCCTTGAGTCCCAATTGGCTGCCACATTGGCCACTCAGGGCAGCAATACTGTGTTCAAGGTTGATAACCGTGAAATAACCGGTCTGGCACTCAGCGGGGATGATCTGAGTACTCCGGTCTCCATTCAGGTCCAGCTTGCCGATGGTAGCCAGGTCGAAGAGGCTTTTCTCGTGCATAATCCTAACACGCAGGTCAAGAGTACGTTTGCTACTCAGTTGGGTCTGGACCTGGCACCCAGCTTTGTCCCTGGTACGGGCGATATAGCTGCTGCAGCGCCTTTCCATCAGACCAGCATTCGGGGCGTGTTTGCTGCAGGTGACTGTATCACCCCGTATAAGGTGGTTGCGGGTGCCATTTCTAGTGGATGCAATGCGGCTGTTGCGGCTTCGGCACAATTGCTAGCAGAAAAGCATGGTCATCAGCCACTCTTTTGAATGTTTGTTTCGGGGCCGTTATAGGTAGTATTGAGAAGGTTATTTGTTTTGAGTATGAAGCCATTTCTGGAAGAAGAATATATATGAAGGTTATTCAAGAATAGTCCAGATAATAATATGTTGTGCGAAGGTGTGGTGCGTCCTTTTTGTATTTCGTTTTCTGTGTCATGCACGGTTGCCATACGATGTTGATGCTGCTCTACTGAAGTCGAGCAGCACAAGCTATCGATTGATTGTCGACATGCTATCATCTATCATACTGTTTCCTACCAGAAGCTGAGGTTCAGGATTCAGAAGGCTCTATGAGGAGATCAGGCACGCTGCGGTGACTTGGTTCTTATTTGCAGGGTCCACTATTGAGGTGGCCAAATAGATGGGCAATGAAATCGGCGGTGTACGTAAAGCTGCATTCATGAAATGATATTACTAGCGCGCTACTGCTGTCTAATCCTTTGACCATATTATACTTCGCCCATTTCATATGAGCATGGCACATTATCAGTTCCAAGTCATGTACATCAAAATAAACTTTTGGTATTATGATTACATAACCCCATATACTCTCTTAACAACGAAAGACTATCTTCATAAGAAAGCCCTCTAAGATAGATAAATCAATAGCAAGCATTGCTATTCATACCAGAAACATATCCTTGCGTCCATTTGGCAGCCACAACGTTCGCATCTCTCCATGCGACCCGAGAACTCTGCCAATCCAGCGTCTTACCCACCTCAACTTTCCGGAGTGTTTCTGTAGCGGCCGTGAGATCATCCGCAATGAAAAATAGCCTCGTACTGAGGATACTTTCTTGGCAGTTGGTGGTTATAAGTTCCGTTATCGTCTCAACATCCATCTCCACGCAAGGCGAGCAGAACATGTCGTCGACCGGGGGAATAGTGGCTGATTCGAGAGTCAAGGAATCGAGGTCGAAGAATAAGTAGGTGTCTAAGAGAATCAGGACCCGTGGAAGACTTTGGTCACTCGTGTATGCTTCGTTAAGAATATCAGAGAGCATCTGAAGGGTATTGTTAGCACGTAAGTGACTGTGTTGGAGACGGTTGAGTAAGTCTTACGTGTGGAGGGATGGATTCCTCCATGCAGACGACGCACACCAGTTGCTCGAGTGGATCAATCGGTGGTGGGATGATCGACATCCTTCTTTTCGTCTGGATAGTCAGACTGCGAGTCGGTTCTACAGGGACTGGTGTCACCTGGTTGGAAGCGGAGCCGTTTGGCTTCGTTAGAATGGGTAAGTTATTGGTAGACATCTTGTTGTTGTTAGGTTCATAATGCTGCATGAGGACCAGGTGTTGGTTCTTTAAACCTGATCATCTGCAGACGAGGGACAAAGGGGTCGGAATCTCCCAGTACATGGTGGTAGCGATTGAAGAAGTGGGATAAAGAAGACTACCTGCGAAAATGAGTCTGAGATTTTTTCTCCATCAAGACTCCCCCCGTCTTTCATGCGGGACTTGCCTTTGCGACAAGCAGAAAAGGCATGGATACCATTGACATGTTGGCGATTCTCGCAAGATGCCCCGTTGGCTACTTTGAGCTTTCCTGTTAGGTCCTCGCCATGACCCTAGGCTCAAAGGAGTCACCACGGATTCACAAGGAATAACACGGTCTCTTATTTATCACCATGAGAGATAAGAATAATGAGGACATGACAAGGCTTGAAGAAACAAAAGAGTTATTTGTGCATTGGGGGGCTTTTGCATAAATTGTCATGATTTCCATGAACTGTGTAGGCCTACCACAGAGCAAGTTCAATGGCTGATCGTGACAGGGTGTCACAGAAGAAGTCACACGAACACGCGGGGCAGAAAAGGTTCATCGGGATGAATCCGGTGCCATCGCTCGGTCACAATGGCTGCCCTATGATGAGAAAGCTTTTTCCATTCATATCATTTATTATAGGGAAGACCTGACAAGACAAGGAAGTTTCCTTTCCCAATCACGACGCCAGGATGAGGTGGTAGAACCAGATGTAGAGTTGATTGAATCCTGAAACCAATCGGTGTGCCATCACTTTAGTATACGCGGATTTGATGGTGTTGAAGGAGAGAGTTATTACTATCGATGGTGGGATTAGTGGTTTATGATTAATGGGATAGGGACGAGATTTTTTCTGTCTAGTAAAACGTTCTGACGCTTTGCAAGATTATCAATATTGTCTCAAGATAGCTAAACATGAATACCAGAGCATGGAAGTCTCACAAAAGATCGATAATATGCAAGTAGACACGGCGGAGAAATCATAACATGAGAATTTGCTGTATCCACTTCTCTCTTCCCTTCTCCCACCATCATTTGTCCCTTTCAATAGCCATATTACTATTCCAAAACCCCACAGAAACAAAAAAACAATCTCGGACACAAAGTTCAAACTGCTAATCAGATTCATCTGAATCCAGCCAAGCCATGCCCAACGATTCAATCGAGATAGGATCCCAAGCATAGAGCTCCCTAATATCCGGGTCGAGACGTGTATCCGGCTTAAAGTTGAGAGGAACGGAGAGCATCCACTGCTTCACAATGCCACAGTCGTTGTAATCATCGAAAATGTTCCGTTCGTTGAACCAGAACTGTTCCACTGCAAGCTCTTCATCCTCGGCTGCATTGCCCGTCGCCATCTTTTCCCGGTATAATCGCAAATGCGTGCCCATCGCTATGACACCATGTAGTGGTTGAAGACCCGGAAATTTCGCTCGCATGTTTTTGAAGGCGCGAAGCAGCGTTCCAATGTATTTTCTCTCAATTCCTTCCCAGCCTTTGCCCCAATAGTATGAGTTGTCGGGATGACCCCAGCCGAGCCAGAGAATAGTAGTTGGAGGAGTCGCCCAGTACTCCTCCGTTCCGGGAACATCGGAACGGGAATGCTTGAATTTTTTGAATTGCGCGCGAGTTAGGTTAAGTGTGACAGTAGTGACGCTAAAACCATCGGGTAGAACGTTATCAGATGGAGTGGGGGCTGTCATCGTGACTGCTTTCCCTTAGCGTGAGGGCACGTGCATTGGAAAGAAGGCTGGAGTGACGGCAGTGGGAGTCGAATTTATTGCCAAAGTTAAGCCGATGCACTTACATGCACTGACAGGGAGTGAAATGTGAAAGATGAATGGCTGCTCTATATATAGACATTGATTGGGTTATATGGTTCCCATCCAGTGACTGGACTGCCATGTTATTCTCAGTTTTGTAGTGAAGTATGACTTGCTTTTCATAGCAGTGTTGATTGCAATCTATATTTCCAGCCTTAATACTTGGAACTTTCCATATAAGCAATCAGTCTATCAGTCACTGTGATCTTTATCCAAGACAGTTACCTCTTGCATTCTTTGTTTAATAGCCTTGGTTGCTACAGTCATAGCTTTCATTGAATGGGACTTTCCACTAGGTAATGAAGATTCCCGCCTGTTTATGCCATAATGCTAAACCGAAAGATATCTGGGAAACCTAGTAGTCAGTCAGCCTGAGTTAATATAGTGCCCATTCAAAGCCTTAAGGACATATAATGAGGATTTATTCGACCACACTCTGTGCGGTAAGTGGTAATCGCCTACGCAGGCATTGACACATGCGTCATACAGAATTACTGTCCATTCTACTAGAAACCGTCCGATGCCCATCCGAATGCTACTCGCTTTCACCTGCTTTTTGAATGGGCCTTTGTCCGCCTTAACAATGGCCTTTATTTCCCTTGCCACATTCCTTTTATTCATACATTGTTCCTGTGTTATTTTCATTCACAAGTACCATGTACGTGAATCACTTGTACAAATAGGCAGACCAGGATAAGGCAGTTCTGGAATACATCAATGGCGAATATTCACGGCAATACACAAGTAGTCCTGTCGATGGGCAGCGCGGCGTTGGCGGATGCTGGTGCAGCGCTGCCGCTTATTGGTCCTTTGGTCTCTGTTTGGTACAATGAGGAGAGCAGAACTTGACTCCTGTAATTTGGTATGGCCAAGGAAGACCCCTAATTAGCCTTGCTGCATGCCAGTATTTGGCCACATGTTTGTACCCATACAATATGAGTAGCTCTACTCATTTCTACAGAAATAGAAACATTCACTATTTCCCTCACGGGGCTTGTTGATGCGCCATTTCTCCATCCTTCTCCTTCTCCTCCATACTAAACTTGGTATCCAACTCCTTCCGCAACGGAATTTCCTTTTCAACAATAACCAGCAAAAACGCCAGTCCCGCAAAAGCCATTGAAACATACCACACCATCTTAATAGCATCCACATAAACGCTCACCACCTGCGCCCGCGTCACCGCATCTTTAATTGAATTCATAAACGCCTTCGTAGCAGCCTCATATGCCTTCCCATCCCTCAACTGCTCCGCAACACTCGAGTCGCCAACTCTCCCCAACAACGCATTCACTCGATTGTTAAACGCCGCCGTCGGAATTGTCGCACCCCAAATAAGCCCGAAACTGCGAATGAACGCCCACGTCGAAGTAGAGAGCGCCGTATCCGCTTCCGTGAGCGACGCCTGCACAGCAGGAAGAAGGACAGGGAGAGCGAGACCCGTCCCCACCGCGCTGGGGATTTGGTATCCGACCCACTGGCCCGTGCTCGCGTGAGCGTTCAGTAGAGTCAATAACCCGAAACCAATAATCATGAAGGCGAAGCCAGCATGTTGGATGGGACGGTAGCGGCCCAGCTTGGAGAGTAAGCCGCCGGCGATGATAGCAGCGGGGATCATGAACAGGATCGTAGGGAGGAGTTGGACGCCCGAGCGGCTGGGGGACGCGGCGAGGACAGCCTGGAAGTAGACAGGGAGAAAGTACATGACTGCGATAGCAGAGAGGCTGTGCAAGAAGGTGAGGCCGAAGGCCGTGGCGGAGGTGCGGTTAGCGAACAGGTGCAGCGGCATGGTAGGGTTGAGGCAGTACTTCGGGGAAGCTTCATAGAGTAAAAAGAGGGCGAAGCCAGCGAACCCGAGGACTAGAGGGACGATGACGCGGAAGGATGACCAGGGGTATTGGCTGCCGCCCCAGGAAAGGGCGATCAGGACAGAGACCATGGAGAGGACGAAGAGGGTGTTTCCCAGCCAGTCGATGCGTTTCAGGCGCTGCAGGTAGTCGGGGGTGCGATCGGACTTTACGTGGAGGAAAAGGAATAATGTGACCATGGCGGCTCCGCCGATGGGGACGTTGAGGTAGAAGACCCAGCGCCAGGTGGTGTACTGGACGATGAGGCCGCCGAAGAGAGGGCCGAGGGTGGTGCCGATAGCGATGAGACCAAACATGAGGCCTAGGTAGCGGCCTCGTTCGCGGAGGGGGAGCAAATCACAGACGATGATCTCGATGAGTACGTTTATGCCGCCTGCGCCGATGCCTTGGATTAGTCGCCCAGCGATTAGCATGTCGATGTTGCTGGCGCCGCCGGAGAGGCCACTGCCTAGAGTGAAGGTCGCGGTGCTGATGATCATGGGCCATCGGCGACCGTAAATATCGGCGATCTGACCGAATAATGGCTGGAATGCTGTCCTGTAACAATCTTACGTTAGACGAGACACGGTGTGTGTAGTGAGATGTCCGTACTGAGTAAGATAGAATCCATTGACCACCCATACATAAAGACTGGCACCTCCCAGGTCTTCTGTAATGGTTGGCAGAGCAGTGGAGGTGATGGTCGCCTCCAACGAAGTTAAGAGCCCAGAGAGCGCGAGTGCCGCGATGATCGCAAAGAAACGAACGGACTTTTTCGTGGTCGCTGGCTGGGTCCCATTGTCACCGTATCTATTGCTCCGCTTTTTGGCGACTGTCTCCCTAGAGGAGACTTCCCCTGTTGCATGGGGTATGTTGTCTTGCTCTAGCCCAGCGGCGAAGCTTCTTGTGTATATTGCATGGGCGCTGGTGGAGGTGTCGTTCTGCGAAGTCTTGGCAGCCATTGTTTATGAGAGCCAATTATGAGAGCCAAGTCGTGGAAGATATCATGGGCATAAACAGAGACTTTAATTTAGTTGACAGAGCTGTCTGATGGTTACTTGTATAGGTTTGAGATATGGCATGGCTAAAAGCATTCGAGGCATGCGCCTAAAGTAAGCTACGTATAACGCTGCAGGAACCGCATCCTAGGCAACTCGATCAGTCTAGAGCCCTTCAATAAAATCCCAAACAGAATACATAGTCGGCGAAGGCAGTGTTCGAAAAGAGATAATAAGAGTGGAGATGGAACGGATCGTTGGCAAATCGCCCGGGTAATTTGCAATCTACAGATCCGGCGGGTCAGAAACAATGGGGCAACGGATGATGACAGGATCCGGGAGAAATGAAAAGGATGAGGGCGGAGTCGCCCAGATCCGAGCCGAGCAAGAACGGATGATGGATGATCTGTTGGATCGAAGTCAGAAAGCATATGAAGACTACGACGAAACCAACAATTCGACTGGCAAAGACCGCGATTTTCAACCTCCTCCAGCATCCATTTCAAACTGCGTGTCTGGATACTGGACTTTAAAGTTCCACCGGTGGTCCGTCGCAGGCGAAACGTGCTCCAACTGATGTCCAATGTCCTGAATCCTTGACCTTTCACCTGCTCACCACTCCCTATCGAACACATCCGTAGACAGGATGTAATATTCCACGCCCAAACATGGCCGTTTCAGGAGCCCGCCAGCAATTGAGAATGTTGGAACAGGTGGCCCGAGACATAGTACTGCACTTTCGATTCATCCGAAACGCCAGGACCCAGTACATGATGGAACACGGACCCGCTCAGGCGAGGATGACCTTCCAGACATCACATAGCTGTAGCCATCCCTGTGTATCCCAAAGCCGCCTAGACCCTCCTCGACTACTAGACAGAATCCGGGTACCATTAGACAGAGTAACGTTTGATTCAACCGCTGCCTCTCCTATGGGCGGCCCGTAGTATAGCCCCGGAGCCAGCTCAGTGGCATTGTGCTGCCCACTCTTTGCAGTCAAGTTACGCCGCAGGTAGACTGGACAAGATTATTGAAGGAAATAAAGGTATGAGGAGGAGCGTGTGTTGGAAGAAAAGATGGTATCTACCCATTGTACACATAGAAAAAGTCGAAGGCATGCTTTGGGTGCTGGTACAGCTGCCCACCAAATCTGGGGGGCTTTACCGCCCTGCAGACCGCTCCAGGCGGCAGAAATTAGCGAACCTCGTCGCAAAACCCCCGGATTTACGCGGAGATAAGAAAAAACAGTTTGCAAGAAAACCAGCTGGGAATCTGTTGGTTTTGGCGGTGATGGAGAGCAGTATACTGGGGAGTGTTATTGCAGCCTCAGGCCTCAAGGCAGGATTTGCGCTCATCCACCTCTCCAGGAAAGAACCCCCCCCAACTTAACTGCAGAGAGTGGGAATCCAGCTTGTATAAAACTCTTCACTTCATTTTCCCTTTACGGGGGAGCTGGAGTGTTTCAGTGTCTCTGCCCCGACGTTGCCTCAAGTCCCCGACCGAGTCCGGCCGCAGATTGCGAGTTGACTCACCCCGCCGCGCGGAGTGAGATATCGCGTATATCGCTCTCCACCCCCTGCCGCTTTTTGAATCGTTATTCCCACGAATCATTACATGCTGCTGTGTGCATTTTATTGTTCCTGATCTTTCGATCCTCATCTATCGGCAGGAATCAGCTTCTCATCCGGAAACATACCGTATTTAATGGTCAAGTCAGACCTCCATGAGCCACCGTTCAGCTACTCCTCTCACCCGTGGGAGGAAGATGCGGCCCCAAACTACACTGGGCCGGGCGAACATGGGCCCATGGAGCTTGATCCATCGCCAGAAGTTGTATCCTTTGATCTTTTAGGTCTCGAGTATCCAGTCGACGAACGATTCGATGGCAACCAACATACGCCCCATTCACATTGTGCTACAGAGGCTTATGACTCCTTCGGGCAACTAGGTCTAGATTCGTCCGACCTTCGAAATGATCCATTGCAAGATTATGTCAGTGCAGATTGCATTTTGCATGAGTCCAGATATGATGGCAGCTGCCCTGAAGCATGGAGCTTGACGTCTCTAGGTACAGGAGCTTCCATAGGTGAAAGGACCGTTGAAACTTCATCAGCGCCTGTATCCGGTGGCGAATCCGAACAAGGAGTGCGCAAGCGCAATCCTCATTATTATCCCAGAGAGACAGTTCGCATTCTGAGAGGATGGCTTGACCAACGCCAGGAGCGTCCCTATGCCACTAAAGAAGAGCGAGAGGAGCTTCTGCAACGCACAGGATTGACGCGAACTCAGTTGCGCAACTGGCTTGCAAACACCAGACGCCGGGAAAAGGCCCGTTTAGCAACGCAACAACAGGACAAGTTGTTACCATCAAGTGCTATTGACATCCCGCATCAATCTGTGTCACAAATGACACCCTTCGAGCGCTGGAAATATTCCCCGCCTGAACATGAGCCTGCTGCACCGAGCGACATAGCTCAGGCTCTGGCGAGCCTTCCTCCCGAAGCTTACCCCGAACTACCGTTTGGTTCGTTAGACTCCACATCACATTCATTAGCCTCTGGAGTCAGCCAAGATTCTCAATCTGGGCATTGGGACATTTTTCCAACACCATCGGTTGGCAGCCGCGACACTAGTAGATCTTCCAGCTCTAGTATATCCATTGCTTCTGCCTTCTCCCAGCGTTCACTACCACGCTCTAGTTTGCAAGGTCACATCAACTACCGCCGTCATCGCCGCCGCCGCCAGCAGCGAACCAAGGCACCAGCGCTTGCGAACAATCTAGCTGCACGTCACGCTCAAGACCATCGTCGCTTCCAATGTACCTTTTGTACCGATACGTTCAAGACTAAATATGATTGGCAGCGGCATGAAAAGTCCTTGCATTTATCCCTGGAGGAGTGGACCTGCTCGCCCTTTGGTGGTATTGTTTCTTTAGATGGTCACAATGTGTGCGCCTTGTGTCTAGCCATTAACCCAGACGAGAAGCACCTAGAGTTACACGACTATGCTCCATGTCAAGAGAAGAGCCTACGGGAGAGGACTTTCTCCCGAAAGGATCATCTCCACCAGCACCTACGGCTAGTCCACAACGCCAAGTTTGGATCGTGGATGGAGAGTTGGAAGACTAGCATCGATGAGATACGATCAAGATGTGGTTTCTGCGACACGAACTTCAGCACTTGGAAAGAGCGGGTAGAACACCTTGCGACACATTTCAAGGCAGGAATGGACATGCGCCAGTGGCAAGGAGGTTGGGGATTCGAGACGGTCGTGCAGGGACTGGTGGAAAATGCTATGCCACCATATCTGATCGGTCAGGAGCGATTGACAACAAATCCATTTAGTGCCAAATCCGCCAGGGCGCTTGAGACCAGCCTTGAGGCTGATAGCCCCGCTGTTTCAGGGAAAGAATTTGTCGAAGACGTCAACCATTGGCTTGTTCTGGAGCGAGAGCTGGCAGATTATATCAAATGCCAACTGGAGATTGGTGTTGTCCCTTCCGATGCCACATTGCAGTATCTTGCTCGCATGATCGTCTATTCCTGTGATGATCCGTGGAATCAGACCTGTGCAGATAATCTTGTTTGGCTGGGCAACTTGAAGCGAGAGGCTGGAGTTGAAGAATATCTGTCGCGACAGTCGAACATGCAAATTAGCGGCGCAAGTGGCAGTCGTAATTAACATCTTCAACAGGACGTTTTTGATAAGGATCATTTATATGGGCTATCATTGTACTGGCGTTTCGATCCACTGCCTTTATAGAGCATTGAAGCGATTTCATGTTCTATACTCGGTTTATTCAATATTTAATGATTAATAATATTCGGACTACTCTACTTCTCAACAACTATCTACCTCTTATGTTGTTTGAAAGTATTGGAACATTAAGTACGACACAAGCGTGAAAATGAACCTGCGGACTACCCAGATCAATCCAGAATAAGTATACATCTAAGACTTTTTGGTTTGTCAGAAAAATGTGGAGAGAAAATTCTTCCTCAGTTACGCCGCTCTCTATTTGCTGCCGCAGCGCCCCCTGAAGCACTCCTAAATGAACGTATATACTAGTTAACATGTGATGTCAAATCCAATTTATGCCAAACGCATGGCGTGTATTGTCCCCAGAGTACCATGACTACGCCAACAACATTGAAGCTTTCGACAGAAAACTTAATACATATTCTGCGTGGGAAATCCAAAAATATATAATAGGTTCTGAGTCAGGATGCAGATTAACTCGCGAGGACCGCAATCCTTCAAGCACCATTGATCAAGTACCAGCTGATAAGCGAAGTCTTAACTCCAATCCTTCTCTCACCGGCCTTTGGCAACAATTGTTGGTTCGGTCACCTCCGTGCCAAAGTTATCGGCCGCCATTGGGAGATCCGTTGGAGTTCCTGACGGGTGGAGGCCGCTAAGCAATCTAGGGTCTCGGATGGAATGCCCTGACGGGTGAAGATCGGCAGACCCTGGAACCTGTGGCTGCCGCGACTGGAAGAACGTGCCAGGAACGATAGTATCTTATCGGCTGCTCCGGATGCAATGTAACCTCGGAGTTGGGAGTCCTGCCGTCTGCCGTGTTGGCTGTCCACTCATGACCTTAGAGATAGGAGGCCTCCGACTAGATGACCCTGCAAGAAGAGCGGAAATGGAGGGATAAATAGGTCCTCTTGGCCCGGGGTGTTGGGATTTCGGACCCATCCGCTCTACATCCATCAATCCCCTCTGTAAATAGGTCGAGGCGATAGACAAAATACACACAGTCACCATGGTTCAGTTCAAGGTACGGACCGATGATCACCGCCGGCGGGAGATTATGGAGCTAAACTAGGAATCTCAATCAGACCATTATCGCCCTTCTCCCCCTCTTTCTTTCCACCTCGCTCGCTTCTCCCTCCGCAAGGAACAACCTTGAGAGCCGTGAAAGCTGCGAGTATACCTGCGGAAGCACCTGCTACTGGGCCAGCGATGTTAGCGCAGCCCAGGCCAAGGGATACTCGCTTTACCAGTCTGGGGACACTATCGACGACTACCCGCACGAGTACCATGACTATGAGGGCTTCGATTTCCCTGTTAGCGGCACCTACTACGAATACCCTATCATGAGCGATTTTGATGTTTACGATGGAGGCTCCCCTGGAGCGGATCGTGTGATTTTTAACGGAGACGATGAATTGGCGGGTGTGATTACGCATACGGGCGCAAGTGGTGATGACTTTGTGGCTTGCTCTTCTTAGGGGGTGGGTGCGATGTAGATAGAGTGGTATCTCATGAAATGTTATGTGAATGTGAGCGACAAAGATTTCTATAGTGTAGAGGGTGGAGATGCAATTTCATCATCAGGGAGTAGACTTAGAGTGGGTATAGTAGTTTATTAGACAGATGGGGACGACTAATTTGCGGTCGCATTACTTTCGTTGACCTAGGCGATTGGGTGAACTACATAGTGGACAGTCTTTTGCACAATAACGCGCCTGTTATGTTGATATTCAATGTTATCACTGGAGAGGGGACACTACTACTGTCTAGATGGCGTCAGCCTCACTGGAATTTGCGCATCCTCCTTCAGCCCCTCCCAGCGGCTCTTATACACACGACCCTCCTTCATCACTCCAAGAACACATTCCTCCGGACGGTCGAAAATAGTGACATCCTCGAGCGGATTCTTATTCAGAAAAAGTATGTCCGCCAGAAATCCCTCTTTGATTTGTCCAATCCGCTCCTCCTGGCCCATCATCTTCGCAGGGTTGATGGTCGCGCTCTGCAGGACGGCCAACGGACTGAGAACCTGCGCTCTGAGCGCAAACTCCCCCGTCTGCGCTATTCCTAGAGGACCAAGAAGGTCGCTTCCGTAGCAGAGGGTGACTCCCGCATCCGACGCGATTTTCAAGCTCTGCATGCCAGCACTCAGAACCTCCGTATTCTTCGCCTGTCCGTCGGCGGGAAGATACCCCCTCCAGCGTTCAGAATCCATTTGGGCGTATGAGATAAGTGTTGGAGTCAAGTAGATACCCCGCTCAGCCATGATCTTAGCGACTTCCTCGGTAATAAAATTGCCATGTTCGATTCCCTTCACGCCATTGTTGATACAATGCATAATCGCCTTCGGCGTGTAGGCATGTGCAGTAACATAAGTACCCGCATTTTCAGCACATTCCACCATAGCCTGGATCTCGGCTTTAGTAAACTGCAATTGGTCCAACCGATCTGTCGGGGTCGAGACACCGCCGGAGCCCATGATCTTGATGAAATCAGCGCCCGAGCGAATCTCCTCGCGGACGGCTGTCATGCATTCAGGCACCCCATTGCAAATGCGCCCGAGGCCGTTGGTATGTCCTCCACAGCATTGTACGTGGTCGTGCGCGGCGCGAATATCTCCGTGGCCTCCTGCCTGCGACAGGGCGTGACCGGCAATGAATAATCTTGGTCCGGCGAACACGCCGTCTTCAATTGCTTGTTTCAAGGCTAGCTGAGCACCTCCGCAGTCGCGTACACTCGTGAACCCGCGATGGAGCATTTGGGCGGCGACGTACGGCTGTCGCAGGAGGGATACATCGTTGAAATTCCCAAATGCCATGGAGAGATCTCTGAAGCCGGGAACGGCGACAAAGTGCACGTGGGCGTCGAATAGGCCAGGGCAAATGTACATGCCATTACAATTCACAGTTTCATATTTTGGGGGGGTTGGATTTGGCCGAGATGCTGTGACTGAGTGGATCTTCCCATTGTGGACGAGCACATACTGGTTTTCCTTTATTGTACCGTTCACAACGTCAACAACATTGGCGTGGGTAATAATGTATGATGTAGGGTCTGCGCGGAGCCATGGTTTAATATCTGACGTGGAAGCCATGTTGAGATTGGAGGAAACGAGGATTTGAATTGAGGAGAGGAAAGAGGGAGGACTGGAAATATGCAAGGAGGGGAAGCACTGGATGATAATGAGGGGTCGGCAATCGCGGCCGAAGATCGGCGATCAAGATACCAGATAAGCAGATACTGCATCCTCATCAATGCTGCTGAAGAGCCTCGGCAAATGTGCACAACACAGCATCTTGCTATGTTGGGTTCTATGGAACGAATCTTGTTCCATTCCAAGTTCATCTACTCTCTAAACCACCTATTTTAAGGCACCTTTCTGGTTGAGGGTTGTGGCAATATCGGGCCACCGACGTCCAGAGACAATAACATAAACTTGTTAGAACCGCAGCAGACTAGAGATAATAAACGCCAAAAGATAAGAAGACGCAAAAAAGGAGCAGGAACCTAGGAAAAAGCTTCCACCCATTCGCGTACCCACTTCCGGACCCATCCATCTTGAACAACTGGAATGCTTCTTAGTACAGCACTGGATTTGACAGTCTTCTCTGTCGCCGGTAACCCATGTATCGCATCGGTAGCAAGCACGTTCCGATAGAATTTCAGCATACGCATGGCAGAACACACACCAGAAAGCTTCTGCGGCCAAGATGGCGGGCTCGGTGCTCCACCCTTACCGTCTAGGTTTGGGTTGAGTACGTGGTCCGAGCTTGAATTTTGAGAGTCATGTTCAATCTGAATTCGCTGTAGCCATTGCTGAAGTGTGACGGATCTGAGTCTCCGCGTAGTGATGTGCTGTTTCTCGTCGATAATGATATCGTGAACGGCGCGCCTGTTTATAGGATGAAGATTAAGGGGGTGAAAGACATGGAGTGAGGGATTTTCAATCCCAACTGCTTCCCTATCAGCATCGTGGATGGTAGACATTGCGAGGTCAACGAGGGCGCGGGAAAGCAGGTCCGTTGGGATCCAATTAACATGACTGCATCGCTGTCCGAGAGTCAGGAAGGGTGCCCATCTGTATTGATGCGGCAATCAGGCCTGATAACCAGTCGTTTTGGCTCCACACGGATGGACTTTCAACTGCACCTGGAGTATATGTAAGGCGAGCAATAGATATATGCAGGCCAAGGCGGCAATCTAAACTGGTCTTGTTGTGCTCAAGTAGTAACGATGATATCATATGGAGGCGTTATGTAACGCCATGCCATTATATGATGCTATTGACACTGTGCTTCTCCGAAACAGAAAATACTTCCACGCGACCGGAAGCGTACCAACCAGCAATATATATGAACTGAGGAGAACAACATTACTGCCTGTAGGCAGGGAACTTCCTCATGGCTTACCACGGCACCTCTGCCCCATCATATTGGTTTAAACCCTCTGCCTTCTCCCATCCTGGAACGCGAATATTGAAGAACTTCCCGTTATCTGCTTGTGTTGCCGGAAGTATAATATCCAATAGACCTTGCACACTCTGTTCGGCTGTTATATCCGCCCTGTCACCCCCAAGGTCTGTCTTCACCCACTTCCGAAGCGGTTAGCTTCATGAACGCGTCAAGAAACACTGATAGAAAACGTACACCTGGTGAGATTGCAAGAAATGTGAAGCCTTGATCCGCAAAAGACTGCGCATATTGCACAGTAAGCATATTGAGTGCCGCTTTGCTAACTTTGTAAGCTGGCACTGGAAACAGTGCGAATCGGGGTGCCATCGTGATCGAGCCAAGTGTTGTTGATCTGAATTGCGTCAGAACCATAATAAGCCATGTCTGGCCAAACAGATAAATACACACATGTTGATCACTTTCTTCTGGTTTCCGTTCTTGAGGAGTGGTAAGAAGGCACTTGTCACCATATGGGCACTGCTAACGTTGGTATGGAAGACGGTGTCCAGGTTATCCCTACCAAGCGTTAATGGTGCATTTGATAAAAGCATGACAATCACAGCTCACATATTTTCAATACCACCCCGGGTAGAGGGCATTATCCCCGCATTGTTGATTAGGACGTCGAGGCCCTTCCCCGACAACGCGTGTTCAACGGTCGCAACTGCCGTCTGTATACTATTTTTGCTTTCAACATCCATAGGAACAGGATGGATGCGTCCAAAAGACTGCGCAACTAGTCGGTTTAGATCATCGGTTTGGGTGCGTGCCGCGGCAAAGATGACAGAGACTTCGTTGGCGGGTTTGGAAGCCAGTGTACGAGCCATGGCGAGACCAATGCCACGCGAAGCACCTGTGATCAAATAGGATGCCATGGTGAAGGAAATATATAAACAACTAGATTCAACACAAGCCCTGTTGCCCCTTTCTGATTTTCTGTCTCTTCGTCAAGTGCCGGATGGTCGACTATAAATATTGACGGTGGAGACCCGTATACGAAGGTACCCACCGTGAATTGCTTTGAAATCAATGCCAATAGAAAGTAATCGTCGAGGCTATTCGACGAGAAAACGTATAGTTGTATTCTACGAGAAGGGGAAAGATCGATGCTGTAGAATCCTTCGTTAACGTCATTGGGGGCCGTTCGATTTGGTGAGAACCTCGGATTTGTCAGATCGGCTTCTTACAAATCATCCTTGCAGTTCATCAGCCCATATTCGCACAGTCGACGAGATTGCAGCTTTATTATGACATATTGACTATATGTTATCCATTATATCTCGTCCGTGTCTGCTTCGGACACAATCCGAGTCTATTTGCATGGCGCGGCTCAGGCCGTGATCGGCTCCGACCGTGAAGTTTTTCTCAACTCTTTCCAAAAATAACATTCTACCCAAGAAATCTCTTTCGATGCATCCCGTCATGAAGGGCTTTGGCTTGTCTGAAAATGTCCGGTTGCTGCAATACCTGACAGCTGAATCTTGTTAACAAATTACAACAATGTGTGTGTGTGTGTGTGTGTGTGTGTATTAAATTTCGATGTTGTGGCTCTGGCACAAGCAGTCACACATCTTTGGATTGCTACAAGATAGTGATACCTTCCATCACAGATAGTCATCTTCATCATCACTCAGGTCTCCTCCCTTCTGCGTCAGTCGGTCGAACAGATCCAGGACTACCGCAGCCCGAAGCCCCCGTTCTTTCTCTTGTCGAAGCATGCTCTGACCATCGGCATGCAGAGCATCGACCACCTGCTTCCGACGCTTATTACGCAGCGCATGCTGTATAGTCCGTTTTACCCCCTGCCCGGGATAAGCAACGAGACCCAAAGAGCCTACGTCCCATGTGTTAGCAAGCGATCACACAGTTTCCCTACCCCGTATTTCAGGATCAAGGGATGCAAGATCTCACATACCATGAGCTACCTTGCCAACCGCCCCGAATGTCCCTTTCAGAAACCCGGTCGCAAACCCCTTCGCTCCGTTATCTCTCGCGCCCTTGTACGGTTGGTAAAAAATATCCGTCATGCCCTCGCCAATCCCCAAAGCAAAGGACTTTGCTCCAGCCACTGTTCCAGATTTCCAGTCCTTAACTTGGCCGTAATCGTGAACCTTGTCTCCATACAGACCGGGTAGAACGCGAAACCCCTCCGCAGCAGCTAGTGGGATATCGACGATTGCGCCGGACACGTACTTCGTTAGAAGCTTGCCAGAGGCTTTCGCAGATGCTGAGGCCATGGCAGCTGCTTTGTTTTTCTTCTCGGTTTCGGGAGCTTCCGGCGTTAGTGTCATGTCGGTCATGGATTGGGATTTATGTATGTGTTGCTGTGCAGATGGGGACTGTAAGAACTGTGTATTTTCGGCGCTTATGCTTGAGCGAGGGGTCGTGGAGGATGTCGATTGTCGTGGGGTGTGGCTAGTATCCGGTGCGTCCTTCTGCTTTAGTACCTTGTACGGCTTGTAGACGATGTCTCCTGATGCCTTGAGCATGTCTACCGTCCATCCCATTCCGGCTGACGAGATCCCAGTAATAGGGTCCCATCTTTCGTTCTCAATGTGGATTGGTCGGGGTTGGTATCTATGCCGAGGGTTAGCCAACACTGAGAAACCACGTCGGGGGAACGAAGATCTGACGGTTGTAGCTTATCTTTGGAAATTCTCAGATGATCCAACAAAATCTCTACCGCGACTTTAGACAGGTAAATTTTCTTCTTCTGTTTCCTTATAACCCATGATGCTGGAAACCCAGGGATAATTTCACAGGTCTTCAGATCCTTGGGAAGATTCTTATGGAACGATGCAACAGCAGTCTGCACTCCCGATTCATGTTGCATCCTAGTCGCAATGCGATGCGCGGCTTGCATGGCATCAGTGCTTAGGCAAAATTGGATACCATGGGTGAGTTTCTGTGCGTCAAGTAGTTGGTGTGGTACTGGGTCGGGGCCTGCGCCGTTGGCAGCTACCATCTGGCCCCAAAAGGGTTGGCTAGTGAGCAAAGGAAGAATGCCATGTCAGATGAATCTTCGAATTTAGACAAAGGGCAACCAGTGGGTCTCAATTGGACTTACTCGCCAAAGAAAGGTACAATAAACGTGGGCTTGCCATAGCGCAGCCCGCAGGCCGTGGTCCCGGCTCCGCCATGGTGGATCACGGCACTTACACGCTGGAACAGCCATTCAAGGGGGCAATCGTCCAGGTACATGATATTATCACTCTCAATGCCACCAAGCGTGCTCCAGCCTCGAGAAATCAATGCTCGAACTCCCGTTTGCTCGATAGCCTCAACGAGTGTGCGTGTCATCTTTTCCGGGTCATCAAGGACAATGCTCCCGAAGCCGATATAGATCGGGGGTGCTCCGGCATTGAGAAAGTTTTCGAGCGCTTGATCAGGCTTGAAGTCAGGTGGATCGCGGAAGAAAAAACCACAAACATCTAATCTCAAGCAAGCCTCTTATTAGTATTGGATCCAGACGCATACAGACACAGGAAGGAAATAGAACGAGGATACCAAAATTGGCAGGCCAGTCACTTGGTTTCGGTACCAGCGCTGGAGACCAACAGTACGTATACGGCACCTTCAGAGTTCGTAGAAGGAAAGGCCCTTCTGACATTGGGATAGGCTCCAAGTCCAAGTCCTGTTTACGCCATTGGTTAATGACGTCTCCTAGCCTGGAAGTATCAGAGAACAACAATTAGTTGAGCTGATCTGCAGAAGAATGGTAAAGAACCAGTGAGACGGCCTTACCCCTGCCACGATAGCCAATCTACAACACCATAAGAAACATTATTGACCCAATCTTGATTCGCCGCTGCGTTCTTCAAATTTGCCAACGGGTGCGGGAAGGCGCGCGTAGCACTCCAAGGCATCGTAAACATCAAGTGTACCGGGATACCCAGAGCTTGCGCACAGTGAACATGGGCAAAGCTGGGTGGATTGGCGATAATAGCATCGGCAACGAATGGAACCTGAGTAGTCGGGTCGCTTGCAATACATGAGTGCCAGCAGCCGTGCAGAACCTCTGCCATCATGTACTGCTTCTTCGAAATTTCACCTTCACGGAGACTGCTCATCCGCGGGATCAGACCAGGGTTCTTGACCATGTAAGCCATCAGCTGGCTGGGATCGCCGCCGATGGGGTAGAACTCCAGTCCGGACTCCTGCACGAAGTTTTGGAACACACCATGCGTGGCGATCCGCACGCGGTGGCCGCATTGCTGCAGGGCTGTTCCGAGGGCGATGAATGGTTGCACGTCTCCCCGGCTGCCGACAATCTGAATGACGATGTTTAGGCGATGTTTGGGCTTGATATCTTCCCAATACCCGGGAGGTGGGGGTGGTTGTAGATCATTCGCTTCCGGTACATGCGGGAAGAGTCGGGAGATGGTTTTGCATAGTCGAGAAGTGACGTCTACCACAACGCGCCCGTCATCTACAAGATGTTAGTCGGCGTGAGTTGATGTAAAGTCTCGTAAGGGACATTCTGCGGAGCCAGAGGATGGGGTAAGGAAGGGGTTCTGCGTATCGCACATACCTTTGACGTGGGTATCTTGTGCTTCCCATGGGTTCACTGCTGGTTCCTCGTAGGGCGGAGGCGGGTCATGAAGTTCCATTGCTAGCGATTCTACCTGATGTTAGGTGTAAGATATAAATTGGGCTGATGGAGGGTCTAGGAACAGCCGGCGTCGGTCTTCTGCCCAGCTTCTTATTGTATTTTTAGCCCAATGGTAGGGCTGGACCCACCCTGTGGGGGTTCACACGAATACGCGTATAGCCAGGTATAAGATCGCCTGGTTCTCCACCGAGTGAACGTTAACGGAGAATGGGTGGTTCAACAAAAAGAGTGTTTTAAGAGGGCGGGTCCGATTGACGAAGATTTATGCGACGCCATAGGTCACATGAGACTTGAGAGCTTAATGACGATTTTACTTTACAGGGGGAATCCGGAGGCCCAGTTTATTGAGCGCGAAGTGGGGTGCGGTGGGAAAGCAGTTTGCTATGTACATGGAGAGATTACAGTTAAGGTTTATGACCTAAAGAAGATCCAGCGAGACCTTATCTCTGGACCCTTCATCCTTCATTCACAGGCTGCTTGTATACCACCCCATCGACAGTAGTAATGAGGGTCCCATTGGCCATGAAAATATTGGTCATAGCATCATCGACGACGTGGAATCCATTAGGACTGGTTATTTTCGTACTGGGTGAGACTCCAGTGCCAGTGAGGTTGGAATACCACTCTAGGCGGGTAGACGTCAGGGACAATTGTGTGGCAGCCACCGACTCGGTGCCATGGATGTAATGAAGGCCATCATCCGAGTAGTTGTGATAGGTGACTGCAACGAAGTTCAGAGCAGAAGTGGCTTTGCTTTTCTGGAGAACAACACGAGCGAACCCCGAGTCGAGTCCATGCAGCGTCAAGTTGCCTTGTGGCACATCGAGCGTATCAGGGATGGTGGTGTTACCAGGGATATATGGCAGGCCCCATGGCACAGTATCGGCGACTGGGGGCACGGGTTCCAGATGGTAAGGCTGCCGACTGGTGAGTCGGGCCATCATCAGACGCGTAGTTCGGCCACCTGGCTCAGTGGAGTTGGGACATGGCAGTGGGTTGGTACCACCACAAGCAGGAGGTAGGACCATCTTTTGCCAATACATGATTCTGGTGCCATCAGGAGACCACCGAGGATCCGCTCCAGCATTCCAGTTCGGGTCATTGATGCTACCCGGCTGCCCCTTGCCACCAGCATTGATCTGCTGGCCGTAGTAATTAGGATCGTGGTCGCCCTCCGCGTCCAACAGCCAGGGTTGAAAGAATCGTCGAACACCATTGTTTCGCACAGAAGCGACCGTGGTGACTGTCAGCAGGTCTACCACAGGAGGAATGCCGCGCATCCCCGAGAGAAACTCCATGCGATCAGTGCCACGAGTATCCAGGATGACTTGCCATCGCCCATCCGGAGAATCTCCGACAGGGTCCACGTAGCCAGGGTGCGTGGTGACACGCCGGACGTGACCAGTAATCAAGTCAGCGGCAAATAGATCAATATTGCATGATTCCCAGGAGCTCCCGATATAAAGGACCTCTTTACCACGGCCAGTAAATCCTCGGAACTCTCCCACGGTTATTGCCTCCCGGTTGATGTAAAGTCGATCGCCCGTGACGCTGTACGGTTGTGGTCCGTTAGGAGAAACGAGGACAGTCACGTTCACAACGTCATATCGAGCAGTGCGAGGAGACCCTGTAGTAGGGGATTCGTTGAAGTGAAGTCGACCAAAGTAGCCATTCTCATTCAGCTGACCTGACGATATGGTGCTGTATGAATTGAAACCCAGGTGAACGTTATCGGGGTGCAAGCGCAGCTCGCGGATGCTGGCTCCTGGCCCAGAATCATCGGCCTTGTTGCTCATTCGAATGGGATAGATGTAGATCTGGTCTGGAGAGCACTCATCACTTGCCAATTGGCCGGCTCGACATTCGATGATGTTGGCTCCAGCCATAGCGCGTCGACCGTCGGCGAAAGTCTGAGGATAATCGGCCACAGACGTACTGCCCGCTTTGTTGCTTTCTGGTACACCACAAGTCACACACTTCCATGGGTCGCCAGTGGAGAAGTTGGTTCCATTCGTGCTGACCATGATCAATTGGACTCCTGTGTAGATGCTAGCGGGGTCTGGTGCGGCTGGGGCACCAGTGAAATTAAGACTGGCCCAAACATAATTCCCATCCGGGGAGAAGTTGCCTCCCTGTATGGCGGATGTTTTCCCCATGCATCCGGTTCCGTGAGGGTTAACTTGGCGAGTACAGGCACCAACATCGTCCGTGGACACAACTGGTGGTAGTGGGAGTTGGACGACTTCGATTGGCTCGGGTTTGGGAGTTGTTTCAGCGGCTGCGGCGGACGATAGGACGGACGATACTATTCCCAGCGAGAGAGGTAAAATCCCTCGAAGGACGAGGAACAACATGGTTTCAGACGATTAAAATGTGGATGAAAACAAAACATGATCTCAGCAGCGTGGATTGAGCTCATGTTTTATTCGCGGATGGAAATGATCGAGAAACGTTAGGAGGTCTTATGGATTTCGGAGTATTTCAGGCCGACGGTTGCCGTACGTGTATGCACGGGCCAAGTTGATGTTGATCGTCTGCCTTGTGGGTCAATGAACCCAATCAGCGGGAGAAAAGGGATGGGGATCAAACTTTGATGGCTTCTGATTTTGGGATCTTCAGCGGGATACGCGTATGCACGGGCCATATAAGGGGGAGACCCTCTTCGACTATTTGGTCCAAGACCAACATCTGAAAGGTCGTTTGAAACTGAAGGCTCTATTGTGGTAGAAGTGAGAAGATATTGTCTTCTCATCGATCTATCGACCCCTTTGTCCCTACCGGGAGCAATCGTTGGCTCACCATTTCCACACTTGAGGTGCCTAGGTCACAACGCCACAAGTTAAAGCGCACCGCCTTTCAATTGCATTTTTCAGATGATAGACTAGCAGGGATAAATCAAACTGTTTCGGCCTTCGGAATTATCAAGCCCACCAACGAAGATCGGCAGGCCTTGCTCCACTACCAGGGAGGACGGGCTTGCTATCACAGCCGAAAGGGCATTTCAGCTAGCAGTAGAGGGTTTCTATAAGAATATCGCTCATGAAGCCAGCTTCAATCTTGCCGGCATATCAGTGCCTCGGAGACTGCGATTCTAGTAGCTATCAGATAATTCCAGAGAAAGCCTTCTTCGGAGAACTCTTTAAGAATCACACAAGGTTCCCGGAGACCTTGTTGCGAACCCCACTGTTTGCGGGGTACTGCCGAGCTTCAGGCAACAGCTCGTACAAGGCGAATACAACAAACAGCGATTCCGTTGAAGTGAGACTCAGGCTGAGTATCTAGCAAAGTAGGCTCATCGTGCACCAACAGGAATTTCAAGTAGTCTAAAAGATTAGAAACTGCAGGGTCCTTACTGGCAGGTTAGGGGGCTTACTACAGAACTAATCGTAGCGGACATGCGATTTTCTGTCAATGTGCTGGGACATGGCGCCGTTCGGATAAGGACCGAGCCCACCGTAACAGTGACCAAGTCCAGGCGCTTCAAAGAAGCAATAGAAGTCATGAGCTTTGGGGTCGTTCTTTAGCACTTTATCATAATATGCGATGGTGCCATTTGGTGGGATAACTTCGTCGGCTAGTCCGTGCCAGGTGATTATTTTACCACCGTTTGCTTTGAAATTGGAGAGATCGGGGTCATTCGTTCCGAGAATCGACGTGTAATCCGCTATTGAAGTGTGGAGGGCTTCAAAAAACTCATTTCGCGTCATGTTGCTACTTGAAAAGCTTGGGTCCTTGGCAACAAGATATTTCAGCCAGCTAACAAACAAGTCACTTCCACTACTGTGGCATGTATTGTTCGCAGAACATTCGGTAGACACATAGGATGTGTCGATTGATGCATCCTTATTGACACCATACCACCCATACCTCTCAGAGACAGAGCGAGAACCGGACCACGCAGCTTCGATTACCTGCGCGCTGGAAGCAGTGAAAGCTTTTTGGACTCCGTCACAAGTGTAATTCTTCCCAACAAAGTCAGAGGCCTTGACATGGCAGCTGTCTGGGTAGCTAATAACTCCATCCTCAACTCCATCCAAATGATCACACACTTTAACGGCTTCCTGTGTGAATGCCTTGATCTCACAGGGCGACAAAAAGACCCCGGTTTCCTTCATTACTAGAGAGGCCCACTGGCCTGCTGGAATGAAGGCTTGCATGTTGATGGCCGGCGAAACTGCTAAGATCCCATCGAAAACGTTCGGAAACTTTTGTGCCATTAGAAGTCCTTGGCGGCCGCCGCCGGAGCATCCGGTGAAGTATGAATAGTTTGCAGCTTTTTGGTAGTAGGACTTGGTAATCTGCTGCCCTATGATAGCCATGTCATTTGTTGCCTTTGAGGCGTAATTTTCGAGGAGCTGCCAGTTCACATTGTTTTCGCCACTAAGCGCCCAGGAGAGATCTGTAGGAATGCTGCCCTTCCCGTTTCCTGAAGGTAGGCCTCCATCCGTGGAGGCGGATGCAAACCCCATTGCAACTGCGTATGTGAGGTAGGTGGAGCCTAGATCGACGCTGTACCCTCCACCACCTAGGGCTTGAAACCTGCCATTCCATCTCTCAAGGGGGAGCCAGACTTGGGTATGAACTGTGTCATTCCAGCCAGGATGGGTGTGAGTGACCGTGATATTGCAAAAACTAATGGTATATAGACCGCCTTCATTACTACCTGGAGCCAGGCTGACAGCGGAAAAGTTGTGGGCTTCATGTGCTTCAATGTTCAGAATTGAAGCACCGGGCAGGTCCGGTCTCTTCATGAAGGCTGGCGAGCATCTGGATGCGTATGCTATTTCGACAAGGATCGCGCTCAGAGGGAGTAAGGTGGCGAAACAGGCAACCATCTTGACTTCAATAATGATGGAATACAAATTCCAACTCGTCAAGGTTTGGCGAGTTGAATATGAGTACTAGATTGCCCGGGACTAGCTTTGACCCCCTTGGGTTCCAACACAGCTGTGATATATGCATCCGTTCTCCGTTCATACGGGGCTCCTGTCCCGTTCGATCGCATTCGCTTAAGGGCCTAAGTACCTATACGCGTATTCGCAATTGTGCTGTGGCTGATCAACATTGCCCCACTTTTATCTAACTCCACTTATTGGGGGTCTCTAAACCGGGTCACATCGGAAAATACTGCTAAACCCGCGCCAAAAACAATTGCCAGGCCTACCACTTATTTGTATGTTTGAAAGTAGCATTGAGAAAGAACTGATTGAAATAGAAGTCGGGATTCATTCAGTTGGATGATTAGACTCTAATATCTACTACCCCGATTTTTTGATTTTTTTTCTCTGATCTGGCTTTCCTCGAATATAGATATCTCTGTATATAGCTACAAATACCTCTCAAATAGAGGTTTACTATGTTGTAGACAACGCATTGACTGCACACAATATATTATTCTTCTAATAAGAAATCATGTAGATAGAAAGGTCAAATAGATAGATTTACATATTTCATATATGAATAAATAAATAATGAAATATCCTTACTCGAAGTAGGATGGCTAGAGAAACCGACTGAGTAAGGGGATCTAACTAAATCGCAGTATCGGCATTATATACTATAAGAATAACGAAGTAGATCACCATTACCTCCGGCTGTTTCAGTCATGGTAATGACCAAACAACGTTATAATGCTATAAGGCTAGTAAATCTAGATCCGGTAGAAAAGATGACCCACATGCAGTTTTAGGATTCCTGCTACTCTATACGCGTTTATCTTGGTGGACACACAACATTCTGATCCGGGTTTCCCCCAGAGAATCTTTCGAAACTGTTACCGTTTGGGAAAAGAGCCAGCGGCTCAGCCACTACGCTGAATCTACAAAATGATCAAGAACGGAGAGATTGCTTCCTACTATCATGAAAATTTATTCTTCCACCAATTTTGAGAATCCCATCGCAGGCAGATGGCTAAACTCGAGCCCTACAAACATGGGGTCTACCTCTGGCAATATCTCCCTTCGCTGGCAGCCGCGGTGATCTTTGCAATTATCTTTGCGAGTGTAACGGTGGTGCATTTCATCAAGTTGAAAAAATGGAGAGCTCGTTTCTGTATCCCGTACGCCATCGGCGGTATCTGTACGTGCCTCCTTCGCAACCTTCAGGTGCTTGCTTTGCTGCCCAGAATCCTGCTAACAGAGGACTTTAGTCGAAATCATAGGATACGCGACTCGTGCTTGGGCACACTGCGCTTCCGGAGAAATTATGCCCTATTCGATTCAGAACGTCTTCATTCTTCTAGGACCAGTCTTGTTCTCAGCCTCCGTCTACATGGCACTAGGGCGAATCATGCGTAACACCGGGGGCGAGCATCACTCGCTCATTCCGATTCGGTGGCTCACAAAGACCTTTGTGATGGGTGATGTCCTCTCTTTTGTGGTCCAGGGCGGGGCAGCGGGCTTGATGGTGTCAGGGGACAATGCGACTTTGGGCAAGGGTATGGTGATAGTTGGCCTACTCATCCAAATATTCATGTTTGGGTTTTTTGTTGTTACCGCAATGGTTTTTCAGTTCCGTCTACATCGACTTCCAACTCCAGGAGCCCGAGATCCACGCATCAACTGGCGTCGTCATCTCTATCTATTATACGGAGTAAGCCTGTTGATCATGGTACGCTCTCTATTTCGGGTTGCGGAATACGCCCTGGGAGATACAGGATACCCGCTCACCCATGAGTGGACACTGTATGTCTTCGATGCTCTGCTCATGTCGCTGTCTATGGTGGTCTGGGTAGTCTGGTATCCAGGGACCCTTTCTAGACCGAACATGGACATGGAATTATTAAATCGTGGCGACCGTCACGACGGACTTTAGAAGTTGACGGTTGGGGTTGGGGTTGGGGGAACGCTTATTTATAGAGGGATATTGATTACTTCATCCGCCCTGGTTTAAATGCTTCTTTTTCTCATGAACCCCAAAATAAGGCCTAGGAGAATTGCAGGAGCCTGGAAATACCCTAATTTTTATCCTTCTCCGCCTCGTTCCCCGTAAGGTGATCCTAGTTAAAGTTTGATTGCAAGATTAGTCATGAAGTTGCCCCAAAAGCTCCAACTCCACCACCGAGTCCAATTTTCATTGCCTTCCTCAAACAACCAAATTAAATCCTCAAGAAAAGTCAGCCCGGATTCCATTCGCAGTATCTCCCTTCAGCATCAAGTATGGCCCCTCGCAGAAAACACAAGAAATCCCGTCTTGGCTGCATTGAGTGCAAGCGACGCCGTATCAAGGTAATCTAGATCCTCTGTGAAACTTGAGGCGACATTGACATGTAGAAAAGTGCGATGAGCAACGGCCCGTATGTTCGCAATGTACAATATCAGAGCGGACCTGTGAGTTTGCAGAGATGCCGGCCCGTTGCATCAGGCCTACCACATCCCGAAGGCAGACCCCTTCCATTCCAGCATCGTCGACAGGGGAGACGGCAGAGTCGAGTTCAACGGTCGCTGAAGCTGATTCCCCTATAGAGCCAGCGGCCAACTTGCTTCATGCAGAACTCCTATACCAATTGTTAACCGAGACGATCGACTCGATCAATGAGCAGAATAGCCCGGAGATAGTAGTGTCGCCTGCAGAACTTATCAGGTGCTCTCTGAGGGCTTCATATCTTCTAAACGAGCTATTGGCTCTCGCTGCCACGCATCTCAGTATCATCCGCTCTGAACAACACGTCTATTACCGTACACACGCGACCCATCTGCAAAATCATGCTTTGAGATTCTTTCATGCAATGGATAATGCAGATGATCCTGAAGCATGTGTACCTCGATTTTTCTTTTCCTCTATCCTCGGGTTGCACACACTATGCGAGACTCTCATCTTCCGCGATGGTGACTTCAATATCTTCCTCGATTCCTTTGTTCCTTATCTCCGCCTACATCAGGGCGTGCGTGCCGTCATCGGAGATAACTGGAGCATGCTATCGCAGACTACTAGTCTCGGGCCGACTTTAGGCTCTGCAGGAAGACAATTACAGACTGACGGGAACTTGGGCCCAGAATGTAGGCATCTACTGGCACTCATCCGGCAGTCCAACTTAGGTCCCTCCATCACTGAAACGTATCGACAAGCGATCGAAGCATTGCAGGCGGCAATGCACTCAATATCTTCTAATCGCCCCGGAGGCGCCTGCATTACTGGGGTTTTCGCATGGCCCGCTAGTGTACCCTCGAAATATATTGATCTTCTGGCTCTTCGTAGCCCTGACGCTCTTGCTGTGCTGGCACATTACGGGGTAGTTCTGCATGCTTATCGCCAATGCTGGTTCTTGGGCGATGGCGGGCGATATCTGATCGAGTCCATTAATGATTATCTGGGGCCCGCTTGGTCGGAATGGCTGGCATATCCGAGGCAAGTGTTGAGTGCAGGTTCGCATCAATATTAGCTCTTTATAATATGTTTTTTTATTGGTATTTGGGAAGCACATGAGATACATTATCTGCATACAGGCGTCATAGAACAAATTCTAACTGGGAAAATCCCGATTGATCAATAGCCCCTATGCATAAATCTACAAAGCTATACCTGTTCCTACTAATGATATACATGAAATACTGTTCCAGGATCGGAGATCCTATATCATTAACATTAACGCTTCTGATTGTTTTCGCAAAACCTCCAATGTTTTCTCGTTCTCCATCCTTCTTTTTGGCTGTCGGTAGTCATCATGTGAGACCCATCCTTATTCATCACTTACTTGCGCTTGTAGATCGTCAGATTCACTAAATGCAGCTGCCCATGCCTCTGCCTGCTGTCAGCTTTGCTCTATTTCCTCCTTTGGAAGGTGAATGGGACATGGGGTATTTGGACCTCGCTGTACCAATGATTGCGTCCCACTTCTCATACACCTGTATCAACAGCTCTTCTGAGGGTAATGGGCCGTTTTTGGAGGTCTTACTGAGAATGTGCAATATGAAACTTGTAGCGTCATTATTATCTCTTAATTGGTCCATAGCATGAACAAGAGCCGGGTTGAATTTCCGGGAGGCGAGTTCGTAAAATGTCTCCAGTCTGAGCCTCTCTAACTTCTATTCGGCCCCTTTATTTTCAGCGTTCGAGAGCACGTCAAAATCATCAGGTAGTTTAGGCTGGGCGGCACCTCATGTATAACCGTCCTCGCAATGAAATATTGAGGGAAACTTTGCCGTAAGTAATAAGGGCGCTGTGTGTACTACTTGCCAATCAATTATGCTTGTGAACTGAGTAGGATCATGTCCATCCGGATGAATATATTATCCGCGTGAAGGTCATGATGTAGCATGATCGGGGAACGGGTGTCATCTGATAGGATTATATGAGCAAACACAATCAGAAATTGCTTAAGAAGCTGTACATGTACGTCTCGTCCCTGACATGTCCTCTCCAGACATACAGTGGCGTGCTTGGGGTTGCTATGTGCATTCCGTATACGGACGATCTCACGGTTTGCCACGGCTGCAAGATACTCCAGCGCCGTTTCCCCTGCGTTGTCAAGTTTAATGAAAGGCTTCTAAAAGGTGCCTGATCATACACTCACAGGGACCTCTATCAATATCTAAACCTTACACGTCATCTATCCAATAGGACCGCTGAATTGCCGGGCCGAAAACATATTTAGACTGTAATTCGTCATCCAGGCCGTATAGAGTATCAATGCCCCTCCCCGACGGGAACCTGTCCCCATAATACAAACTGCCATCTAAGGTAAATCTCGCCCCTCAGATTGTGTTCAGAGTTTACCAAGCTCTCCACCAGGCAGAAGCGTTGAGCCTCAAGCACTTTATCGCAAACTTCGTTGAGTTGCTACTTCACTAGCAACACCATAATGAGAATGGCCGGCATTCAGGTTTGGAATTCTCGCCAAGACCTCCTTACCATCCGCCATCTGCAGAGGAAAGAACTTGCTCAAGAGCCCATCGCGCAATTTGCTCATTACGACACATCGGGAGTGCTGGGGCATCAAAGTGCAATATGACGTCTCTCGAGTTGAAGTCTTTCATTGTGTAGCCAACGACCAGATGTGTAATTGAAGTAGTGACTCTGTGTGTCGGTTGGCTTGGTACTTGCCGATCGGACTGGCTGGGACCATGGAGGATGTCGTGCTGAGCTCATTATCGGCATCGATAGGAGTCGCAACCTGCCAAGAGACTTTCTTCTATCCAGTGTGGCTTGTTTGTTGGTTATGGCATTCGTACATGAAGGGCTCGCATAGTTAAATACTGGATTTACTGGACGACCAACACGCCTCGCAGAAAGAGGCTAAATGACCCGACAATAAAGCCAGCTACCTGTGGAGAAACCCGCTTTTGTATAGTAAGCGGTAAACAAAATGAGCGCCAACCCGATCCCTACTTACTCTCTAGTACACAGTAGTACTCCCTGCTAGACCAGTAAATTCTCATCTACAGATAATGATGATTATAACAAATGATGTGTAGCTTGAGAAATCCGCAGTGATGAGGTCGTCACCGCCACAATCATTAATCATGACAACGTGGCGGTCCTGTGGTGTGTTCTGACCTCATATTTTTCACCCGTCTTCGCCAGACAAGGGTGTATTTGGAGAGGACGCAATAGGTCTGATTTTAGTGATACCTTAGGTATCCCACTGGAAGGAATATGACAAACCCGGAAATACTTGCCTACCCACAGCGAAGTAGCAAGCGATATACTGAGTTGAGTGACGATCTGGAAGGCTGGACAGTGCGTCAACTACAAGGAATCTTTGGTGACAACTCTACTGGGAGCCCAGTCTAATGCCAGTTCCCCAGACCTTTTGCAACCCCGTCAGATTTTCTTAAGCCACCTGGCTGCACTAACTTTCAATGAAGACTGAGTTGGAGGAGTTGAGGAGCCTTGGTTAACCGTCTCATTCATGGTCGACATTCAACTTCAGGAGAGGTATATTGTACTAGTGCCAAATTTCACCTCATCCTCGTTGACGAGAGCAGATGGCTACAACGAATGCACAGAAATCGGCGGTTCTGGCCAGATCTCAGCCAATCACGGACTTCCTATGCTGGGATACCTAGGTAAACCTCCACGGAAGAGCAGGAATTAGGTCGCATTGTAATGGTGGTAGTGCTGCCCTGAACTTCGGGAGTTAAAATTTCCTGCAATATTGCTGGAGGTCCATCCTATCACCTTACACTACGAAAGGTGGAATGAATAGCATGACTTCTGGCACCTTACCGGACTGTGGTAACATATTTTCAGCTATGTATCGAGGGCTAGCTTGACAGTAGAGTAGTCAGGTCAAAGCTACTTTCAGTGATCAGACTGAGGCGCCGACTTCCTTGTGGAAATGTCTTGTGGATGCCCAAGCTACATCATGAGTTGAAAATTTCTTTCATCAGTCTCCATTTAGATGTCGCTAGGCTGCTCAGTGGACGGATGCGTCGAGCCGCGGGGAAAGCATCGCAGGCGGTGCTTGATTCCATTGCTCGACCCTAGTTACTTAGTGTTTACTGGCTCATGTCAGAACTTTAGTGACATGCCACATCAAATGCCACCTAGATGAATAGCCGGTTTAGGTGAGCAATGAGTGTTCCAGGCACATAAGAGAGTCCGCGGATATTTATTTCCTGACATTCCTGGGTCAACACCCGCGGCAATCACACGCGTTCAGCCAACCAGCCAGCCACACCCATACCCCGATGGTGTGACCAGCCAATGTGAGCTTATGGCTCAAGTCAACTTTGCCTGGACCACGGATATCGGGCTGTCATGAAACACGTCACTTTGTCGATGTTACACAGTGAAGTTACAACGTAAAGCTTGACAACTTTATTAGGCTTAGACATGCAATAAACGCCGATTCAGGCTATATTAGGTGATCATTCCTCCTCAAGGGTGGGCTTTATGTAATCTAGGCCACAAAGATGTGAACTCTGGTTATTCGTCTTCAAACATCCGGCTTCCGTCCTAACATGAGATACATCGGCGTAAAGATATCCAGCTTGCCCGCGTCCACCAGAGAATCCCCAGCGAGATCCAAACTATTTCCCACCTCAGTAGTTCCCTTGGGAACTATCCTAACGGCCTCCAATCCCATCGTGAAATAGTGTGTGGCAATTCTTCCCCACTTACTCATCAGAGCATAAGAGGCCAGATCCCCATAGCGACGGGCATTCCAGAGGGTTATATCAAGTGGATAATACCACGGTGCTGTGCAAGGCCGGTGCGCAAGATCTTCATGGTGCAAGATCTCAAATCCGGCGGATTTCATAGCAGCAAGGCCCTGAGAAACCGTGAACAACTTGGCGATTCCGTTTCCCTGCTGGATACCCAAAGCGAGCTGTCTATGATCGGTGTTCCCTTCATCGTACTTCTCTGTGAGAAGCCACTCGTACACACCAAATACAGCACCGGGCTTGAGAACGCGGTAAACCTCGCTGTATACCTGCTCGAGAGTCGGCGCATGCAACGTCGCCTCGATCGCATACACAGCGTCGAAGGTCCCATCCGGGAAGTCCATTTCAACAAAGCTACCTTTGCGATAGGAGACCTTATCTTCAAGGCCTGCTTGTGATGTGTATCTTCTTGCCTTTTCAATTTGATAATCGCTATTATTAAGGCCTGTTATGTGTGCATTTGTAAATTTGGCGATCTCTCGTGCCGGACCACCAAGACCGCATCCGGCGTCCAGAACAGACATGCCCTCTTTGATACCGATGCGGTAGGCGAGATAGTGCTCGTGTCTAGCAATAGCTTGAAGGAAATCCTCCTCGTGGCTGAAGCGGCAAAAGTGCAATGACTTGCACCAGCCAAACTCATAGAAGTCTGTCGCAAGGTGGTAGAAACTAGGAGCTGTCAATATTCTTATAACAGAGGATAAGAGAATGAGAAGGTGGTTGCAAATCTGAAAACGTACAGCTTGACCATGGTTGCATACTCCGTTTGTCGTCTCTGCAGCTACCTGTTAGCTCTGATTCTTCCCCTGTCTGACTACTGTACTGCCTCACCTTTTCCTGTCCTTGCCTATCCTCTTCAAGCACACTTTTTCCAAAGTACTTGAAATACCCATCTAATACAACCTTGTGAGTCTTAAAGTCTTTTCGCATGGCCAAGAGACCTTGGGTTTTCCCTGAGTTGCCATGAAGCCTTTTTGTAAGGATAGCATCCTTCTTATCCTGATGATGGGCTTCTAGCTCCATTTTGAATTTGATGGCTTTCCGATCGCCCTAAACCGAGAAAAGATGATATCAACTAGAAAGTACAAGGACTTCCGTGCACCAGGAACAGTAAAAATTTCGCTCGGGGTTGACTATTCGATTGATCGCATCTAATTCAGATGGGCATCGGTACTTATATCCGAAGCATATACCAAGCTTTAGCCAGAAGAGGCATTCAGAATGCGCACAAGGTGCCGTGATACTGTTTGTCCATTATTTCATTGTCACCTTCTGATACCACCATAAGGTCTCGTACTACCTTCAGGACACCTCGTATTGGCACCATGATACTCTCCTGAAAGGCCAAACAATTCACAAGCTTCCTAATCTCTATGAGAGTGATTCTCATAAATGTCCATGGTACTAGACGTCAGCCACACAACTCTATCAGGCCCGGATACGCCGGGATTTGTGTTACATTAAGACATCTGTGGAATGCTACGCCTCTAATACTAGACAAAATAACTCTCAGTAAAGTCTATGATCATAGAACCGGCGAATGAGTGAGGCTCTGAGTATCTAACAAGTTCCACGGATACATCACTGGTGTGCTGCACATAAAAAGTCTATAACATCATACCCTCATAAACCATCGATTTTAAGCTCATGTAATGGCCGCCGTTAGGTACGGAATCTAAAGGTTATCAATAGGAACATTGATTATATCTAGGGACTCTAGTTTTCTACACTGTGCCATTTCCGTGTCAACAAATATCCACTACGTTGACCCTTCTTGGTAGTTCTCACCGTGAACAGAAGCACACCTTCGCTGAGTGAGCGCCCTGGTGTGGAATACCATCTGACTGCACGTGTACTGATCGCCTTGTCTGTACCGAAACGGCAGCATGGCCCTTCTCAGTGGACTTTCATCTCATGATGCTGCAGTATACCTCATGACGACCTGGGGAATATATTACATCGCGCTTCTCATCTACCGTCTCTGGTTGAGCCCGCTAAGCCGATTCCCAGGCTCGTCTCTTGCTAGAGCGACATACTGGTATGAATTCTACTATGACTGGTTTAGACCGGGCCAGTATTTTCGGAGAATAAATGAGATGCACCAACGCTACGGTATACATCCATGCCCGCCAACATCTCTAAGAACCCGATTGGGGCCAGAAGGATCTCGAGTTACTTACCAGATGAACGGATGTGTACAGGACCTATCATTCAAGTCACCCCAGACGAACTTCACATCTCGGACCCTTCCTATTACAAACATCTGTTCGTTACGGGCGGTTCTCGCAAGACCGATATGTACCCCGGGACATTCCGAGGGACTCCTTTTGAAGGTCTTTTTTTTCTCACCGTCATCTTACTGTCACTAAATCATAGGCATGCGGCTGACTCGCATTTGTGTCGATCAAAAGGCTACATTCAAATAATCAAAACGCACAACGTCCACCGCTTCCTACGAGGACCGATAGAAAGATATTTTTCCAGGAACTCCATGATAGCCGCCGAGCCGCGAGTAAAAAGCTGCATCAAGAGGTTTAACTCACGAATGGAAGAGTTCGAAGGTACCGGAAGACCAGTCAATATGAATTATGCCCTGCTATCACTTACCGTTGGTATGTCGACCCGTGAGCCCCTTGTCAAGATAGCAAACTAGTGCTAAGTGCCACGGAGAACAGACCTTGTCTCGGCCACCGTCTGTGAGAAGCCTACCAAATATCTTTTAGACCCCGATTTCAATGCTGCTTGGTCAGTTAAAAATGCCACGGCTTGAGCGCAGTGCTTGTGGCTAACATTGTTTGCTGGTCTAGGTTCAGAACTCGAATGAAAGGTATAATGGCTGTTCCGCTACTAGCTATGTTGCCAAAGCCTTTGAGGTATGGAACGGCGTCCTTCATTCAAAGATGGAACATGTGCCTGACCGCAAATCTCTAGGGGTCTTTTCATGTGGTTTGTACAGTTCATATCATCGCATACATTAGTGAAGAAGGAATATGCCGTATGTCTTGAAACCTGACCCTACCCTGGCCTTCTTCAGGCCGATCTAACACTGCCATGAAAGGACTGTAAATACGAGCAAAGCTTCAAAGATGCTCTACGACCATCGCCCACTGTGAATTTCGATAACACGGAACGGACAGATGCGCCCAAGCAGCAGTTTGGCGATAACATCTATGATCTGGGTGGACAGGTCTGAGACCCTCTCGCTCCAGCTTTCATTGATTGTTGTGCTGATTCAAATTACCCTTTTTTTTTAGCTTATTCAAGAGGGAGGCATATATCCCATGTCCAATTGCCTGCAGACCATTATTATAAATATGGCGCTGGATAGCAAAAAACTTCACAATTTGCAGAACGAGATCAAGACCTTTCTGATAGAAAATCCTGAAACTGAAGTCACGTGGAAAGAAATCGAGAAGCTTCCCTATCTGGATGCATGTCTTAAAGAAGGGTTGCGGTACGTATTTTTGGAAGCTGGCAGACACTATCACTATGCTGTTAGATGACTAACCAGTTTCCAGGCTTGTCGGAGGAGGCATGAGACGAACAACTCGAGAATTCCCTGATACTGATCTTCATGTAGAGGGATGGACTGTTCCAAGAGGAGTAAGTGCCAAACACACACGTAGCACCCACAATACACTGCTGTTCAAGCTCACATAAATCTAGACTCCAGTCGGAATGTCCTCTTACTGGATGCATATGAACCCAGAAACCTTTCCCGAGCCAGAAAAGTTTAGACCCGAACGCTGGCTTCAGTCTGAGAAGAACCAGGACCCGCTACAACATGAGTACTTTGTCCCCTACAGTAAGGGATCAAGAGATTGTCTTGGAAAGTAGTAAGTTTCCGTGTGTTATGCCGAATGGTACTCTATTCTCGTTGCCCTGACAGCACGCTAATATGACTCGGATGAGTATAGTCTGGCACATATGGGTTTATGCCATATCATGTTCGAGCTATACAGACCAGGTGCACTAAGATTGGAACTTTACGATACGGACGAAGAGATCATGAAAATGGGTCGTGGGTACCTCTTTTCGTTACCTGAAATGGAGTCTGAAGGGGTTAAAGTCCTTGTTCATAGTCCGGCGTGAAGCAATAATACAACTATTCGCCAAATTTCCTTTGCTGTGTGAGATGCTTGTATCCTGTTGGTGTCAAACTAGCAAACTCAGTGAGATTTCCACTTCTCGAGGCCAATTACCGTTTTCTGTTGGTGACATGACACTTGAAGTTTAATCATTCTCACCCACGCCGCAAGGTAAACTGCAAATACAATTATGGTTAAATTACAATCAACAAGTCTAGTGATCCTTTGATGAAGTCTCGCTCAGTCCGCGGCAAAATCATGAGGTTGCGATGGGTGTATGAAAGACCCTAATCCGGAATGGTAAAACAATTCTATCATGAGTAACGTCCCTTGAAACGAAAACTTAGCCCCAACAAAGGACCCTGTGTCCCAAATTTACGGTTTCAGTTGCTACGGCAAGCAGCCGGAGGTTTCATTCTCCGGCGCTCTCTGGATAAGAACATCTCCGGTGTAGGACCTCCACTTCTCCGAGCGAAATGCTTGGCAGCAAACATGTCTCGGTTTGGGCCAAAGTAAAAGCATTGCAAGATGCACCTAAATTTAGCGCTATCAACAGCAATCACATTTCCTGTCCCCAGACCACGAATTTCCGACACTTAACTTCTTTCCGCCATGACCAAACCAACAATTCCGGCCCAGAGTATTCACGATGTTCTCAGCAATGTCCTACCCAGAATCGAAAGCCATGTTGAAGCCCAAAGATCCGCACCCAGCAAGCGCCCATTCATTTTAGGCTTAACCGGCCTCCAAGGAAGCGGAAAGTCAACATGGACCGACGCGCTCGTACAAGCTCTGAATGATGAATATAAATACAACACAATGAACATATCTCTCGACGACCTTTATCTCGACCATGACGACCTTATCCAAGTACGCGACAACAACCCCTCCAACAGACTTCTCCGAACTCGAGGACAACCCGGGACGCACGATATCGCGCTTGCGGTCGAATTCTTCGACGGTTTAGCGAGGCCTTCGGAGAAAATAATCCCATCGTTCGACAAGAGCCTATTCAATGGAGAGGGCGGGCGAGCGCCCCAAGACATATGTCGTCGCATCCCAGCAGGCGTGACCGTCGACATTGTCATTTTCGAAGGGTGGTGTGTTGGGTTCCAACCTTTACAAGAAGACGAAATCAAGCGTCGCTGGAACCACGCGAAAGAGGTCTCCACAGAAGGCAGCTTGAAACAGACGCTGGGAGAGCACAAACTAGAGCATTTGCTCAAGGTTAACGAAAATCTCCGTCAATACTGCGAGTTGTTCATGGGACCGCAAAATTTCGACTTTCTCATTCATCTGGATACAGATGATTTAGTCAATGTCTATGGATGGCGCCTCGAACAAGAGCATGCGCTGCGAGAGAAGAAGAAAGGGGCTATGTCTGATGAGGAGGTTGTGCGTTTTGTCAAGGGGTATATGCCTGCTTACGAGCTGTATCTTGATCAATTACGAAGTGGGTTCTTCTCAGGTCAGGGGAAAAAAGGGCAGTTATCTGTGGTTTTGGACGAGCGAAGGAAAGTTATGGCAATTCGTCTTGTTTAACGTTGTATGGGTACAAGGTCCGTTGGCTGTGTACGATACGGAGCCGTTTATAACATGTTTTCGTGTATTATCCAAGGCCCATCAGCCACGCTCCATAGATCGTTCATGAAAAGGTAGGATGGATCGGAGAAGGAGAAAGGATCCTGTCCAAGGCCTTGGTTGAGTACGGCGTTGCTGTTCGCCATGTTGCCAAATATTAGACCGGCTGATCTTTGTGGGTTTGAGTGAGCGCCATCGTTCAAGTTCATGTCCATCATATTACTTGAATTACGGGGAGTCGCGGGTTCGGCTGGGTTAACACCGTGAGGGCCAGGGTCGGTCAGAGGTTCAAACTGTTGCGAACTCGTTGAAGGCGAAAGACCATGGTACATTGTAGGCCCAGTCTTGTGGATGTTCGAAAATTCAGAGTGCATGCCCATCGAAGCAGATGGACGACTTTGATGCTGAGACTCCGGTCTTATTGCCCTCCCGGTATCTGAATGGCCGAGCTGTGAGGCGTTTCCATCGAACAAAGCCCCTGCGGCGTTTTCGTGGTCTCTATTGGACTGGTTCATCGACAAGGCAGATACCATACTTTTGATCCCCTCGATGCATGTTTCAGGCCAGCTGCTTCCACGCAAAGCAAGATTTTGCAAGACGGATGTTCCCATCCGACCATACTTCAAGGCGGTATTTGTCGGTAGCTCACCTTCCCACGACGCGTACATCAAGATGAGACAAGCCATCCACGTTGTCCAGGTAAAGGAGGGCCAAGTCATTGGTGCTTGAGATGGAGAGGACATGTATTTCCTTAATGCTGCCAGCACAGATCTCGAGGACTCGATACACGTTTGTAACGCATTCTTGTAATCTTGGTCCTGGTTGGGCTTCTCAGCTGTAAGTAACGGCCGGTTCATGGCGATGACCGCCTCGTGCCGTAGGACAATGAGAAGCAATCGATGATATGGGGCTAGTGGTGAGTCTTGTCTTGAATCCGTATCTTCATCATCCTCCGTAGGAAAGACATCGTCGTACACTTCATTCCACCATTGAGACAGCTCGCCGTTGACATACGACGCCTCGACAGGACTGGCATGACTATGCAAGACGGACTTGTTGCGAAGTTCAATGATCAAGCCGCGTACCCGGGCAAATTTAGCAAGGTGGCAAAGTAATCGTAGTCGATGATCGACGTGGTTTTGTGGTGTCTCAGTAGCACCTGAGTGCCTTTCTTCGCCCGGATAGCAGACATCGATGTCGTCATCGCGAATGCTAAGGGGGATACCAAGGGCCTGTGATAAATATCGCTCCAATGTGTATATAGACCAGAATAATCGACATCTTATGTCTTTTTCCTGATCGCTGAAGCATGAAAAACGACCCGGGCATCGATGCAATCCTAGATGATAGGCAGTGCGCGTGATGACACCACCAACCCGAGAAGCGGCGTTAAGGCGTAGCAGAGATGTCAGAGTAAGCTGGGCACAGAATGTCGCTTGCAGAAGTGGTATTGTAGTTGGCTCCATGAGCAGACTCTGGATATCTTGTATGATGTGATGTACAGACTGAAATACTAGGGTGACCGGCACGGGTTCGATGTTCGCACTTGAGCCTTTCATTTGGCGGTTGTCGGCAAGGGATATTGACACAAGGCAGCGAATAATGATCATATCTAATCGACTGACTGCTTGCATACCCTGACTCGCGAGCGATTCCATGGACTTTAGAACTGTTGGTGCATGGAGGAAGGGAAATATGGGGTGCCAGTTCTCAAAATAGCGGCGAGTCCAACTAGCTAAATCATCAAATGAAAACGAAGGTTCAGATGTGATGTTCAGCTCCTCTCTCAGCCATAGGTCATCTGTACTGTGTGAGTTGAAGTCGCCGGAATCCCGCCGCAACCGATCATCTTCTCCAGGCACTGAGGTTCTATTCCTGGCTCGCTGCAACTCGGCAGATCGGCGAGCAAAGGCATTGTAAACTTGGCGAACAAAGTGAATACCACTTGAGCTTCCAAGGAATGTGGCAGGACCATCATTTTGGGATTCTCTCATCACCCCTATCTCACGGGGCGAAGGTCTTGTTGCCCCTGTTGTGGAGGCTCGTTTGCGTCTCTTGATAGCACGGGGAGCGGCATGCCAGTCGGCTTCATTCTCCTCCGGGCGGGAGCCAAATGAAGATGGAGACACCATTTCAACACGTCTGCCTCATCATAATTCCACAAGACTGGGTGTTGCCCGCAGGGTTCGACGTCGCACACAAAGGGCCCAAGGCATGAGGTCGGCTGCCGTGCTTAAAGTCGCTTAGTCATTGCTCGTGCGCCTGACCAGTTGGCACATCTGGTCGCACACCCTGTGCTGCTATGTACGAAACCTTGCTGAAATAGTGAGTCTCGCAAAGTATTAGATGGAAAAATATGTATCTATTCTACATACAGGTATATGTCTTATGTTCGTACAGCACAGTTGACCTGCTGGCTGGCGATGTGGGTCACGTGACCTACTCACGTCGGCCCCATCACGCGCTCTGTTGACCTCCAAGTCGTCGTCTAGATAGCACAAATGGAGGCAACACTTTAGCCTCATATTTTTGTCTCCTCCACATTATCGCAACGACCCCGAAGAATGGTCACTGTAGGTGCATCGTCATATCCACATTCGGCAGTTGAACCTTAATTCACAACGCGGAGACCGTCGGAGGTTTCTTCCTCCGGATGACGCGGTGGCTCCCGCAGGTACATCAATTCGGTCCGATCGGCGGCAAAGACACTTGGCAGACTGACTGAACTTGCCAGTTCCCCGGAGATATTCTATTTTCATATCAAGTTGGTAAGACAACAGGCGGTGAGATATGGGACGGCAACGATCTAAACGGGCATCCAGCTCCGATATGCCAGGTACGTGTAGCACCTCCACGTCTGCAAATCTGCCGTTTAATGACTGACCCAATCCTAGAGGATGATGATGTTCTAAGTCCTATCTCCTGCGAGGTATGCAGGCAGCGGAAATGCAAGGTGAGTTAAACTTTCGTTCATCTACTATTTCTGCAGCGTTAATACCCACATAGTGCGATCGGAGACTGTATGGCGAACCTATGAAAATGATATTCCACCTTAAGCGTCGGACTTTGTTGGTCTCTGACATACACCTGTAGCCCTTTTTGCTCTCAATGCTCCAATGAATCATCAAAATGCAAATACCCTGAAAGCGGCAAGAGGTATGACCATCTCTCTGCGAGAGACCCGCACTTCGCAGCTAATCAATATTCAATAGAGGTCTCCCTCTCGGATATCTCAATCAATTAGAGCAAAGACTTGCGGAAACCGAGTCGGCCCTTTATGGTGCTCTCATGGCATTGAGCTCGATGGGACCAGCAACCACTCTGCTCCAAGCCACTACGAAGCCGGACTCGTTACAATAGTCGAAAGCTGCACGAATGGAGGAATGGTCGCGATTGCCGCTTCGAGATTGGCCTGACATATACCACTGGAAGGCGTCCATGAGCGATCAATTTACCCTCAACCAGTCGCAAGGGGGACCGCTCATGGAAAGTTCTGCAGTTAGTCATGCCGTTTCGGCTTCACCGGTGGCTACTACTGCCCACAGCCACAGCCCTCAAGGTGAAATAGAAGGGCCGGGACCGGCTAGTTTTGCTTGGCATCCAGGAGAAGGTGTCCACATGAACAGTCCCTATAACGTCTACCTCCAGCCCCCTGGAATGGTGTCTTCTCCGGTATACCCAAGAGACCCAGCTTCCGGGTCAACTGAGGCTATAATTAATCCTTTTCCCGATTATAGTAACGCCACGGCGACGGGGGATAGTGGGAAACAAAATGATCACTCCACGATGGCGGACGAGCTGTCTAAAAGCAAGCCGAGTATATACTTTTGATCACGAAGAAATGAAATTGAAGACTGTGTGGGGTTTAGCCTCCGTCATAGATAGTAGTTTAAAGTAAATTTGCGACATTCCACCTCGGAGATGTCAATAGATGTCAATCATCGGCGATGTACGGTAGAACTCTGATCGTTGAAGACTTGCAGCTGGTATGGCCACTTCAGTACATTCTTTCACCAGGCCTCGAACTCAAGACCCTGCCAAGATAGCCAAGCCTCTGGCAGTGGATTCGGTGGGGATCAAGCGCACTCTAAACTTAGGAAAAGCAACTCACGAACCCACAACCCAAGATAGATGTCTTATTCAAGTGAATGCGGTTCATTGGGAAAGCTATAGCGGTTCTTTGGATGGGAATACCTCTTTCAAGAAGTCTTATGTACAAAATCATATATCTATGATGCCACTGAATGTTTGGAAGACACAACCTCTCCCTCCATATCTAGCCCTTCGCCAATATGCCCCTCTGCTTCGAATCCCTCATCCATGCCCGGCCATAACGTCCGACGTGTGAAGTACGCCCATATGTGGAGACAGAAGCAACCTAACCATAGAGTGACTTGGATGATGGTTGCTGCACTGCCAACCCACTTGATAGGCTTCGAATCAACCAAGTCTCCGATCTTGATTGTTGCTAACGCAAACCCAGTGTTGGGGAAGACGGTTGCCCACCAAGTAATATCAAACTTCCATTCATGGTAGGCAGCAAAAATGCTAAGCCACCCAAGCATCCAAAGAAAGAAAGAGAATATCCACATGAAGATGGACAAGAATATCGCAACAATGAGCAGAACTTCTGCGGTGTTGACGTGCGTGGCTAAGGGGATATAATGGGCAGGAAATTTTTCTGTTGCAATCTCAGCCATTCCCATTAGCGCAACTGCAGTAAACGCCGGTGGTCCAATGGCAATGAACATCTGAGGTCTGCGACGCATTGGCGGTAGACCATGGTGGTGAAGGCCGTAGAAATATTCACCTAATATGAATAACGAGATCAAGAAGCCAAAGCCCTGCAAGCATGTTCCCGCAATGAGGATGGGGATGGCAAAGTGACTGGGCTGGGCTCCGGCGAGTAGTGAGGCAGTGGTACCACCAAGCATGGCCGGAAAGGACGGAAGGAGACGCACGAGCCAGAAAGGCTGGCGAGAAGCCATGCGAATTCGATAAAGATGCCAGTTAAGCCCAACTGCCAGAGAGATTGCCACGGCTGTATAGACCCAGAATAGAACCAGTTGAGCGTATTTCAGCCAATCTCCACAGGCAGGAACGCCATAACATTCAATTCCAAAAAGTATAGTAGCAAATCCCAAAGCCGCGGTGGGAATGAGGTAGGCTTCTTCAGGGTCGTTGAATGTATTTCTGAATGCGTGTTGGTTTCGACTGAATCGTGTGATGAGAGAGGTCCAAATCGCTAAATAGGTAACAATATCAAGGATGAAAAAGATTTTTCCAATAGCCATAAGACCAGAAAACTTGTGGGGAGTGTTGTAAAGCAGGGTACCGATGCTCCCAGTGCTCATCGAGACTGAAAACCACCCCCAGGAGACCCGACAAATTCTGTCAACAAAGGTCATAGAGTGCATGATTCTGTCTTGTGTAGACATTATAAGAACACCAAAGCAAGGTATGTACTTGAACAAACTAGAGATAGAAGAAAATGAAGAACAGAATGAAAATCCTGCAGGGAAGAATCAAGGCAAATAAGGAAAGTGAGGCAACGGCTAGGCCAGGTTTCCTGACCTCCGGATGGAGGAGGCAGTGGAGCCCAGGGGGTTCTGGGGCCCCATGGATACACGCAAAGATGAGATGCCGACTGTCCTGATGGCCAGAAATCTCACATACACTCACTTCAATGTCTTTTTGTCGAAGAAATAATAATCTTCTCAGGGTGTCCCTTTCACTCGCAGACTTTGTTGTTCTGTTTAGCTTTGCCCTTGGATGAGAAGTGCTCGAGTTACTCCGTGACGTCGCACCTCTTCCTTAAAACGAGGTTATGTTATGTCAGCCGTGCCAAAGGAACATAGGGTTAGATAAATACCGCATTCGCGTTCCGGCATTAGACGGAGGGCTCTCGAACCTTGGAAGAGGGTCGAATGAAGTCATCGTGTGGACTGATACCTACATCGTGGAACTAAGTTCATCGGTAGATAGGACCTGGTAGTAATTGATGGGTTGGCAATAAGTGGAAGCTAAACTCCCTGGAATAGCATTACTAGATGTTATTCTCTCTTTAAGACCAGGGAAGGTTGCTATATAAGATACCCTTTGATTCTGTTTCATGCCAAGGAATTAGAGCCAAATATTTTTGGGAAGATCTCCTAATTTCTCATAGTACCTGCAGATCGTGTATAAAAATCGTTTAGTCCGGTAGATTTAGCCAGTCATCTTCCAGGCATTGGCGATCGCAAGACATCTGGGCGTAGCTTACTATACACAGCACTATTTCCACGCTGTATTCAATCTCATTGAGATATAGAGCGCCAGTCGTGTTAAAACATAAGGAATACTCTAACTATCCAAAGAGTCTGATGAATCTTGACATTGTATATTAATATTTTCACAAATAATCAGGGGATAATTGCCCTCTACGTGTCCACACATGGTCGATGAAAGCATGGCTTAGTCAGCTCATCATAACAATGAGAGGCGCCCCAGAATCTGCCAGCTTCAGATTTCTCAGCATGAAATTCGCACATGCGATATTTCCAAGATTGGAGAGATTATGAAATCACAGTCCACCTCCAATGATCTTCTATGGCTAGGCCTTGGAATCGAGGCAATGTGCCGGAGAAGAAAACCTCCGACGCCGCACTTCTCCAAACCGGTCATCTACGGACTTGAACATCTCCGAAGCACAATACCTTATTGGCCACAGAGTTAAACGTCATAACAGGTTGCCACTTTTAACAAAACAAGACCAATCCATACATTGACACCAAAAGTGCTTAAAACCGAGCAAGCGCTAACGCTACCCCTCCATCTACCCCTCCATCAATCTCAAATCACTCCAATCCTACATCCAACACACCTGATCCACCATGTCTCCTTCCGTCACTCGCAGAACATACAGCATTGCTTCTATCCCCGCGGATGGAATTGGTCCCGAGGTTATCGAGGCCGGTATCACCGCCTTGAATGCTCTGACCGATACGCTCCAGACTTTCAAATTAGACTTCAAGCACTATGATTGGAGCTCTGAGACATACAAGAAGACCGGCAAATACATCCCCGATGGAGGCCTTGACGAATTGAAGAAGCACGATGCTATCTTCTTTGGCGCTGTTGGCGCTCCTGGTGAGTATATTGATATTAAAAGCAGAAATATTATCTAACAGATACAGATGTTCCTGACCACATCTCCCTCTGGGGCCTTCGTCTGGCTATCTGCCAGCCATTCCAACAATATGCCAACGTCCGCCCCACTCGAGTCTTCCGGGGTACTCAATCTCCCCTCCGCAACTGCAACATTGGGGATCTCGACTGGGTCATTATCCGCGAGAACAGTGAAGGCGAGTATGCGGGCCAGGGTGGCCGTTCCCACACAGGCAAGCCTTGGGAGTCGGCAACCGAAGTTTCTGTCTTCACCCGCCACGCTGTGGAGCGTATTATGCGATTCGCTTTTGAGACTGCTCAGAAGCGCCCTCGCAAGCTCCTGACTGTTGTTACTAAGAGTAATGCTCAGCGTAACGGAATGGTTCTGTGGGATGAAGTTGCTAAGGCTACGGCTAAGGTAAGACCACCCGGAGGACATATACGATCATCTAAGTACTGACATAGGATTTATTCAGGACTTCCCCGATGTCACCGTTGACAAAATGCTGGTTGATGCTATGACCACTCGCATGGTTCTGAACCCCAAGAGCCTCGATACTATCGTGGCAACCAACTTGCACGCCGATATTTTGTCTGACCTGGCCGCTGCTCTGGCTGGATCTATCGGTATTGCTCCTACTTCCAACCTCGACCCTACCCGCGAGTACCCTAGCATGTTCGAGCCTATCCACGGCTCTGCTTTCGATATCACTGGCATGGGTATCTCAAACCCTGTTGCTACTTTCTGGACCGCGGCTGAGATGCTTGCTTGGCTGGGCGAGCAAGAGGCTTCTGAGAAGCTTTTGACCTGTGTTGAGAATGTTTGCGAGCAGGGCATTCTCACCCGTGACTTGGGAGGCAAGGCTAACACCAAGGAGGTCACCGATGCTGTTGTTGCTGAGATCAAGAAGCTGGGCTCCAAGTAGAATGCTAGAATAACTGTATCATGGCCTCAAGAGGGCCATTTGCTGTAAATAGAATTGCAGGATTTGCGAATTACAAATTATAAATATTGAGTGAATATTGCGCGCTTTTTTCATGGTTCTGGAGTCCAAGCGAGAATTTTAGCGAGGAGTTGTGATAAAAACTTTCTCTAAAACTCTTTTTTTAATAATTTTTTTATCTTATCTATTGCTTTATTTTTCTTATTCCATGTTCTAGATACTAGCCCAGGAGACAAATCGGCGCCTCAATTTCGGTCATATTTCGCCTCATGCAGCCCGTAGGATGTTTCAGTGCTACCAAGTAGAATAGAATGCTATATCCCGGCTACCCTAAACATAGGGGAAAAGATATGCCGACAGGAATTGATCGCCAACCCTTCTAATTTGTTTTTCCGGTCTCGAGAATCGAGCATTATGCAATACTCGTGTATGCTCAGCCTATTACCATAGACAAGTGCGCAGATGACAAGTCGTTTAGTACATTGAGATGATTGCATCATAAAAGTAGCCGGACATAGCAACCTCCGGTCAATGTGGTCTGATTTTCATTTCCACCTTCATCGCCGTTATTTGGACCAATCATGATGCCGTATCTGAACAGACGGTAAGTATTCCCCGCAAGGCATGGGGTAATTCTTGTGCGCTTCCCCAGTTTTACGGGGACCCCAGGTCCTTGGCAGCATGTCTTGGGGTTAGCAACTCTTACCAGTCTGGGGATGGTAAAGTTCGTCTCCTCTTATATAAGGGAAACACCACCATTACTCCCACAACCCACTTTGGTTTTGTCTATTTATCTTTCTTATTCATAAGTCTTGGTTGAGACACCTTTCAGAATGTCTCGACAACTTTTGCACCTTACCGGCAGTGCTTTACGCATGGCCCAGGTTATCCTTATCGTTGCTCCCGCTTTTATCATCTTCGGCTACAACCAGGCTGGGGCTGGTCCCCTTGCTACTCTCCAATCTTGAGTTAAGGTCTTTCCCCAGATCGATACAATCAATACGACAGGTGCTCTAGAAGCGAAGAATTCTACTGGAAAGGGAGCTGTCATTGCGTCTTTCCAAATTGGTGCGCTGATTGGTGCGCTGTCATGTACTGTCATCTCAGATCGTCTTGGGCGACGCAAGACTATTTTCATCGGTTCTATTCTCACTATCATTGGTCAATTGCTCCAAGTGTCAGCCTATTCTTTGGTTCAATTTACTGTTGGCCGAATCATTCTGGGTATCGGTACCGGTCAATTCAGTGTTGCTGTCCCTGTTTGGCAATCTGAATGCTCTTCCGCCAAGCATCGGGGTCAGCATGTCATCGCCGACGGTATCTTTATGTGTCTCGGATATGCTCTGTGCAACTGGATCGACTTTGCTTTCAGTCGACTATCTGGTGAAAATACCGGTCAATGGCGTGGACCGCTGTCACTATCCTTCCTGCCATCACTGGTGATCTTGGTCGCGGTCTTCTTACTTCCTGAGTCACCACGTTGGTTGGTAAGAGTGAACCGTACCGAAGAGGCATCCGCTAGCCTTGCCGCATACAAGGGCATGTCTCCGGAAGATGAAGCTATCAAGTCAGAAATTTCTGGTATTGAACTATCATTTGAGAACACCACCCAGTCAACAAGGGCGATCCGTGAAATGTTCTCCAAAGATGATGACGAACGTTTATTCTATCGCTTCTGTCTCTGCATTGTCTTGCAATTCTTCCAACAAATGTGTGGTGGAAACCTTATCTCAGTCTACGCCTCTACCATCTTCGAACAAAATCTGGGTCTGAGCTCTAGTCTTTCAAGAATCCTTGCAGCATCTGCCCTGACATGGAAGTTTGTATGCTGCTTTATCTCCTTCTTTGCCATTGATCGACTAGGCCGACGTGCAGTATTTATGATCAGCGGTACAGGCATGGCATTCTGCATGGCTGCATTGGCCATCACCACTAGCTTCGGAGTTGAAAACAGACAGGCGTCGATCGCATCCGTGGTGTTTATTTTCATGTTTAATCTCTTCTATCCCATTGGCTTCCTGGGTGGTAATTTCCTGTACTGCACGGAAGTTGCGCCCCAGCGTCTTCGAGTCGCGATGTCAGCTATCTCCACTGCCAACCACTGGTTGTGGAACTTTGTTGTTGTGATGATTACTCCGGTCGCTTTGGATACTATCGGCTACCGGTACTATATCATGTACGCGATCTTATCTGCCTGCATTCCGGTTCTGGTGTATTTCTTCTATCCGGAGACTATGAACCGGAACTTGGAGTTGATCAACCACGTCTTCCGGGATGCGTCGTCGCCTTGGCAGATTGTCTCTATGGCGCGTCATCTTCCTCAGGGAGAAATTACCCCGGCAGAGCTGGTTGCCTATAACAAGGAGAAGGACGATTGCTCTGTTGAGATGAGAGAACATGCATGATTGAGAATGTTATTGCTGGGTTACGTTGGCGAGATTTATGACGTAGTCAAATTTACGTGTTTTTACGAACATATATTAAACATGAAACACTTAAGTTCACGTTCAAAATCATCGTGCATATCGCACCTACGTAAAGGCTTCTTTGGCTGAATCGTAACCTCTAAACTTGTTATCTAGCCGCAGTGAAGACAAGATTAGGGTACAGAGCACATCCCATTGGTGTCCTGGAGCCATGGTTTGATGGGCGGAAATGGAAGAGGGACGAGGCGCGGACAGAAACACTTCCGCAGATGATTGCCGTCCCGGTCGGTCAAATATGCCGCACCTCGTTCATCGCGGTTTACCAAGCCCTGAACTAGTGGTTAGTCCGGTTTTCGGAGGTTTTTTACCCCGACTTAATTCCTGGGGCTGGTTCGAGAATGGCTGGGACTTGGCATCCACCGTGTCGGATGTGAGTTTCTCTGCGAAATTCGGGGATTCAGTGTGGGTCCTCCATCGGAATCGGACTCTACAGCTTGCTGCCGGTCGCGTCTACGCCGTCATACCCGGGGATATTACTGGCGAAGGATTCAAGTTATCAGTGTAGATGTCATATTCATGCCCGGTTCTGTCGGACTTGTTGGAAGCCGATTCATTGCCTCCTAAACGTAGAACATGTCGGCTCCTAGAATCGGGTTATGTCGTATACTGGTTAACGAGTCAATCCTGTATCATTTCTATAAATCACATTAATCCCTGGCTAAAGGGAAGGAGAGCCCGTGCTTATACTAGATAAATGAGAATTTTACCAGTCCAATAAGAGCTTTTCAGAATATCCTCAAACATTACGTATCTGCATAATCATGGCTCCCTCCACCAATGACTCTCCCGTTGGCATTTCCACATCACCATACGCCTGCAAAGTAGGCATCAACGGCTTTGGCCGGATAGGTATGTTATTGTACTTCTCATACGACAACGCAAGCCACTAAACACTGGTCTTAGGTCGCAATCTCCTCCGCGCATCCCTCGTCCGCTCAGATATTCAGGTAGTCGCCATCAATCACACCTGCGTCACAGTTGAAGACCTTATCTACCTCATCCGATACGATTCCTCTATGGGAGATCTTGATGAAGATACAACCATCCAAATAATATCCGAAAACCGTATCATCATAGACGGCGCCCCCATTACTCTAACCTCTGAGCGCGACCTCAAGAAACTCAAATGGGATGCTCTGGGCGTCGACTATGTACTGGAATGCACAGGCAAATTCACAAAGTCCCACCAAGCTATGGATCATATCACCTATGGACAAGCAAAGCGAGTCTTGATCTCTGCACCCTCTGATTCGCCTACCTTCGTCTATGGCGTCAACTCGGATTTGTACCGTCCTACCCAGGAGAACCTGGTCGTTTCTAATGCGAGCTGCACGACGAACTGCGTTACGCCGGTATTGAAGGTGCTTCATGAGAACTTTGGTGTAGCTCAGGGATTCTTGACGACCATTCATGCTGCAACTCGTTCTCAGCAAGTTTTGGATGGGTATAGCAAGAAGAACCGTCGACTTGGTGAGTTGGCCATTCTCAACAGGGTTTGATTGTCTATAGCTAACGTATTTGTTCATAGGTCGTGGCGTCTTCAACAACATTATCCCTACCACTACTGGCGCTGCGAAAGCAGTTGCTTCAGTGCTGCCCGAGCTAAGCGGCAAGGTGACGGGTGTATCAATCCGTGTTCCGACGTAAGCTCTACTCGATCATTGTCTTGACAACCACCATTTGCTGACTGGACTGTATGCAGACCCAATGTCTCGATGATTGACCTTACAATTAGCACCGAGAAGCCCACCTCTCTTTCAGAGATTCTTTCTACCTTCCGCGTCGCATCCAAGTCTAGCATGGCTGGTGTGTTGAGGGTTACAGATGAGGAGCTCATCAGCACCGACTACAATGGAAGCCCGTATAGCGCTATTATTGATGCACCTGCATGTACTGAGTTAAATCCTCAGGTATGTATGCTCTGAGAATTTATGGATGTCACTCATGCTGATTGTTCACAGTTCTTCAAAATCATGGCGTGGTACGATAACGAGTGGGGTTACTCAAATCGCCTGCTGGATCTGGCGACACATGTCCACGCTGCTCAGAACATGTCTTGATGTTCTACATATAAGATACCAATTATTGACTCTAATGAATGAGAGCATTTGATGCTAGCTGTACTTCCTTTTTTGACTATATGACTCCTACGAAGCAATCAGGCATGATATCGAATTTGATGATTCGGACTAACTTAGCCTAGTAATAGAAGTATTTGAGAGAAATCCAAGTCTTTGTAGGATATTTCTATAGAGTTGATCATTTATTGTCAGCTTCAAATAAGCTGGCTTTCACCTTGATGCTCTGGTGGGTGTACAAATGACGTTGCCGACATTGCGTAAGGTACAGGTGATTCCTCTAGAATATATCTTCTTGGTTGAACCGGACACAACACCATAGCCCTTTTCCTAAGTCAAGTTATTCCATTATTGATCGGCACTTTGCACAATGAATGAATTTTATGACATGAGGCAATTTCACCGCCTTCGGGTGTTGTCCTTATAATGTTGAGAAACCGGTGGACCCTAGGCGCTCATCTGCTCGACTTTTACAGTCTGCCTCGGTATTAAGGGTCAAGATACGGGTTGTAGCTCGGCAGTACAGCGTTGTTTAATCAGAATATGCTCTTCATATTCCCCTCTCAATAGTTGTCAAGTACATACGACCACAGGGTGTGGAAAACAGGGCTTCCCGTCCGCTCAGCCGTACTTAAGCCACACGCCGGGAGGTTAGTAGTTGGGTGGGTGACCACCAGCGAATCCCTTCTGTTGTATGTTTTTCTCATTTGAACCTTTTCTTTTTGCATGGGCGTAAAACAAAAGTGGGCGAAACCCATAGTTTTGAAAAAGCATGACATCAAAGGTGAATCAAATAAAGCGCATTTATGACCACTCCACATGGATAGGCCTCAGGGAATAGGTGCCAACCACAAGCGGGTACCCAACTCCACTGGGCCACTTCGTGAGAATGGCATTCTTCGCAGATGCAACCTGGGAAGGATTGACGAGGAATCCAGGTCTCTGGAAAAGATCGATTTGCTGGGTGGCCCAATACCTGCAGCCCTCGCCTGCGGCATTGAACTCATATTGATGGCGCTTTTGGCCCACTAATAAGTCGACCAAATCTCGCGCTTTGCAGTCAGGGCGAGCTTCCATTTGTACGGCTTTCTATGCCGTGGTCGATATCGAGACAGCGTGTTCTAAGTAGCTAATGATCAGGATGCCCTTGCTGCCGTTGGGGTTTGTGACACCAGGAACATTGTAGGACGGGGCCATGTCAATCTGTACCGAAGTAGTGTCCGTAACATTGAGATAGATACACCAATGATTGCCGTCATTATCAAGCGGATCATGGGCGACGGCATTGACTCTCCAAATAGGGAGGTCTAGCATTATCTGCCTGTCTTTTGCGGGAACAAAATGCAAGGGCTGGAAAGGGGGCATTTGGTAGTTCATCTCGACAAAGTAGCGCCCACAGAGTGGGGAGGGGTGCGGCTTAGTGGGCCTCAGCGTGCGCTTTCAGTTCGGTACGGTCTTCCCCAGTTTAACAAGTGAGCTATTCACTCGTGCTGACTTGCAAATGGCATAGACCTCGTGAATTATGCCTTCGTATAAGCTGCAACCGGAGTCCTGAAGATCAAATCATACAGTAATAGCAGCTAAGGCAAAAAGAAAAAGAGCCAGGTCCGATTGCTGCGCTGCTGAATATCCCGTTGCCTTGTTGTGTCACATGGTGCTAAGGATGTTTGCTTGGTTTACACCGCTGCTGCCCTGACAAATAAATGTTACGAGGACGTAAATTGATTACAAAGTTCTGAATAGATTGTGACATAGTTAATACGGCGTTTAAAAAGCCCAAATCTTATATGCATGATGAATACAGCAAATAACAAAGCGCGTAGGTAGCCACATTTCTCCACTCATCAAGCAATTTCGTAACCCCCCAGTCTCTGAACACATATCTTATATAGTAAAAGGCACCGGAATGTATTATCAGGGCAATATTCCTGAGGTATGTATACATTTGAGCAATCCGCTCGAAGACTATTTTGCCATTCCATCGAACGCTGTAAGACCCCGTAGCAGTATTTCTGGACTAGTCAACTTTAAAATAATATCCCAACTGCGCAAGAGATATTGACGGCTGGCTAGGCCTCCACGAAGTGGAGACTGGTATTTAAAGTACTGAACGCATGTTGAGCGCGTTCCTTGCATGCACTTTATACCACGGATTTACCTTGATTTCGGGCTATCTGATGAAAATAGGCAACTACGTTTCAATATATAGACAGTGCAATATATTTTCAAGATCCTTCTTTTAATAGTCTAACAGTCTTGTCATACCATAAACTAGTCATTCTTTTACACAATACTAGTCAACTCCAACGCCAGTCTCATCTCTCATCCTAAAACTTGCCTGAAGCTACCGGAGCAGCATAACCATTGAACTCCCCCTTCTCCTGCAAGATAAGGGGGATCTCATCCTCCTCCAGAGAAGCAAAGGTGTTCTTCTCCCGCGGTTCCCAGCCCAGCTTGCGGAGCCGATTAGCACGATTACGGGCGTTGGACCCGACCACAAGACCTGAAAAGTCGCCGAAAAGATCATTGTACTTCTCCGTTGGGATAGTCTTGGGGGTTGAATCTGCTACTTTTCCTGCTTCCTTCAAGATCCGACCAATTTGAGCCGCGCATTCCCCCCACGAGAGCTCCTGGCCGTTCTCACAGAAGAAGTACGGATTCGGGAAGACGTCCTTGCTGGATGCCCGCTCCAACCATTGCAGAAGCGTGAGGTAGCCGCGCGCGAGGTCTTTCACGTGTACCTGGTTCCACACAGAGAGGCCATCGCCGATCATACCGGGATATCCATGCTTAATGGAATATCGCACCAGCGTTGGGAGCTGGATGGAGAGTCGCTTCTCACGTGTACCGACACCGTAAATAACCGGTGGAATCATGATCGCAAACTTTGCATGGGACGAAAGCTCTTTGCGTGCATTTACAATGGCCAGGTCGATTTCTCGATGGGGGGCATGGTCCGGTAGTGAGTCGATGGAGCTTGGAGTTTCGTCGTCGAAGATCATATCGCTCTTATAGGAGCCTTTTGCACCATCCCCGATGAGACTTGCTCCACTAGTGTGGATGTAGATGGTCTCTTGTCCGAGCTGGGTTCGTTGCCGGACACCCTCAAGGACGGCTTGTACAGAGGGCAGGTCATCGGCAGTAGCAGTGTGAATCACAATATCGCTGGTCGCTGTTTGTTTTGAAATCACGCCTTTGTCGGCTAACGATCCCATGACAGTCTTGACGCCGAGTTCGTGGAAGGCTGGCCGGGCAGCCTCCCTACGCACAAGGGTCGTGATCTCATACTTCTTGTCGCGCAGAAGGAGGTCGAGAACCTCTCCGCCGATCAGGCCAGGGCCGATTAAGAAAACAGATGGCATACTAGGCAGCTGAAATGTATGAAGTCAATGAAGGGAGAAGTGGATTACTTTACTATCGTGCTTGGGGCAAATGCGCTTTTATAACTCGAGGTCCTCTACTATCTACTATACGGGCCCTTCGGTTATATGCATTACTAATTATGGTATTCGCCCAACGGTAGAATAACCTTTCGCGATTCTACATAATTCTCCAAACACATGGCGACAGGCATTCGATCACGTCATTTGTAGCTGTTCCATCGTATACTCACGGCTAGGACTGTTCAATCGCGCGAAATTGGAACCTCCCAGGCCCTTTGAGCTCTAAAAAGTTGCCTGGTGGCGAATACCATGTGAAGGACTCCGGCTACAAGTCCGCAGAACAATCAGCCAATGATTGGCGTGAGTCAGCCGTGCCTGTATATGATTAATGTACAACAGACATGGCTCAATTGTCGGTGCGAGTGAAATTGACGTCGTGGCGATCATTTTTGAGTTTGTGGGAGCCGCGGCAGTGGGCCCTGACATTCCACCCGGGAGGCATATAGCCGCGGGTAGTGAGTAATTGCGGAGGCCACACAGCCGCGCCTACAAGGTCCTTGATCCGAAGGCAAGATGGCTTGCTAAGCATCGGTGCTTCTGAAGCGTAAGAAGGGAGTTCGGGTTGACTGAATGCGCGGAAGGAATACGGCGGTCTAGCAAAACAGAAGATGTGCAATAACTGTAAGTAACACTTCCTAGTCCTCACCATCCGATCTTTGAATCAAAGCTGCTAGATTATCCCATGCATGAAACCAGGTAACATCTATCAAGGCTAATATATATGGTATCTGAGTGCTTTCCTAGTTACCGAACGGTGCAGTGAAAAAATTCGGCAAAAGCATGTATTCCGCCAAATCCATTGCCACATTCCGATCAAATTCCATGTTGGGGATGTCCGACCAGATTGAACTTTCCATGTCGGAATGCATTGGATGGGAAGGTTGTGTATATGGAGTAGTGTTAGTGTCCAAAGACGTAGTGTTTGATTGGTAGCCATGAGGGTCTCCCGATGTCCTCGTGGCTTCTGCTGCGTCGGCTGCGTCGGCGACAAACAAAAGGAACTCAAATACCCTCATCGCCCACACCCCGGGGTCCCAAGTATTTTGGGCTTGGCTTAAGAGCATTTGGCAGTTATCGAAGCTTGCACGGACCATGCTTGCGAAGTGGTTGTCTTGCAGCCGATGTGCCTGTTGGTAGAGGACGATCCCTGCCACGAAAAACCCAGGGAAGACTTCATGAGGAACGTCGCTAATGGAAGTCCGTGTCATTAGCTTAATAGCACTTGATGAAACGGCTAGGGCTGCTGACTCGGTGATTGCGGTGGAGTTGTAGCTGCTAGACATTGTGGTTGGGAGTGACGAGTCATTAGGTTTGGATTCTAGGTGTCGGTCCATGTGGAGGAGCATAATGTGGTAATCCAGCAGGATCTCGAGTTGCAGAGCAAAAATTGATGTAGAGAACTGGCCCCTGTGGCACTGCATGATAGGGGGGAGCTGTGCTTTCCAGCGGTCCAATTGCTCGTGGATGTGATTAGTGGTCGAGCTTCCACTTGTCGGCCCGAAGCGGAAGAACATGATTTCTCGAAGAATAAGGGATAGC